AAAGAAGAAAAAGGTGAAGGAGCCCGAGGTGGGGGGGGGGGGGGGGGGGGGGGGGGAGGAGGAGGAGGAGGAGAGGGAGAGCCGGGAGAGTGCGTGAGAGGATCGACGGCAATGAGAATGAAGGGTGAGTGTGTGCACGAGGTGTGTGACCTGCGTCCTGCGTCCGGCCTTCGGACTCATGCCGTTCGCCGCGAGTCGCTGGATCGCTGGGCCACGGGCAAGAGATCAGGAGATCAGGCCGAGTAGAAGCCGCGAGCTGCGAGCTGCGAGCTGCAAGAGATTGCGAACGACCGTTACACCTCAAGGCCTCAGGCACGCTGGCTCTGCGCGAAGTCTTGGGTATCAACCAGCCATCCCATCCGACGCGCATCCTCCAGGACTCGACGCACTGCGAGCCGAACTTCCAGGGCCAGTACGCAGCTGTGCCCCCTCTTCCCTCCGCCTCTAATGATCAAATTGCGTTGCCCAATTGCCCAATTGTCCACGTATCCGCGTCCTGCCACGACCTGCCATGCCTCATGCCTCATGCCTCATGCCTCATGCCGACGCAGGCAACACAGCTCGGCGGAATTGGCGGCGCTGGCCACCCGTTTGTTGATACTTGCTCAGGGGGATTAGGAGGATCAGGGGTAATCCAGCGAGCGATCGACCCCAGTCCCATGGACCCCCAGGGCTGCGAGGCCTGCGAGGGCAAGTAGCAGAAGCAACGCATGGAGGGCGAGGGCACGTTTGATGCTGATCCCCTTTGATCCGCTTTTGAATTACACGAATTGATTCGACGGGCGGCAACGGGCGCAGCCGCGACACCGGCATGGCGCTGCTCTCATGCCTGAAGCGACCCTCGACGACGGCATGCTGCAAGCGGATTGCACAGAGCCTAACCGTTCGCCCATAGTTACTCAAAGAAGCAGCTTCCGTCGCTGGATCCACGCGGCAGCCACGGTGCACCGTGTCCGATGCGCACGGCCTGATCGGAGGGACTAAGGGAGATCTAATCTGGTCCATGTCGTCATTCTATTCTAGATTTCATTCGCACATCACACAACCGACTTCGGTCCAAATTAGCCAGCAATGATTATCAGCGACGGAATAACCACACGTCAATATCCACGTGTCCATCACTCGCACCCAACAATTTCTCGCCCAGAGCGCTCCTTCCTCTTAAACTCGCGGCTGGTTATTCTTCTCCTCACTCTCCACCTCTTCTCAACTCGTCGACATGCTTACATCACCGTCGATGCGAAGCCACTACGCTGACCCCTTCGCCTTGACTTACAGTAAAGAGCACTCACTATGCCTCGTTTCTCCCCTCCTCCCTGCCACTTCCCTCTCGTCCCCTCCTCTCTTCTCCCCTCTCTCCTCCCGTCTACCCCCCGTTTCTACCTCTCCCCACAACTCCTTTACACAGCCCCTTTATTCACGTTTGACACCCAACTCCACTGGTGTCCGACGGGGAAAGGGGGGCAAGATCAACACCTCTCTGCCCAGGGAGCGACTGGCTTTAGTCGGCCGGGCGTGACTACTTGTGACAAAGCGAGCTCCATCTCGTGGCGTCCGCGGGCGGAGTGGGACATCTACCATCTTTACCCTCTTCGTTTTTCTCCACGTCTTACAAGATCTGAAGGTATTCGAAGGGCGTCGAGATGCGGCAGTATCGGCGGGTGCTGCTAGGCATTTTTCTTCCCCTCTTCTGTACTCCGATGCATATCTAGATTCTACCACATTGCCAGCACCTCGGTCTACGACGCCGGGTCCCACTCCTCGACAATATCGTAGAGCTCCTTGGCGAGGGTGGCCTGAGCAGCCCGCACCGTGTCGCCCTGCAGGGTGAGCATGAGCTAAGCGCTTGATTACCTTGGCAGCAGGAACCTGGCGGATGAAGAGATACTTGCGCCCAGCTGCAGTCAGCGGTCTGCCTTGTGCGGCGCCCAAGAAGCAGACGTACCCATGATAGCAGCGTTGGGCTCGCCGGTCCAGCCCTTCTCCGTCATCTTGCCCGCATAAGACGCGCCGCCCGCCTCCTTGAGGATGGCCATCCCGGCCTGTTGTCAGTGCGGGGCTCCCTTGTTTGTCTCGTCTACGCACGCAGACGTCCCAAGGCCAACACTGATGTCAGCTCTCATATACTAGGGAAAACTTACGCCAATCTCCCAGTACGCGTCAAGCTGGCCAGCGGCGACGAAGCAGATGTTGAGCGCGGCGCTTCCCACGGAGCGGAGAGAGTGCACCATCTTGTGGCCATCACGCTTGTCGCCCGTCAGGCGCTTGAACGTGTCAAGCTTGTTGGAGAGAGCCGGGTCGCGGCGCGAGGAGCCGTACTCAACAGCAACACTGTTGTCAGTTGAGTGACTCTTGGTAGACTCACAGAGCCTCGCTGAGCGAGTCCAGCGAGCGCACAGCCGTGGGCAGCTTGATGCTTTCATTCATGTATGCGCCGCGGCCCTCGGCGCCAGTGTACTGCTGTAAGCGGTGAGGCGGCTGCACGCACGAGAAGGTCGAGGAAAGGGTTGTAAATCACGCCGAGGACCGGGATGCCCCCAATCGCCAGACCGATCGAGGTCGCAACCATTGGGAAGCCGTGGATCTGTGTGAGCTAAGCCGAGTCTGTTCAGCTCACGAAGTTGGTCGTGCCGTCAATGGGGCTAGAGTCAGGCGCCAGAAGCTCATTAACACTCACTCAACTGGACGTCAGCTACCCATGAAACAGCGGGAGCTCACCGATCCACGTCGGGTCGTCCGTGACCTTCTCCCCGTCATACGATTCCTCGCCAATGCTGGCGTGAGTTACGTAGACAGGCTTGGGCGCACAACTTGTGGTCCGGGTACTCGGCCTTGATCTTGGCGACGAGGAACTTCTCGACCTGCTGGTCGCACTCGGTAACAAGCTATCGTGAGCGGGGCGTGTGAACTGAGTGAGACTCACATCGACAGAGTTGGCCTTCTCCTCCTGCCCGGCGTCCTGGGAGAAGCGGCGGGCCTGCCCATCCCGCATCATCTGGCCAGCCTGGTCTCAGCGCATTCACTCTGATCCTCACCTCCTTGGCGATGGAGACGGCGAACTTAAGGGCGGCATCGAGGTCAACGGACATGGTGGTCAGTATGGTGGTGAGGTAGGGTGGAGGTCGCGTCGAACGTGTCTGGGGTCATGACGTCGTCCCTGAGGCTTACGCGGAGTCGCCTGTAATCTCCGCAACACGTGCTGTACGCGTGCGTCGGACGTAAAGAAGGCTTCGGCGATAAGCCGCCACGCTCGGAAATTTGCATTTTGGCCGGCTCCTGCACCCTGCGACACTCGCTGCCCGTCCGCGCGCGGCCGTCGAGGTCGAGACGTTCGCGCACTGCCAACTTCATCCTTCAACCAAAAATGGTGAGTCGCCGCGACATGGCTGCGACGACGGCATCGGCATCGGCGGAGAGCAACACATTCGAGCGCGTGGCCCTTCGATGCCCCGACCGGGGAGGGAGCGCTGCGCGAGCTGGTGGCCGCGGGTCCCAGTGCGAATGCGCAAGGCCGAGGGGTGGTCGTGTGTCGATGGAGCGAAGGGAGCAGCGAGCGTGTGCGTCGATGTGCGCGCCCACTGCCCCGCCGCTGTGGTCAACCCGCGATCTCGACGTCCCTCTCCTTAGAGCTCTCCGGCCAGCCGTTGCGCTGCCAAATTTCCATGGCAATGTCTAACCAACAGGGTCGCGGTCCTAAGAAGCACCTCAAGCGCCTCGCAGCTCCCTCGTCGTGGCTCCTCGACAAGCTCGGCGGAACCTACGCCCCCCGCCCGTCGCCGGGTCCCCACAAGCTCCGCGAGTCGCTTCCCCTCACGGTCTTCCTCCGCAACCGCCTCAAGTATGCCCTCACCGGCAAGGAGGTCACTGCTATCCTTAAGCAGCGCCTCGTCAAGGTGGACGGCAAGGTCCGCACCGACGAGACCTACCCCGCTGGCTTCATGGGTGGGTGATGGTCCGGAGAGACCAGTCCTTCTGGACATTTTCTCAAGCCCCGCCTTGAGTGTGAGTGCTGGTACTAACTTGCAGACGTGATCACCATTGAGGCTTCGGGCGAGCACTTCCGTCTCCTTTACGACGTTAAGGGCCGCTTCGTCATCCACCGCATCACCCCTGAGGAGGCTTCGTTCAAGCTCCTCAAGGTGAAGCGTGTCGCTCTTGGTGCCAAGGGTGTCCCCCACATCGTCACCCACGACGGCCGCACCATTCGCTACCCCTCTCCCGACATCAAGGTCAACGACTCCGTCAAGTTCGACTTCATCCAGAACAAGATCGTCGACCACGTCAAGTTCGAGCCCGGAAACGTCGTCATGGTCACTGGCGGCCGTAACATGGGCCGTTCGGGTGTCATTGTCCACAAGGAGCGCCACCTCGGCGGCTTCGACATTGTTCACATCCGTGACGTTCTTGACCACACCTTCGCGACCCGTATCGGCAACGTTTTCGTTATCGGTGAGGGCGCCAAGGCCCAGATCTCGCTCCCCAAGGGCAAGGGTGTCAAGCTCGACGTCGCCCAGGAGCGTGACGCTCGTCGCGCGGCCAAGCAGAAGGCTTAAGCGGCTTTCTTTGCTTTGTACAACCGGGGATGTGACATTCGACCTAGCATTGCGAGCGAACTGGTGCAGCGAGACAAGATTGGAGAAGAAGCTGATGCGGAAGAGCGGAGAGCTGGATCAGTCTGCAGTCAGTGAAACTCAGGGAGTGAAGTGGAGCGCAGAAGAGCCCATCAATAGCTCATCGTGTGACCACTGTTTGGTTCTGCGTAAGACGCATAGCGAGATCGAGATGAGCCTTATCACAAGGGGGCGCTCAGCAGCAGAACCACCGGATTATCCGCCCGCGGCGACAATGATCTACATGCATATCTACACTCTAGTCAAGCCAGTCGAGCCGCGGCTCCAACAGCTCCACTGCCAAGCACACCACGGGCGCTTACTCGCTCTCGACGCGGTACTTGTCCTCGCGCGCCTTCATCGTCTTCTTGAGCGTGTCAAGGCGGTCATCCTTGCTGGCGTTGTACGCCACGCTGACCTGGTTGAACGGGTTCTCGGGCGCCTTCTGGAACTGCTTGTGAATGATCTCGCGCATCTGATTCTGGCGTAGGCCCGGGTGCTGGGGTCAGCCGATCGGTTTTGGGGCGATCCGCGGAGTGCACGACTCACGTCCTCCTTGAGCTTCGGCATCTCGCGCTCGAGGTAAGCCGCAAAGGCGGCCTTGTACCGCTTCTCGGGGTGCCTCTCGATCTCACCAGCCTGAAGGTTAGCTCACCTCCCGCCCACTGCCAGTCTTCCCAGCCACTCACCTTTGCGCCCATAGCCTGGTCGCTAGTCTTGGCATTGACCACCTCGAGCGCCTCGAGCATGCCCTCGATGCCGGTGGCGCTCAGCTCGTCGACCTTGCGATCCTCGTCGCGGCGCAGCCCAGCGGGGTCGTCGGTCCGGAACACGGCGGCGATGCTCGCCGTCTGTGCCTTGAGCTTGGCCTCGGCCGCCGCCTTCTTGTCCTTGGCGGTTGGCGCCTTCTTCTTTACCGGCGCGTTCGCCTCTTCCTCCGCAAGCAGTCTCTCGCGCTCCGCCTTCTTGGCCGCGAGCTCGGCCTTCTTCGCGGCCTCCAAGTCGGCCTTGGACGCTCCCTTGGCTTCCGTCAGCACAAAGCCCCTGATGAGGGAGGCGGCTACACACGCCCCTCGCCTCGCTCAGCTCCGCAACTCACCGCCTGACTTCCACTTGTCTGCCTCGGCCTTCTCCTTGGTCTTGGCTGCCTCGTTGGCTTTCTTCGCCTGCATGTTAGTTGCCACCGACTAGCGCCCCTCCCCCTGGCCAATCCGATGCTGATGGGGTCGCCTGCGACTGCAAAGCCGACATAAACCGCTCGCAGTACGGCAGCTCTACGTTCGCATCTGCACCGCAGGCCATGGACCCACCTCGTTCTCGGCCTTCTTAGCGCGGCCAGCCTCCTTCTTCGAGTTTCCGCCCTTGTTTGGTGGCATGGTGATGTGGAAAGTTGACGATGTGGAGGTGACCGGTGCACGCGTACATGGCGTTGCCAGCATCAGTCCACAGCTGTGACGTTTCGGCCGATGAAAGACCTCCACCTTCTTTCCGCCTTCGATAACAATCCATGTGATTCATGAACAAATGCACATGCATGCAAGATATAATTGATGATGGTGGTTTATGGTTTATGCGTGCTTCTTCTGACACATCCCGGATACTCCTCCCTACCTGCGAAGCCCACAAGTCACGGCTTACCCTGCTCCTTCTCTCGTACTTTCTGCTGGCGCTCCCATCGCCTCCGCTCGTCTTCCTCCTCATCAAGTAAACCTAGGACGAGGTCCTCGGCACCGCCATCGTCCTCCACTGCTCGACGGTACTCATCCTCCCATCTATCTCCCCACTCGGCGTCCGTGCTTCCGCCATCCGTAGCCGGGAGAGGTCCAGAACTGGGTGCTGAGCTTGCGTCGTCCTCAATCGTTGCAAACACGGTGTCATCCTCAAACGATAATGGCGTGCCACTCGCCGCACTCCGGCGCCGACTGCGCTTATGCTGAGCGCGCGCGTACTCGCGCCGCACAACATCTAGGCCTTCGCCGAGGTTAGCAGCTGCGCGACGGATAGGGATGGAACCCCATAACCCGGCTTTGGACGGCGAGCCGTTTGGCAGCGCAGGCACCTGGGGCGAGGGACGAGCGTCCATCATCGAGTGTAGGGCGCTGCTGAGCGGCTCGTCAAACGAACTAGCCTCTGGAGGGGCGGGGTGGTGTACCTCAACTTCGGGGCGGAATACAAGGCGCCGCGTGCGCGCCACCTTGTCCAGCACGGAGAGTGGAGAAAACTCGTCAGTCGGGATTGCGGCGTGGAATGTTGCCTGGTGCGAAAGGTAGATGGATGATGGGAGAATTCTCGGACTCGTGCTGTGCGTGCGAATCTCGGCATAGTGAATGCTGCCGCGCCCGCCGTCCGCAGCACCGGGATCCATTTGCTTCGAGTCCATGACTGCTGGAAGCGTCACCATGTCCATGAACCCTCCCTCGCCGATAGGCAGCGCCCAGCGCGCAACGACGGCTGACTTAATGTCGAGGTCGCTCTCGCTTCTCAGACCTGCCTTCTGCCGCATCATTTCCGTCAGATTACTGCTGAGTCTCCGATGCGCCTCAGCTGGCGGGCTCGCCGCTGTAAGTGCAACCTGGTGGGCAGCAAGGCGGGCGAGGTCGAGCTCTGCTTTGGCCGAACGGAAGATGACAATGTCCTGGCACAACGTTCCTTTGCCGAGCGGGTGGGTGCGGAGGGCGGCAAACATGGCAACAGCATTTGCGGTCATACCCTCGGCATCCGCCTTCTCTTGCGTGTTCTCAGACACTCCTGCTCGATATGGCCGGATTCGAGCGCACGGCGCGATCTCCACTGACAGTGCCGGAAGAATATGAGCGTTTGTTAGCTTCAGCGGTACGTGGCTTGCTGCTGTAGGCTTCCCACCGCCAGGGCAAACGGGGAAGACGTCTGCTGTTAATGGCAATAGATGCAAAAACTCACGAACGGTCCCCCGCCCTGTACCAACCGCAACGTATCTGCCGTCGGGTGACCACGAAACGGAGCGGACGCTGGCTGTGGTATTGCCGCGACGCAGAACGTACGTGTCCCACACCTCGCCTTTTGGCGGACCGGGCCGCGAGAGCATCGCTCCCCTGGGCCGCACTTCGAGCACGTGAAAAGCACGGCCGTCGGCTGGAGCAGCGAAAAGCCTTGTGCCATCAGGAGAGAAATTAAGGAGCACGACTGGCTGGTCGCGAGGTATAGTGGAGCGAGGGCTTTGCGTTGGCATCGCAGCGACCAGGTGTCGGAGGGAAGGGAGTCGGAAGTGAGCGATAAGCTCGGGCTCGACGGATGATGCGGGAAATAGGTCGAGAATCTTTACCCACACGCCGCCGAGCGGCTTGGGCGACGCGATGTCCGCATCCTCGTGGGACCGGCTCTCGCATGTTTCAGAGGTGGGTGAAGAGAGGTTCTCAAGCACGCGATCGTTTGGTGCACTCGACGCCAAGCGCCCGGAGCTGGCCTGGCTAGCTGCCTTGGCGCCCGCCTTGAGACCAGCCCAGACGCCGCGTGCCACACCACCGCCGAGCTCGACGGCCGAGCTGAGGATCGCGCCTTGTGCGGTCGGCGGCGCGGCTGTGGACGCCGAGCCTTGGCTGCTGACGCTGCTGATGCGCGGCCGTGTCATTGACGCAGTGACGATCGATCCCAGACCATGAGGCCCTGGTGTAGCAGCCGGCTCGCTAGAGGCTAGTGCAAGCAGCCGACCGGATAGTGCCACCACCGGAAGGAAGCTCTGCGGATGCGCTGGCAGACCGACTATCGATGGCGTAACAAGCTCAAGATCCTGGTTGACGACATAGATCGAGGGCGAGGGGTGCGACGTTGTCTGCCATCAGCAGCGCAACCTCGGCAACTTACGATGACAATGGCCCGCTGAGAGGCGGTCACGGAACCGGCGATTCCTTTGCCGACGTCAAGACGCCGGTATGCTCGCCCAGTACGGAGGCTGATGAGCGAAACGCCAAGGGGGCCCTGCAGGCCGCGGGACTCCGGCGAGTGGGTGCTGTTGTCAGCTCGTCATCCGTGCTTCGGAGCTGACCATACGGCGAGAACAGGTCCATGTTCGCCCCACATGCGATGATGGAGAAGACATGCATTTAGCACAGTCTCGTTGCGCTGCGTGCGGCACTCTTGTACTCCGGGAAGAGCTGAAAACTGTGCGTCGCTGGCGTACAAGACGCTGGGGATGGTTGCGATTTCAACTGGGGCGGGGAAGGTCTCCGGAACATGCGGGTCATCAGGAATGACGCCGTCGCTCAACGCGAACACCTGCACGGCCCGCTGCGCCCATGCTATTAGCACGCGACTGCAGTCAGCATCATAGAAACGCGAAAATCTCACCTCCGCCCACTGCCGAGGTCCGCGTCAGCCCACGCCCCGCCTGCGGCTTCCACGGTAGGAAGGGGATTGACACTCGGGCTAGGGCTCTTGGGGAGAAATGACTTCAGAGCTCCGACGCCCGCCATCTCCGAGATGCCGCTGATTGATGGTAGGTTGCTGAAGAGTGACGAGAGAGACTGGGCTTCGCTGCCGTCAGTGCTGTGCGGTGATGTGGAGGCCCACTCGACTGGTAGAGCTGCAGTCAGCGTCCGCCTTCTGCCCAGCCCAATGCATTCGCACTCACGTTGGGCGGCGCGCATGCGCCGCACAGCCCCCGCCGGCCGTTTGGGGTGGTGCGGCGAGGGCATGTCAAAGGTATGAGTGCCGCGCGGCGGCGATCTGGTATGAGGAGCGGAACACGTGCGGGTAGGCCGAGGCAGGACAAGTTACGGCGGGCGGCGTGGCGTGGGGACGGCGTGGAGAAGAAGAAGAAGGGTGACGATATATGTGAGCAGTGCTGAGTGCGATGGTGAGAGGCGTTGGGTGGGGGCTGTGATGAGGGATGAAGAGGTGACGAGAGAGCGGATGGGTGGGCGACGGGAGGGATGGACGCGTTGATAAGAGTGATCGGCAACTGCCCTAGCCTCGTGGCGAGTGGCGACTGGGTGGCAACTGGAGCGAGTAGGATGACGACTCGGCTCGAGGAGACTTCACAGTGCAGATTCGCCGAGTCGTTGGAGTTACGCAGAGCAAGGACAAGGAGGGTGAGTGTGTAGAGGGCAATGGAGGCAGCGCTCAACGACGGAATGAGCAGCGGACAGAGGTGGGTGGCAAACACGGTTGTATCGGAACTCGACTCGGACGTCACCACCCTTCCAGCTTCCGGATACGAGAAGGGGGGCTCGATCAGGTCCTATGCCGCACCATCCCCACACCGCACGCCCACCACGCCCACCTGACCCAGCGCACTCATGAGCATGACACCTGCGCAAGCTTGGAGGCGCAGTCATCATTGCTGCGAGCGGAGGTGAGGTGTTGGAGACGACTGTGGGGCGTGAGTGCATTGTGATGATTGGCATTGCGTAGCGCAATTTGAGGATCCACAGCAAGGAGAGCAAGGTGATGCAGATGAGCAAAGGGGAAGACGTCGCTCGAGATGTGACTCGCAGCACGGAGGTCCACCTATGCGAGGACGAGCACCTCGTTGAGCCACTTGGTGTGGACAAGCCAGCACGTTCGGTGCAGTTCGGATATCAGCAAGATCGCAGCATCGTGGACCGAGAGCTCAGCTACGCGACGGATTCGAACAGCTCACCACTGTTGTTCTGGTAACCATATCTTTCACGGAAAGATTGCTCGCCGCGATCAATAGCACACTGTGAGGATCAACGCGGAGTCCTCAAGGTCTAGCTAGGCCAGACGTCAAGTCACAGTCCGATCGACGATCAGCTGGCGCGGATGCGGCGGGATTGCCATTGATCGTTGTTGTGGCAGAACGCATCTTCTGATTTCTAGAGCAAACTGCAACATCCTGGCTGACTGCTGCATCGTTGACCGTAAGCAGCCTGACCTAATCCATACTGATCCACTTCGAGAAGATAGAGTGGTTGTGATTGGATCTGAGACTGATGGGCGCTGTCCGCGGCCGGCCGGCCATCGCCGTCGTCTTGGCGCTCAGTCACGTTCCGCACCATCACCCCGCTTCTAGGGCCTATCAGGCAGTTGGACGTGTCCGATTGCCGATTGCCGCCATGGGCAGGGAAATCGCCTGCTTTCCATGCACCGCGGCCGGTCGGACACCGCCGCTCACCACCTCCAAACGTCGTGACTCTCTTTCAACACCGCGCCACATTTTCTTCTTACTAATTTTCCACAGCGGACTCGGCGTCCGGCGAGGTAATGTATGCTTGTGGGGCGACGTCGTGCCTTTGTGCTCTCACACCTTCACACGGCCTTGCTCTTCCGCTCTGTGACTGATGTCACCAGAAGGCCTGGTCGACGCAACTGACTTTGCTCCGTCCCGATCCATGACTTTCTGTGGAACACTCATGATGGGCGAGGCGGCGCTCACCGCTCACTAACGGAGAAACTGATCTCGGCGCCCGTCACTGGTGGCACCGCATGTGCACATCGCTCTTGTCCCGCCAAACGCTGAGCTAGCTGTGGGAAGACTTCACGCGCCAAGCGCAAGTCGTTAGTCGCCAATCGTCGAGTGAGGTCCGCTTTCTCGCCCTTGGGAATACCCGTGTACCACGCTCACCAGAGGCCAGCTCCGGACCTGGCGGGGGCGTGAACGCCGTTTGTCTCATCTACTCGGAGAAACCTTTGAAAGTTCTCGGCGTGAGAACGGCCCTCGTCGGCGAGAGTCCATGCCATCACTGCCGCAGGGCGGTGCCACCCTGCGGCAGTCTTACGGCGCCTGGGTAAACTCTTGGTCTGGTCTTGGACAGTACCGGCGTAACTTGTGTGGCTAATGATCGAGCACTTCCCCACAAGATCCCAGCGTCAGTCACATTGGCGACGAGGAACGTACAGGATCATGTCTGCGCGAGGCGCGGGTCCTGCGTTCCCTCTTGGCGCGTGGGTTTGTCCGTAAAATCATTCCCAGCCCCGCCCGGGTCCTGTAAAACCCACAGGGATGTCAACTCGTGACCATGCGTCCTCACCACCTTGTTGCGGCTCCAGAACGTTACCCGACGAAGCGCCGCTCACTCAACCCCCCCGTTCCTACGGGCCGCGGGATGTGGCAAGCGACGCCATTTACGTGAAGTGGTGTGTGCCCACAAATTCGACAGGCGCGGCGGGGTGAAATAGCCACATCGAAGCAATACGAGGTCGCAAAGGGGTGCGTCTACTTCCCCCTTCTTCCAATCGTGACTCGCTGGCCTGTCCCCTGGGTTTCTCGCAGGCAGATCCAGAGGCACAGACAACCCACTCTGAATTCCAACGCTGTGGCTGATCTTCCTGGAACGCTGTTTCGCCATGTTCGCATCCAGCCACGAAAACTAGGATTGCTGAAATTTCAGAGGATTCTCCGGCGCGGCAGCCACCGACCTGGCATCGAACAAAAGCCGACACCGCTTCTACCGTCGAATAGAAACGCCGCGAAGACACTCTTGGCAGGCGCGATGCCGATCGTGTGTCGCAACGGCAGTCAGTGTTGATGGCGCGAACTGAGGCAGTGAAGTCGGTGGTTGAACGAAATGCTGGTGGTAACCGAGCCGTCACCGAGGTGCCACGCGCTGATCATCATTTCCTCCTTCCCGTCCCATCACCAGATGTGCTGCATGCACATGATCCCTGGCAGTTGCCAGACATGCATCTCGCCTGTGCGTGTATGCGTGGTTTTTTTGCGACGTTGGTAGATGCAACGAGTGCCTGCGCCAAGTATCCTCTCGGCAGGTGTCAACAACGCTGACGAGGACTGCCATCTCCGGGCGTTCTCCAATAGCTCGTCCCCAACGAGGCATTCATCGAGCATAGCTGTCGCCGTTTCTACCGCGTCGGCTTTTCTTGGCAGCCCACGTTCATCCTGTGTACTACGGAGGCGCAGAAAGGCTGCGGAGCGCTGACGCGGACGATGACATGTCGGGCCTGCTGCTTCTTACCGAGGCAATCGTTACGGTCACCGAGGGGAGACCGAGCGCGATGCGACGGAGGACGCATGTAGAGCCTTCTGGCAGATTCGATATATATGCTGTTGGGCTGTCCGACACGGGCTGGTCCGTGGCACGCTCCGACTCGCCAAGAGAACATCCCAGTGGCTTAAACGCTAGCACCTGGCTCCGAATATATCGTTCGACATCTACGACTTATAACTCCGTTCCAGCTTCCCCGCTGCCACATTCATTGCGACATCTCCTTCTAAACGCACTACGGGGACACACACCCTGGCCCTGCCCCCGTAACTGGCTGTCGTAACAGTCAAATGGCCGTCTCGGTGTGGGAAGAGTACGATACTAGTCCGTGAGTATCTCCAAGCTACTGCCATGTACGGCAGCATAAACATGCCCACCGCCACTCGGTTTGGCGAGCTGCCACTCACCATGCCGCCACAGCGCGTGTGCAGTGTCAGAACCCTCCGCCACACATGGGCTCGGCGGTTACAACCGGCCCCTTGTGGACTGGGACGGTTACCCGGCCCTGGACCAGCCTGCTATCCCACGGCATTCCGTGGCGCCGCGAAGCAACAAGCTCCTTGTTGCCTGGCGGAAGCTTCCTCTTCTCTGCATCGCGCTCCACAACCTCCCACAGGGGGTGGCGTATCTTACCGCGCTGCCATCGACGATTGGCAGCGAGAGGATGCGCAGGCCGGATGTGCCACTGTGGAGCCAGGGCCTGGGTCTCGGCCCTGCTGGCATAGGGGTTTGGGCTGGAACAAATTGGACGAACCCGTCTTAAGCGAAGTCTGCACCTGTTGCGCTTTTCGCGGCCTGGTCGCTGGTACGACACAGCCCCGGCTTATTGGTCGGCAGACGTGTGCCACAATGCCGTTGTTTGGTTGCTTCGCCTTCCAGATCTCCGGGACAGGGTGAGGGGGGTGCACATCGCCCGACAGTCGGGACAGCTGACCCCTGCCCTCCCGAAACGCGCAATCCAAAACCCGAATGCATGCTGTGTAGGCCGCGCCTTTGCGCGGGCGTGCCTTGCTCCATCTCTCTCGGTCACCACAAGATCCCCGCCGAACGTCCAGCCCTCCTGATGCAGATGCAGATGCAGATGAGGTTACTCTGCGGCTCCGAATAGCAGCCGTCGATAGCCGAGGTGATGTTGAAACGAGCCTCCCCACTCTGCTGAATATCTCCCCCACCCTGCGCTGGTGACGGAATGTGTGAACATGATCATTGATCTCCGTGTTGTGAGCCCGCACCACACCGAGATCCCGAAATGCGCCTGCGCGTGCCCCGATAGCGACGGGCAGATTGGCTAGTCGGAGCGCCCAGTGGGCGGACGCTCGTCGGTCGGCCTCTCAGCTCCACCCATGCCCATGGACATTTCGACGTAGCGGGACATGGCGTCGCCCACATGCGTCTCGAGCTCGAGTCCGAGCGGGTTGCCGTCTGGCATGTGGAAGGAGGCTTGAGGCATGGATGGGCCGCCTTGCCCTGCCCAGCTCATGCCGTCTGGGCCAGCCGAGACGGGGGACGTGGCGCTGGTCGACTGCACGCCGTGGGGATGGAGAGGGGGCAGGCCTGTCGCGCCGTAGGGGAAGCCGGGATCGTAGGAGGGCGCGCCAAAGTGCTGACTGGTGGGGTCGAGGTCCATGCTGGGCCAGAGATGAGGCTGGGCGAAGAGATGCTGGGGCATCTGTGGGGAGGTGTGTTGCGAGATGGAGGGCGAGGAGAGGTGACGTTCGGTACGGACGGGCGTCATGGGCTGCGTCTGCCCAAACACGGGAGTGGTGGCTATGCTCGGCGAGCGACTGGTTAACCGGTCGAGTTCGCCTTGCAGCTCGGCTATGGTCAGTGCTTGCAATGAAAGGAGAATGGTGCTCACCGACTCTGGCTTCGAGCTTTGCGACAGCGGCGCGCGGATCCTCCTCTTCGGGCTCTTCTGGTTCGTTGTTCTCGAAGACGCACTGAACACCTCGCGCGTCGCGTTCCGGATCGGGTTGAGTGCGTGCCAGGAACCGGAAGCTGCGCACACAGCTGGAGCAGTGCGGCCGCGCGGCATCGCACTTGATCCGTCGGCGCCGGCAGGTCAGGCAGGCTTGGTTCCGGTGCAGTTGATCGGCGGAGCGCTTGAGTTTGCGGGGCGGCTTGCGCGGGGGATCGTCGCCTGCCCCTGTCGGCGCGATGGGCGACGTGGACGTCGAGGCGGTGGGCGAGCCCATCGAGACGGCGACGGCGAGTGCCAAGGACAGGGGCGGGACGCGGGGGCGGCGTTGCGGCGGTGGTGGCTTAGGGGATGGTAGTTGCTGATCGGCGCCACTTTTTTTTTTTTTTTTTGGGCGATCACCACGAAGAAGCAACCTCGGCTCAACGTAGAGAAGAATGGGAGTGTATGATGTCAAACGAGAGAGCTGTTGACTGTTGTACTATTTCCGCAAAGGGCCGGTGACAAGACCGAAGCAAGACCGAAGTGTGTAGAAGGGTGTAGGGGGTCTGTGGCGATTGGGTGCGTGGCGACCTGCAGTACGCGCTCGCACCTTGATATCGTCCATCGCTCTCGGTATCTGGAAGCTCGGTGACTACCTCTGCATATGAAGCGGCTCCTCCCACCTGTCTGCGGGCTGACTAGGCGGCGCGCAAGTACACCGTTGGGAGCAAGTGTGGGAGGTGAGGCTTGCTTGGCGTAACTGACGTGCCGGCCATGTGCGCGGCCGTGTTTGCTGGGGCCCTCTCGGGCTTCTCGGGATCGGGCTGGTCGTAGGTCCTGCGTGACGATCGGCCGTGATCGTGGCATGCCACCTTGTGTTTTGACTCCGCGCCCAGCGTTTCCCACAGTGCGGATGACCCTTTGCTGGACTATGACTGCCTGCCGTAGCTGCCGTCAGCATTTCTGACCACGCAATTTCAGGCCATTTGCTAGAGGCTGACCAGCATACCAGTCAACGCTTACCCAGCATGTTCGTCCAGGAACTGTGATTGCCTTCATCCTCTTTAAATGTTATCGTAATACATGTTAGTCAAGCACTCCAATACTCGCAGAATGCCCAAGAAGGTTCCGGATGGTTCACCGCCATACTTAAGACACATGTTCGACAACATTGATCAGCAACACCAAGTCCCTTCATTTTGTGTATCGCAACGATCGCCAGATCCTGAACAACCCTCCGAGCCCTATTCACTTCCGGCGCGGCTGCTGATTATAGCACCACTGACATACCTCACTGGTGCCAGTCGAAACAGGCGACAGCGTGCTTCACCATCCCACGTTCAACACCTGTCCTGCATCAGCCTGTGCATCGGCTCCCGGGACGGGTGCACAGCATTGACATTCCTCGCCCCACATGAGGCAGGAGCACGGGAAACGGCTGACTCCGTCAAGTTCGGCGTGAAGATACCGATGTAGTGTCTAGTCGCGACTTGTACGTCTGTGTACTGTAGGTGGAAGGGACGTGCTACGGCCGGGGCAAGGACGGAACGGCCCCAGCCCGTGTCGAATCAAGTGGTGTCGTGACAAATGTGGCGCTCCACACGGGACTCCATCATGAGATCCAGAGCGCTCTACTCTACGTTGATCTGCATCACCTGGCCACCTTGCATATCGGCATCAGGCATGCTTATCGCTCGGCATGGCTTCGGCATCGGCAAGTACACGGCAAGCGGGGTTGAACATGTTACTAACCTCCGCCCGTATCTGCCGAGGTAGTATGCCGGCCGCTTTACTCCGTGCGTCCGTGTTGATTCTTTAGCGAGGTCAACTGCTCATCTTGTCACCGGATCACCGGATCACGGCCTATCGCGGATCGCGGATCAGCTGGGCTCCACTCCCTTGTCGCGTGGCCTGATTCTCTCGTGCTCATCGCGTGGCCTGATATCGAGCGGCACGGTTCAGCGCGGTTCAGTCCACAATGTCAGCCACCGGATCTCGGACCGGTGCGCCGGCCGGACAACGGCCCGGCGCGGCAATGCTTCAGCAGCCCACCACATATACATGAATCGCCTGGCGCCGTTTTTCCCAACTCATCCCCAGTACTCATCTACTCGCCGCCATGACCCAGCGCCCCCGTGTTCTTATCTGTGGTGAGTTCTCCGGCGCGGTATCCACCTGTTGTCGCCACACCGCTGACATCAGCCAACCCCAAGACGGGGCTTGTGTGGACCCAGCCCGACTGCGCCGAGAAGTTCCAGGACATTGCCGATGTCGTGCAGCTCGACTCGAACTCGGTCGACGAGTTCTTCAACGACTGGGACGCAAAGTACAAGGGCGTGACGGCGATCTACCGGCACAACGACTCGGTGTCCGCCGTCGGGCTGTTCGACAAGGCGTTCATCGACCGCCTGCCGGCGAGCGTCAAGCTCATCGCCCACAACGGGGCGGGGTACGACCAGATCGACGTGGCGGCGGCGACCGCGCGTGGCATCGAGGTCTCGCACACCCCCAAAGCCGTCGACTCGGCTACCGCCACCGTCGCGGCGTACCTCACGCTCTCGGCGCTCCGCCAGTTCCACCGCGCCGAGACGAATGTGCGCGCCGGCAAGTGGAAGAGCGGGCTTGTGCCCGCGCTCGACCCCGACCAGAAGGTCGTGGGCATCGTCGGCATGGGCGGCATCGGGTCGGCGTACGCGCGCCGCATGCTCGCGTTCGACATGAAGATCCTGTACTACAACCGCCGCGAGATCAGCCCCAAGCCCGACTTTGACTGCACTTACTGCAGCTCGCTGGACGAGCTGCTTGCGCAGAGCGACGTCGTGTCCCTCAACCTCCCGTTGAACGACAAGACCAAGGGGTCGTTTGGGCGCGAGCAGTTCGCCAAGATGAAGAAGGGGAGCGTGCTCGTCAACACTGCGCGCGGAGGAGTCGTCGACGAAGACGCGCTCATCGACGCCCTCGAGAGCGGACACCTCTTCTCCGCCGGCCTCGACGTGTTCCCCGACGAGCCTAATGTCAACCCCCGCCTCATCGCCAACGACAAGATCACCCTCCTTCCGCATATGGGCACCGAGACCAAGGACACGCAGCGCAAGATGGAGCTCCTCGTTCTCGACAACATCGCATCGTTCATCCAGGGTAAGGGGTTGCTCACCCAGGTCCCCGAGCAGCGCCAGTAGGCCGTGTATTAGATTCTGCATGTGGTTTGTTGTGCGCGGAGCCTGCTGGCCTGAGGATGCGGAGTATTGGCCATGAGTGTGCGCATGTGCTCGCGGAAGCTGTGACACCTCCCAACTCGCCTGACAAGAGGCCTGGCCGCCAGGCGGGGAGGTTAAGCAGCGAGACGCATGTCCGTAAATTAACCAGGCGCCGAGGAATACTTGACACGGGTTGCTGACCTTGGGACAGGTGCTTGGATCGAGCTGAGGTTAGTGCGTGGGCCGGGAGTGAAAGGTCAGTGCACAAGTGGTAAGGGGTCTCGCCCAGATGGGATCGAGAGCGGCTTGGATCGAGAGGCCCGCCGCGGCATTGTTCGAGCCCACGGCAGACATGGCTGCAGCTACCGCAGCACTTCCGGTGAGTACCATCACCTTGCCGCTGATCGTTCGCAGAGTTGAAGAGCTTTCTACGCTACTTGGTTGCAACCGAGCTTGATACAGGCAGCAGATGACTGAATCGGGGGCTTACATGTTACCAGGGTTTTGCGTGAGTGGAGCGATTGCGAGTGGGGCCGTGCGTGTAAAGGACACGGCAGCTTGGCGAGCGTTGGCCAGTAGCGCAGTCTCGATGGTCTGGGCCGTGCGATCCGTGCAGACAGACGGCATTCAGCCGAGCTCGTCGACCAATCCATGGCTCGAAGAGAGCGCGTGAAACTGTGCGCTACGGCGCGGGCAGCGACGGCCACAGCGCGATCCGGAGTACTCCTGGCGTGCTCCCCATCGCCGACCCGCCCATGATTCAGTGCCTGTGCAATCTCATCTGGCCGTGGCGTTCACGTGTCCAGCCATCTTCTGTCGCCAATAAAGTTGCGACGCCTGCCGGAATGTCGGCGCTGTCAATTGGTGAATGGCCACGGTGTGGATGACAACAGCCTATTGACGCGTTGGCCGTTGGCGGTTGGCCGTTGGCGCATTGATCTTTGTCCGACTGAAGAACAGGGCGAGGGGCTGTGCGACGTCCCGTTGTTCCGTTGCGGCCAACGGATTAGACCCTCACGTCGCGTCGCGTCGAGGGAGGCCTAGTCCCTGCTCCGACCCTGCGTACCTGCGTCCATCCCATCCGGAAGCGCCGAACCCGAAGGGCCAAGGGGCCGGCGCCACTCACCCGAGTGCCTGAGCATGAGCAGCCGAGTATGCACCGATCGCCGAGCCACCGGAAGCAGTGCTGGTCGTGTGAGGTTGGCATGTGGCAGATGAAACTCGATGGCCTGACTTTGACTTGATCGACTTGAGAGGGCGGTGCCGCCGTGCAGATGTGGCAATGTGCACGGCTTGGCAAGCTGTCTCGCGTGTCTGCCAGGCCATAAAAAGGGGCTAGAAACTGTCCGCCTGACGGTTGACGGGGGTGTGACACGGTACACGACACGACACAAGCGGTAATGGCACGCGGCACGGGCGGGAGCGGTCGCCCGTTTGATGGTCGTCGCGTGTCGCTGCCAATGGGCGACGGTACGAGGGCGAGGGCGAGGACGAGGGCGAATGTGATGCGCGATGCGCGCATGTGCGATCGCGAGGTGTTGCGATGCGAGCGTGGCGCATCTCGGCGTGACCAGGGCCATGGTATCACGCCGCAAAGGCAAAGTCGCATGCTGATTGCAGAGGCTGACACCATTCTCTATCCTCGCGGTGCATGATTCTGTTCAGTAACGACCTGAGAGCTGGGACATCGAGTTTGGACGTCGTGACTGGCCCACGATGGTCGTCGAAGCATCAGCGCAATGAGGTGATCAGGTGAGTAGACGACTGTTTTTTTTTTTTTTGTTGTCGCCGATCGCCGAGCTTGAGAAGACGAGAAGTCCCAGAAGAGATTACCGTGGAGGATTCGCAAAGATGGCGTCAGGGATTTGCCGGTATTGTTCCTGTACTCTGTGCGCGTGACAGTCAGGGTCGGGAGCGAGGCTCTCGTTCTGCCCCTTTCCACCCTGAAACGAGGGCGCCATTCCTTGGCACTCTGGCGACTTTGAGTTTGAAAGCTAATCCAAATAAGCCAATATACATCATAGATAAGGGGCCAGTCTTCGCCACCCACTCTGTTGTGACTTGGCGCTTGATGCAGATCCCGGCGGCCAACACCCTTGCAGGTGGTCGCTTGATCTTGTGTTTACGCTGTTGACGCTGCTCAAGAGTGCTTATTGTGGGTTGAAGGTGTATCGTATGCTCGAGGACTGCGAGTGTTGTGCTGTTGTTGTTGGCGGTAATGAGGAATAGAATGGTCTGCTGTAGTTTGGGAAGGACTCGAGCAAGTATGTAGTAATAGTAGTAGTGTAGTGATGAGGACTTGAGGAACGTGACGATTATTATTGACCATGTCTGGGAAATGTTCAGGGTCAAGGTGAAAAGACGGCACGGTGCGAGATTGAAACCCGTGCTACCGTGTGCCCGTGCAAACTCGCGCAATCCGTCGCTCGCCGTCGATGACTGCGCTGCTGCCATTGAGCCCGGGCCCAGCCCCCCGTAAGCCGTCAGGCGTGCAGGCGGCAGGCGGTCTACTGTCTGCCCGTCAGGCCGTCAGTGCTGCAGCCTTGCGGCAAGCCCGGCTTGCCCGGCAACAGCAGCCACCTTTTTGATTCCTGACAACCCACGAACCCACGACCTCCCCATGCACACAGCCCAATCGCGCCCAATCGCCCAATTACCCAAGCTTAGACCTCGGTCAAAAGTCTTGGCTCTTGCGCCCGCGTGCCCCTTGCCCTCCTGTGCCTCCCAGCTCTGAGTTTCTCAATCGCTCGTCGCTATCAACCCCAGCCAGCGCCAGTTGGCCCCAAGTTGGCCGATAGCACACCTGGCACCCGGAAACCTGCAAACCTGCAGGCCTGCAGCGGGTCATCCGTACGGGACGAGCCGCGAGCCGCGAGCCGCCGTACTGTAGATGGTAGTAGAAATTGGATGGGCTCCCCTCCCCCTTGACCACCCTGTCCCTGTGTGTGTGTGGTATGAGAATGGTCTGGCACGCGTCTCTGGACTTGGAAAGAGACTAATGAGGCATGGAGCAGAGGGGCACTAGAGGAGAGAGAGAGAGAGAGCACAAGTGGCGTGAGGCGCATTCAAGAGCGCGCCAAAGCGTTACCCCTTGCCACCCACCCATGCCACCCATCCAACAGGCCACTGCAGCTCTGCTCTGTGTACACCACTTCCTCTCGTACTCGCCTTGCTTTCTCCCCTCCTCCTCCCGCCACCCCTTCCCCTCCCCCTCCTCCCTCCTCCCTCCTCCCTCCTCCCTCCTCCCACTTATTCTCTCGTCTTCTCCCTTCGTCCATCTTGACATCTTTACATCTCTCTCTCTCTCTTCCTCTCTTCTAATTCTACTCCATCTCCCTTCCATCCTCCACAACTACTAGTGACTCTCATATCTCATCTCTGTCCTCTACTCTACCTCTCTACACGTATCTACTCGACCTCATCAGATCTCTTGCTGTTACAGCTCTCACACCTCGACCTCAACCCTCCTCCTCACTACCACCACCACCACCACAACCACCACCTTCCTTCCATCTAACAATGTCCGCCCCCGTCGAGGAGACCAAGGTGAGTCGCAAACCCCCCTCTCGTTATTCGGCCTGCGTCTGCGTTCACCTGTTGTGGGGGCGGGCCAACCAACTCGAGTGGCAACATCGCGTCACCGGACTGCGGTGGCGTCGTAGCTCTTGTCCTTTGAATGCCATCGCACCTTCTCCCATTTTGGTCTGACCGCCTGGCTGGCTGCCCTGTCCATGCTGCACATGCACAGTCATGCAAACCCCAGATCGGGTCCGAAGCTGGGCCAGGTCAGCTGCTCTTGGGCGGATTCGAGGTCTTGCTGCCTTATCTTGCCGCTTTGCCACCGCATCGATGACGCTGACACGGCTCAACCGCACGACATTCCGCGCTTGGCCCAATTCATCCGATCACATATCCTTCCATATTCCGTCTTTTCCTGCAGCCCGTCGTTGTTGCCGCCGAGGCCCCTACCGCCGTCGTGGCCCCCGTTGAGGTTGCCGAGGCCAAGCCCGAGGTTGCCGCTCCCCCCGTCGTCGAGGCCGCTCCCGAGGTTCGTGCTGTGCTGCGTGACATCGGGCGTCGATCGCGGTTACTGACACCTAACGCAGGCCCCTGCTGCTGCCCCTGCCACTGAGGCTGCTGCCCCCGCCGTCGAGGCTCCTGCCGCTGAGGCCACCGAGGCTGCCAAGCCCGCTGAGGAGTCCGCCGCCGCTGTCGTCGCGGCCGAGGACAAGCCCGCTGCCGAGGTAAGTGTGCCTTCCCTCCTGAAGACTCTCTCCCCCCGTTCTATTGGTCTCACCCGTGCAGGACAAGGTTGAGAAGAAGAAGGTCAAGGCGGACAAGCCCTCGTTCTTCTCCAAGCTCCTCCACAACTTCAAGGACAAGAAGGAGAAGAAGCCCGCCCCTGCCACCAAGGCTGTGGACGCTGCTCCTGCCGAGCCCGCCGCCGAGGCTCCCAAGCCCGAGGAGGCCCCTGTCCCCGTTGTTGAGGCGCCCAAGGTCGAGGAGGCTGCGTGAGTCCCGAGAACGCAAGTGTGAGAACTCGAGCTGATAGTGTGCAGTCCTGCCGCCCCGGAGCCCGTTGTCCCTGCCCCCGCTGAGCCCGTGGCTGTCCCTGCCGCTCAGCCTGCCGCCGCCGCCGTCGAGGCCCCCAAGGAGGCTGAGGTCAAGCCCGTCGAGGGCTCTTCTCCCGAGAAGGAGGCCGCCGCCAAGGCTCTGAAGGCTGGTCGCCGTCTCTCGGCTCGCTTCACCGGCTTCTTCAAGCCCAAGGAGCACCACAAGAAGGAGACCTCGCCCGCCAAGGAGGAGGCGCCCAAGGAGGAGATCGCCCCTGCTGCCCCCGTCACCGAGGACGCCCCGAAGATTGAGGAGCCCACTCCCGCGGAGCCCATCCAGATCGAGGCCGTGAGTTGCTCGACACGCACTTTGATTAACCTTTAGCCTAAGCCGGCCGCACCACCCGCTGCGCCTGCTGTCGCCGCCGCGGCTTAGAGTTATGATTGAGCGAGTTTGGACCTGTGTATAAATGCCTTAAAATCTCTTCACCTTAATACACCCACATAGGGGTGTCCGTATTCGCCATCACCCTCCACTCCCCTACCGCAACTTGACGCACGCACCGTGGCCCTTGCTTCTCGTTGCCTTGGCAGCGTGGAATACTAGTCACCTAATAGCCCCATGCATGAGTGTTTTATGAGGATACGCGAGGGCGAAGGGATGAGTGCGAATGAGGGCCAAGTCATGAGTGGTCGTACAAGTAGGCAGCGGGTTGTTATACGAGCCCTCTTCTAATGCCACGTGTGAGCCTCCACTTCTTCACTCCAAGATTTCGGCTCATGTCTGCCCTCATGTTGTGGTTCGTTTGCATAACCTGGGTCGTCCACTCGCCATGTCTCAACCAACAGCATCACGCGCCAAGCGCATCGGAGCTCTTCTGTTCTGCCCGGCATGTGGGACATTGCTCGACCTCCCCCGCGACGATCAAGACGAAATCGAGTGCTCCCAGTGCGGGCGGAAAGAGCCGGCAGCGTGTGAGTGGGCCGAGGCCAGGCATGCTGGACGGCGCAGAACGAGGCAGAGCAGCCCAACATGAGGCATACTGAGCTTTGACACCTTCTGACATCAGCTTACGAGAACCTGCCGACCAAGACGTACTCGTCGGCCAATGCGTTCCCGTCCGCGCTGAAGGCTAAGCGCGCTCTGGTGCAGAACACGGTGGAGGAGGGCGAGGCGGCCAAGGACCGTGATCCGATCGTGAGTTGCGCTAAGGTTGGGGAGTGTTCGGCGGAGAGGTGGGGAAGAGGTTGGCGGAGAGATTGGCGGAGAGGTGCTGGGAGGGGTGGAGCCGAGGCTGCTCAGAGGTCAGAGCGGAAGATAATGGAGAGAAGGCGGAGGTTGGCGTACTGGTTGGCAGAGAGGAGAGGATAGCAGAGAGGAAAGGTCGGCGGAGAGGGGGATGGCGGGGAGGAGAGAATGGTGTAGAGATGAGTTGGCGGGGATGAGAGTTGGAGGGAGAGCGCAGGGAGGGGCGGGGCCAGAGAGCCGCGGGAGGAGGGCGAGGAGGAGATTGGAGAAGTAGGAGACACGCAGGAGACGGAGGCGAGGGACCGAGGTGATATGGGCGCAGCGAAGGCGGCAGCCTTGGGGGGCGAGCTGTGTGACAGGAGCGGCAAAGGAGGCGGAATAGCGCAGAAGCCTGGCCACGCCTAGTCCGCTCCGTTTACTGGTCTTGCCGTGCTGTGGGAACGCCTGCTCTCCCCCGGCCTCAACTGCTCTAGCACCTCGTCCGCGAGCATCATCTAAGCTGCCGTCTCGACCTGTCGCCTGCCTACCCCTTTCACCTCTGTGTACCCACACCCTCTCGCCCCTTTCACCTCTGTGTACCCACACCCTCTCGCCGCACTTTCCGCCTCATTATTCCCATATCACACACACACACTCACACCAGGCCAACGAGCGCTGCGACAACTGCGGGCACATCGGCATGTCGTACAAGGAGATGCAGCTGCGCTCGGCCGACGAAGGCTCGACCATTTTCTACAAGGTACACATCGCGGGTCCGCAGCTAACGCCAGTGCCTCAACTGCGGGCACCAGACGTCGACGAACAACTAGGTGCGGGGTGTTGTATGCTATTGTTGGGTTATGGCGGGCGCGACGGATGGGTGTGGCGACAGTAGTGTGGCGCGGGGGAGGTGGCAGTGAAGACGAGTAGCAGCGACGCCAGGCGCATCGGTCTTTGGGACCCAGGCGTTTGGATACGCTCGTACCTCGCCGAATTGGGCATACGAGTGCCCCGCGGCGCCCTGCGCAAACTTGGGGACAGGACTGACGCGACTGAGGCGGCTGACAGTCTTGACTCGATCGTGTACACGAGTGCCCGGCGCGCCTCCGCGGCATGCTGTGCATGCTCGGTCATGTTAGTGCGTCGCGAGTCTACTAAGCATATCTTGATTGCGGCACCGAGACGCGACGCGTCGCGCGTCCAACTTCAGCCCCCAGCATCTCTCATCTATATGGCAAGATTTCATGGATCACATTAACATTATACGGCTGTAACTAAGGGCGTGTCTAGCTGCTATCCAAGAAGATCTGCTACTCTGAATCGTGTACGCGTACGGCGGCTCTCGCTTAGTCGACGTACATGGTCTGGCGGCGGACACCGCCCCATGCGCGCGCCTTGAACGCGATGCCGATGATGAAGACGAGGGCGATGAAGACGAGGATCGTTTCGGCCCAGCCAGCACCCATGAGGCTCCACACCGATTGGCACTTGGCAAAGTCCTGGCGCGGGTCGTCGCACGAGACCTTGGAGATGAGTGCGGTGAGCGAGGACACACCGATGAGGTACAGGAGGAATGCGATGGACATGGGGATCAGGTGCGTCAGGATGCCCATGAAGAGCGAATGGCCCGCGACCTGGAATCCGATGCCGAGGAACACTTGGGTGAGCGGGGTTCTCAGACGTCAGGCTATCCGCCCGCCCCAGACCGCCGCAGAGGGCGGTCATCCGAGGGGCGAAGGTGGCTTCAACGACTTACGCGCAAAGACACATGTCCAGACCGACGCGACGAGCGTGATGCGGATACGGTCACGGTACGCGGCATTGTGCTGCGGCGGGTACCCGTTCTTGTTGTAGTATCCGACCTGGTTGGTCAGCAAAGTCGGCGGGGCGAGTGCTTACGAGATAACCCGAGATGCCTAGGGTGATGATGCCGACAAGGAACACCAAGAGGAAGATGATGCCGTGGGTGATGCGGATCGCGCGCTCGTTCATTGTGACGGTGACGGTGGGGTGTGGTGGCGGGAGTGATGGCGATAGTGGATGGGATGATGGGAGGAAATTGAGGAGCGGGTGGCTTGCCTTTTTACAGGCCATCACTCTCCAGCCAGAGCCAGAGCCCGAGGCCAGTGGGGGGGCCGCTCTGACGTCAGTCGGGTGCCTTCTCCACCCTGCGCGACGATTGACGATTTTGGTGCACGATCGGCCTCTTGGCTCCCTTGCCTTGCGACATGCGGCGGGAGCGTGGCCGGCGGATCGGCGGGCGGAGCTTCTGCGCTAGGCGAGAGCGTGATTGTGCCATCATGCGGCATGCCATCACAGGGAGGTGGGCAAAACGGGCTAAAGTGGGGAGCTTCGGCGTCATCGCAGTCTAACAACGTCCGTGCACTGTGCTCCGCTCGGGTACTTCGGGCCCAAACATCCCTGAATCCTCTCTCTCTGCGCGATTCTGTTCTTAATCGACCCCCACTTTGCGCGGAGAATGTGGGAGCTCGTGGTCGTCCTCGTGGCAAGCTCGTGGCTTTTCTGGTGTGTGATAGTAGACGCGACCGCGACGACCAGTGCGGGTTGCGTGAATTTGTCTCTCCTCTGCACTCATTCTGACACAGTAATAGTGTGCGAGGGGCCAATGTGCACGGACGTCCGAATAACGAGCGCGGGGTCGGGGCTTACTCGCTCATGATCAGAATCAAAGTCTTGCCTGCACATGACCTTGAGGCCATGAGGCATGAGGCATGAGGCATGAGGCATGAGGGGAATTTGGATGATGCCAGTGCTGTAGTCTTTGCGTCTCGATTTATGATGCTGATGACATGCTGAATAAAGCGGAGAGGCGCAGGAACATGTAGGCGAGACATGCATGATCAATGCCAAGCGAGTCAGAGATGGATGTTCTCACAAAAGTTTGGACGATGCGACGTCTTGGCGGTGGGCGAGCAGCAAGCTGTGCGGTGAGTGGCAGAGGAAGAGGGAGAGAGCAGAGAGCGACTGGGGCGGGCTGTGCGTCCCCGGCTGTGTCAACCTCACCTGAGCGCCTGAACCCCTTACTCGTGGCCGTCTAGGCACTGCGCCTCCCACGTTGCGGGTGCAATGCCAGGCAGAATAGGCAGAGCAGAATTATGCATCGCTTCGAGAGGCTTTTGAGGGTCGCTCTTTCCCAGGGTAATCGACGAGCGGAAGAGAACAAGGAGGGGGGGGTTTAAACTGGCCACTGGCCACTGGGCCAAACGCGTCTCTCTGTGTTTGCTGCTGCTGTGCACTCGCTCACGGCCACCACACCGCTTCTCCATCTCCGACCTCCTTCTCGCATTCTTTCATTCTCTCTATTCTCTCTCTTTCATCTTGGCCGCCTATCTCCATCCAAGGCGTCTACACAGAGCTACAGTAGCGTCGAGCATCGATCCACACATACACACACGCTTGCCAGGGCGATCGGCGTAGCTGCGACACACCGTTTGCCCCATCCTCAGTCATCGGCATCGGCATCGACAGCCTCCCTCCATCTCTCCTCCCTCCTCCCTCTCTCTCTGCTCATGCGCCCATCACGGAGACGATTGGCTGCTGCGGCGCTGTTGCCGCTCGCAAGCGCGCAGTTGGCCAACACGTTTCGTCACGTAGGTAGCGCAGGCGTAAGGTAAGCCCTCACCGCATAGACACACGCGTACCCCTTATCTCCGACGCATCGCCCACCTCTCTGTGCCCCAGCTAATTCCAGCGCCCAACAACTCTTCCTCGGCGCCCCGCACAAGCTCTACTTTGTCGACAAGACGGAGAACAATCCCATACAAGTCCGAGGTCACCCTGCGTGGGCGACCGAGGTGGACACACGCACATGGCAGCCCCGCGCAATGGACATTGCGACGAACGCGTTCTGCGCGGGCGGCACAGTACTCGGCGACGGAACTTGGCTCAACGTTGGTGGTAACCAGGCCGTCATCGCGGGCGGCGTCGGAGCATCTGACAACCCGGGCTCGCCGCCCGACGCACAGCAAGGCAACAACATGTACGGCAACGCGGACGGTCGTAAAGCCGTGCGCACGCTACTGCCAAACGACGAAGGGACGGCCAATTGGGTCGACGACCCGGCAAACTACTTGCCCCATGAGCGGTGGTACCCCACGCTTGAGACGCTCGAGGACGGCCGCGCCATCATTTTCGGCGGATGCCAGAACGGCGGGTACGTCAACGACGCCAACCAGGACAACCCGACGTACGAGTTTTTCCCCAAGGACAACTCTGGCCTCACCACCCTTGGCATCCTGACCCAGACCCTTCCCGTTAATCTGTACCCTCTCGTGTGGCTGCTGCCCTCGGGCAACATCTTTATCCAGAGCGGGTGGCAGGCCGTCGTCTTCGACTACAAGAACAAGGTCGAGTACCCGATCGCCAACGTGCCCGATGCTGTGCGCGTGTACCCCGCCTCGGCCGCGACAACCGTCCTCCCCATGACGCCAGCGAACAACTGGACGGCATCCATCATCTTCTGCGGCGGCACAAACTTGCAGAACAACGAGTGGGACCCCAACGTCCGCAACATCGTCCAGGTGCCCACGGAGCGCTCCTGCGTCACCATCCAGCCCGACGTCGACGCCGGCTGGTACCAGGAGGACGCGCTGGACGAGGGCCGGTCCATGGGCCAGTTCATCAACCTGCCCGACGGACGTCTCTTCTTCGTTAACGGCTGCGGGCAGGGCACAGCCGGCTACGGGAACCAGTCGTGGGCCATCGGCCAGTCGTACGGCGACGTACCCCGCCTCACCTCCTACTACTTTGACCGGACGCAGGACCGGGGCAAGCGCTGGAGCCGCGCCGGCACATCTGACACGCCGCGGATGTACCACTCCTCAGCTGTGCTGCTTCCCGACGGCTCGGTGGTCGTGTCCGGCTCGAACCCCAACGCCGACTTCGTCAGCGCCGACAACCCGCCCACCACCCCCAACAACAACTACAAGTACTTCAGCGACACGTCGATCGAGCTCTTCTACCCCGACTACTGGGACAAGCCGCGCCCGGCGCCGAGTGGCATGCCCACGACGATCGGGTACGGCGGCACAGGCTTCGACATTGAGCTCACGAAGGCGGATTTGGCGGACGCTACCGCCAACATCGCGCGCACCAAGGCGGTCATCATCCGCACGGGCTTCTCGACGCACGCGCTCAACATGGGCCAGCGCCATGTCGAGCTCTCCACGAGCTTCAGCACCAACGAGATGGGCGGCGCCACGCTCCACGTCGCCCAGCTCCCGCCCAACCCCGCCATCCTCGCCCCGGGCCCCGCCATGTTCTTCGTCGTCGTTAACGGCGTGCCCTCGAACGCGAGCTGGGTCATGATCGGCAACGGCCAGGTCGGGCAGCAGGATATTGGCGCCACCACCGTCCTCCCCCAGCCCACTTGGAGCCAGGACGTCGCGGATGAGGCAAGACGGCTGAATATCCAGGTCTAGTTGTAGGACAATCATTGCTTAGGAAAGTACTGTATTTCTGGGCGGGGCCAAGCTGCTGGTGCTGTCATGGTTGGCGGGCTGGGATGGATAGCGAGTCAGTGAATGTGGGGTTGGTAGCGGCTGGATCGTGCAATATGAGCATGGCCCCTTTCTGCAAGCCAGCACTACTCCGAAATTACAAGAGGTCTCTCGTGATGTGGACCGACACATCACCATGGGATGTTTGGTATTCATCAGGACCTGCACCAAGCATCCACCAGCACCCAACGCTACACTTGGAGAGCTGCATCCTGCCCTGCTCTATCAAAGTCCATGCCGCGCCGGGCAGAGTCGTCGTCGCGTGCACACCAACTGTGCATCAATAGGCGATGAAAGAAGCCGGTAATACGGCGTAAGTGTTACAAGCTGCGGGTATCCTATGCTTGGGGTAAAGGCGGCCCCGCGGCTAACGCGCCAGGGGCAGCGCAGTCGTAAATCGTAAAAAGAAATTAATAAGACGTGGACCGAGGAGCACGCATGGTGGGACACAAGATGGGGCCGGGTGGCTGGGCGCTGCTCCTGCTGGCGCTCAAACCCTGTTGCTTATACTGCACTCATACGCTTCCTCGCGCTACGGGCGGTCGCGAGAGGGTCCGCGCTCCATCTGGAACGAGCGACGCTCATCGGCTGCGACCCCTGGCGAGGGCGGCGCTGATCCCCGGCTTGATTGTCTCGAACCGTTGCTCGCCGGACCCTGGAATGGTCCACGCCACTGCGGGGAGGGCATTGGCATTGCATGCCCGTACGTTCCGCCGGGCGAGATGACGGCCGGCGCGGGTTGCCCGTTTATTGTGGGCATTGGCATCGTCAGCCCCGTCGGCGGGTTGGCGGCGTTGTACACGTTCGCGTTCGGAGTCTGGTTCGCGCTTGTAACAGCGGTTGCGTGTCCCGTCGGCGTACTTGTGCCAGACATGCCGGGACTCGTTAGAGGCGGTCCATGGGCCCACGACATTGGTCTTGAGTCTGACCCTCCGGGGCCTGGAGGGGCCGCTCTCAAAGTCGCATTGCTCTCCTCGGAAGGGGCTGGCTTTTCGTCGTTCCAGCTGTCGCTGCGGTAAGGCTGTGGCGACTGCGCTGCGCTCAACCGCGGGTCGGGGGGTCGCGGGTGCCCACCTCCCGAGGGGCCAGAGAAGGATTGCTTCTGGGCCATGCCGGGGTTACCGATAGCTTGGAGGTTTGTCTGCGATCCGCCCTGGCCATGAGGTTGTTGCAGTCCGCGCTTGATGTAATATTTCTGGCAGAGTTTGTACACCTCCTTCGGCGCCAGATCCGTGTCCCTGGAAAATAGCTTCGAGACCTTTTCCTGTAGCACATAGTTGAGTTCTGGCGGGACGCGATAGAAATCGTCCTGTTTCTCCAGTAGGGTTTGGACTGCAGTGATGGCGATGAAGCTCTCCTCACGCTGGGCCTGCTGACCCTTGCCGTAGAGAATATTGGGCGTGATGACCGTAGCGAGATTCGCCAGGTCCATCTTGCTGCCAGAGTCCTCATTCTGGCCCGAGAAACTTGCAACCCAGCGAAGGAAAACGAAAACTACCTCGATCGTGTCGCGGTTTGGCTTCGGCAGCAGCATCATCAACAGATGCAGACAGCGAATCCTGTCCTGGGGATTGGGCATAGCTGCACATCAGCGGTTCATCCTTACTCGGAAACTTACATGCGGCGGCACACCACAGCTTGTGGAGCCGGAAGGTAAGAAGGGGGTCAGGAATCTCGCGGAGGAACTTCTTGAGCAACGCAGCCAGCTGCACCGGATTCTCTTCAGACAGATTTACGCTTCCGTAGTTTGAGTCGAGCATCTCCGTAGTGGCCGCAAGCCTCCTGATGTTGCCGTTTTTACGGAAGATACCCTCAACTGCCATATCTGGGATGAGCTGGGACATGCTGGTTTTAACTCACCCTGTTGCCGCATAGTAGCGGTAATCTCCTCAATGAACTCCGGCACACGGAGTAGCACGTTAGGCGAAATGCCCTGCTGCGAGTCTGATCCGGTGCGGTCCACTAGTACTTCGATGGGGACGCCAAATATGCCCTTACGCTTCTGGTCCTTTTTGGCGTTGTTTTTGAAGAGCTTGAAATTCCACCACTGACCCCTGCGCACCTCGAGCATGTCCATGAGATCCTCGGGCTCCACCAAGTGGCCCAACCCAGTCTTCTGCAAATGCAGCAGAGCAAAGTGGCGAATAACCATCGCCTCCAGAGGCTTGAGCTCGGCCACGAGGGGCTGTGCATCCAACCTGCTGCCCTTCTGTTGAGCTTGCGCCAGCAGCGGGATATCGTTGAGGGTGATGGCGTCTGGTTCCTTTGAGCGCTTCTCAGCCATGAGTGGTGACAAGCCATCGTTGACATGCGTCATCGAGAGCAGAGATTGGTCATGGGGCTGCTCTTGCGCCTCCGACAAGATCCGCACCGATGTGTTGTTGCGCGCAAATGCTGGCCGGATGACATCGACCGTCGAAGCTTGCGACCCATGCTCCGAGTCCGTTGGGGTCATTACGATCGGCGCCACCGGCTCTTTCGCCGCTGGCACGACGTAACCATTCTCATCTGCCATCCTTGGCCTGGGGCTGTCAATGACCGTGGAGCGCTGCGGAACCCGGGCGGTTGAAGACAGTTTGCGATCAAGCGTGACCGACTTGACGCGCTTGACATCATGTGACTCGGGGCGTGTGAGCACTAGAGGAATCAGCAGCGGCCTCACAGAGTAAATCTTACCACTTGAGATATGGTGGTGCTCCCTGAAATGCAAATACAGACGGCGAAGAGCGACGTGAAGCAGGAAGGCAAACTGCTCGAGGCGAGACACCGACTGGAAGCCTGGAATGGCCGAGGCCGTGCGATGGAGGTTGCACCACACGATGTCGGCTGGGGCATACTTCTGCTGAGGAGATTCGAACACAAAGTCGCCGGCGCGAGGAGGTAACCGACGCTGATGGAGAATCTTGTTAGGCGGTTCAGGTGCATGAGTTGTGGAGCCCTCATGAGAGTCCTCGTCAGCCGAAGGTCGCACGCCGGGACTGTGCTCAATGTTGACGTTGGCCGCGTTGTCACCGCAGTTGCGACACTCAACGCACTCGGAGTGCCAGCGATTCCACATGCCGAGGCGGATGCAATCGTCCTCAACATTCTCATTACAGCGCACGCAGCCGTCGTTGGGAATGAAGTTGTCGTCCTGCGGCCCACGCAGTGTCGTTTCCCCAGTAACCTCACATGCCAGACTGCGGTACCCGTAGGCCACACTCTGTGTGCTCGAAGTATGTCCCTTGGGATTGCGCGTCAGGGAGTCGTAGCTGCGCCGTGCCATCTCCTCCGGGGACTCGTTACCTGTCCAAGGCTCGAGCGGCGTGGTTGGGGCGGCATAGTCTCCACGCTTCTGCAATGACGGATCGGCACCGTCGAGGGCGAGGAGATGCAACCTTGCGAGTGCGTTTGTCATGGCCTCAGGATTGGATTGCTCACGGTCAAGCTTGATTGCGCCCGTGAGTGCGATGCGAATGGTGATCTTGAGGTAGTGAGCAAGTTGGGTGACTTGCAGCAAGAGCGTCTTCATGTCGGGGAACGACTGGGGCGTGATCTGCGATAGCATTTGGAAGAAGTTGACGAGCTTCCGGCAGAGGTGCTTGGCCTCACGGGAATGAGACATGCCTGGGCGTCGTCAGCTTGCCGCATGCGTTTCGCACCACTCGACTCGATCGACTTACCCTTGGCTCCAACCTTGGCAAACTGCGCCTCAAGGTCATCAATGACGGCGAACAATGTCTCGACGTGCAGAATAAACTTCTCGGCCACAAGGATGACATCGAGGAGCTTGCGCTCATTAACCACGCGGAGCATTTCACCGATGCACGCGGCCGAGCTCTCCTCAAAGCCCGACAAGACGAGCCAGATTTGTGAGACCTTGAGTTCCATGGCGATTTGCCGTTCCTTGAGCTCCTCGGCAGTCATGTCGTTGCCCCATCCAGGACTGGTGCTTCCAGAAGGCGACGAGGTATGGGTCATGGGCTTCATACCACCCTTCGTGGTGATCTCCATCAAGGAGAGTGATGAACTCACAGGAGTCGCATTCGCAGGAGTCGCAAAGTTCCGCGAGGCGAGACGTACGTTCCAAAACTTGTGAATCATGTAACACTCTGGATGCCAGCACTCATCCTTGCCGTTGCGGTTGATCTCGACGAACTGTTTCAAGATGGCGGTCTCGCAACCAACACATTTGTTTGCAAAGCTAATCGAGTAATGGTAATGGCAATCTGACCCGTCAGCTTCAGCGTCCTTTACTTTTCATCAACTGTGAGTCAGCGGCACTCACAAGCATGGCCTCGGTGTTCGTAATACGAGTCGTTGGCGCCAAAGACGGTGTCGCAAACAGAACACGAAAAGTGCTCGACATGGAACTTTTGCCCGCATGCGGTAATGTAGCTGGACCGCAACGCCTGGTCACACTTGGCGCAGATCAAGCCCAACCGCGCAAAATAGTCGCGCTCGCACAAGGGATACTGGCTTCCCTCGTCTTCGATTGGGAAGAACTTTTGGGCGACAACCTTGTCACAGTCCTGGGAGGGTAAGCGCGTTGATTGAGACGGGATGGATAGCTTACCTTACAGCGGAAGCAGTCCAGGTGGTACACCTGATGAAGAGCTCGGACAAACTGGCCATGCACGGTGTTGCCGCACTTGGCGCAGCTCGTTGTGGATCCTGAACGCTTTGTATTTGGTGGTGGCTGTTGCTGTATTTGCAAGGTTGTAGCTTGTTGAGACGATGTGGTAGAAGTGGGGGTATCGGATCGCCTGGCTTGGTGTTCCAACGCAGCCATATTTGTAAACGAGGAGCCTCGTCGTGGTAGTGGTAAGCCAGAGCCATCCTGCGACCTCGACTTGAAGTAAGCAGCTTGAGGGTCCGGGCCCCCCGCTGGGGAGGTCATGGGTGAGCTCCTGCCCGACCCTTGGTCGCCAGTGCGTGATGGGTCCGAGGCGGAGCGCAGCGGGGTTCCAGCAAAAGGCTGAGCTGGGCCAGCGAGTGGACTGGAAACGGAGGGTGCGCTACGCGGGGCGCCTTCCTCGGTGTCGTCGGTGCTCGGTGAATGCGCATTGCGGTCATTCGGGGTGGCTATACGCAGAAGATTGTAATGTTTACGAGGGTGATCCATGGGGGAAGGGAGCTGATAATGCTGGGGCAATTGTGACATTGCGGCTTGGGGGCTTGACGAAAGAGTGCCACTTGCGCTCATGTCGCTATACTCGCCGCGGGGTGTCATCCATGGATAGGTGGAGGAAGACGACACAGAGGTCGGGGAGAGAGGAGGATTAGAGATGAGATTGGGGGATGTTGAATGATGGCTGGATTGTATCGAGTTGGCAGATGGGCGGCGTGATCCGGATGCACCGCCCATGTTGTCTAGAGAGGGCCGGTCGAGTCTGTCGGCCTGGGCATAGCTGCTGCTGCTGCTGCTGCTGCCGCCGGCGCCGCTGTTGCCAACGTAATAGCCTGAAGGTTGGGCCAACATGCCGCTGTGGTGACCACCGAGGCTGCTCGCCTGGATAGCGGCCGAGTCGCGCCTTGAAGCACCTGGGCCGTTGAAGTTGGGCGAGGTCATATGTCGGTGGATGACCTGCGGTAGATGGCAAGAAGCCGTCTAGGTGGCAAGCAATGCTGTGGAGGGCGCGCGCGCACAGCTTGTGTGTTGTGGACGATGGGGCAGAAAAGGGATATCAATGAAGGAATGGCGGGGGGGAGAGTGTGAGCGTATTGCTGGCGAACGTCGTGTCCGAGTCGCGAGTTTGGGGTGAGATGAGGAAGGGATTAGGCCAACAACAGATCGAAGAAGGGTTCGAGCTAAGTGTATTGGGGACGAGACTGGTAGTAAAGGGTTGGGGGAGGGGAGGGGAGGGGAGGGGAGAGGGGTTAGAGGGTGGAGGGGAGGAGGGCAAGGAGGGGCTGAGGCCGGGAAGGGAGGGAGTGAGGGCAGAGTGATAGAGTGCTTGAGCGATTGAGCAAGACGAGGCTGCCGGGGTTTGTGTCGTATGCACGGGCCGTTGTGGTGGGATGTAGGAGGATGAGGAGGATGAGGAGGAGGAGGAGTGCACTGCAACGGGTGATGGTACAGAGGGGAAAGGGAAGGATGTGGAGGATGGTGAGGAGAGGGTGAAGAGCGTTGAGTGATGAGCGATGAGCGATGAGCGAGTGCGAGGGAGATGGATGTGGAGAGGACAGAGTGTTTATGTGTGGGTCCGAACAAGATGTCGGAGTGATGGAGGAGGGAGAGGAGGGAGAGGAGGAGAAAGAGGAGGGTGAAAGGCGTCGGAGAGCCGATGGGGGAATGAGGGATGAGGGATGAGGGAGGGGATGGCAGCGGCGACTGGCGATCTGGCGAGCTGGCGAGCTGGCGACGAGGGAGAGTCGAAGCTGGTCGCTGTGCGGATGGCAGTGGATGACGGAGAAGGGAGGGACGAACGGTGGACTATGGTGGATGGAGGAGGAGGTTGGGAGAGGAGAGGAGAGGAGAGGGAGGGAGGGAGGGAGGGAGGGAGGGAGGGAGGGGATGGGATCGGTGCGGTGCGGTGCTGGTGGTAGCTTGGGTGGGTTAGACGCCCGTGTACAGAGCTGGTTGGCTCAAGTGGAGGGCGCCTATGGTGAGGAGACTGTTGGGTGAGCCACCAAAGGGGTGCTGGCCCATGGCCCAGGGTGACCAAGGTGGGGTTTATAAACGTCCAGCTGTCCAGCCAGGCCTCAAACCCCTCTCCCTGCCCCGCCTTGCTTTGCTTTCCAGGGTCACTGTTCCAAGGCACGGCATAAAAGCAGAGGCCTAGTCAGCCCAAGAGGCAATGTTCAGTCAGGCACCTACGCCAGGAGTACATAATAACACATCCTAATCCATCATTACCTGTATTATAATAGCATCTCAACATGACCATAAATGTAAACAAACACGGAACAATTGAACCATCAAATGCTTTCAGAAGCAAACAGATCTCACACTATGGATATGCGACATAGCTCGATGCCCTCTATACATCTCTGAGCATATTGAACAGAGTGAGGATTGCAGCATGTCGACGTCGCGACGTCTCCATGCTGCTACTGCACAATATCGTGCATGTTGTGTGCAGTGTCAAGACCCAACAGTTCGGAAAAGAATACGGCATCTTCTCCTCCCGTCTCACATGGCATCCCGTGCGTTCTTGCCCAGGAATCCAGTCATCCCCAGTGGATGGGCGCTGAAGTGCGCGCCAGAGGGGATGGGCGAGGGTCAACCGACAGGGGGACCCGGGAAGATTGATCCGGGTGGCTCGGCAGTTGAGATCCTACGCGTGTCGTCGCGTCGCCCGGCGCGTGGTCCATGGTTTAGTACAGTACATGGAACTGGAAGGCAGACAAGATGCAGCAGCAATAGTACCCTACGTGCTTCCTGCTTCCTGCCCATGCTTTCCATGCTGTCCAGCTGATCATGGAGCGGAATTCTGGTCGCAAATGACACCGAGGCGATGACACAGAGTAGTACGGCCTACAGTACAACGAGTGGTCGTGCATTGCTCTTTCCACTTGCGACGCAGGTGGCAGGGCAGGAGAAAGTGTGGTCGGTGATTGATCAGCGATCAGCGAGCATCTCGCCCCATCTCTGTCTCAGCCCATCTCCCTTGTTTCCATCGTGTGGCATTTGTAGAACTAATGGTGCTGTGGACAACCGGTCCGCCCGGTCCATCGACCCATCGACCCATCCACCCATCCACCCAGAAGAGAAGGCAGTTCTACACACCAGCAACGCACAAATTGTCAGAGTTCTTCTTGGACGCAGCCGGCCACGCCGACCATCAGCTCGCCTCGGTCTCGCATCGCTACAACTGCCACTTGTGGGTGAGATGCGCACTGATCGCTGCGAGCACAAAACGACACCGGAAGCGAGGCGCCATGGCGCGCACGGCGCGGCGTCATGCGCCCAGACACTGGGCGGTCAGTGCACATGTCCGAGTCTCCTAGCCTGTAATCCTCCAGGCCGATGGACTCTGATACCCTGCATCCCTGTCGCACGGACGCTCTGTGCGCCCCGCAAGAGGCATGTGGTACATCGATCCATCGAGGGTTGACGACGCACGCGACGCGACATTCAGCGATGCACATGTGGCCTGTTAAAACTGTTAGTTTGGATTGTCGCCCTCACGCGATCCCCACGTTTTATTATCACGTGCGAGTCGCGTGTGTTTCAGATCGAGTCGAGATTGGTGCAATTGGTGATTTGGTGAATGGCTTGAATCGCCACTAGCTTCCGATCTTGGACCGACCAGATTCAGAGGGAAAATGGCCGGAGGTAGGCCGGAGCATATGGAGCATCGCACGCAGCCTCCAGAATCCAGTCCTCGACCCCATCCCAGACTTTATAACTCGTCCTCACAACTCCCAAACATTCAAAAGCTCCCTCTTCGCCACCCACTCTCTCCCTTATCTCCACCTCACTCACACCTCCTCTACCCCGCGAGGTCTTTTTCCAGGAGCAGTGTATGCTCTTTGCCCGCGCCCTTCGTCCTCTGACGACCCCTCTTCGCTCCACCCACACCTTCTTACTACCCCTCCGCCCCACCATGTCGATGGCCAACTCCAAACCCGACATCCCGGCCTCGCCGCCCGCAAAGTGGCCCTCGCCTGAAGACTGGCCGGCGTCCAAGGTCCGCCAGACTTTCATCGACTATTTTGTCCAGTGCCCCGGATTTGAGCATACTTTCTGGCCCTCGAGTGGCGCAATCCCCTTTGACGACGACACGCTCCTCTTCGCCAATGCCGTGCGTCCCACTGATAAGAGTCAGCTGATGCAAAGGGCATGAACCAGTACAAGCCTCTGTTCCTCGGAACTGCCGACCCCAAGTCGGACCTGTCCAAGCTCATCCGCGCCGTCAACTCTCAGAAGTGCATCCGCGCAGGTGGCAAGCATAATGGTAGGTGTCTCGCCTGGGGGCCAGAGGCGAGCTGGCAACTCTCCTCAGAGGAGCAAGTGGCCATTTTGTGGCGTTTAGCGCGCTTTGGCGTGGGCGCGTCTCGGACATGCCCGAGCAGTCACTGATACCAGACCTCGACGACGTCGGTAAGGACACATACCACCACACCTTCTTCGAGATGCTTGGCAACTGGTCATTTGGCAACTACTTTAAGCTTGGTGCTATCACCATGGCGTGGGACCTTCTGACTCGCGTCTACGGCCTCCCCAAGGACCGCCTCTACGTCACTTATTTTGAGGGCGACGCTGCGCAGGGCCTGGAGCCCGACCTTGAGGCCAAGTAAGTAGCTGCTGCTACATCACTCCGGGATCAGCTGACGCGTGCAGGCAGATCTGGCGGGACATGGGTGTCCCCGAGAACCACATTCTCCCCGGAAACGCCAAGGACAACTTCTGGGGTGAGTCGCCGTCTTGCTTCGAGCATAAGGTCGAGCTAACTGTCAGAGATGGGCGCCACCGGCCCCTGTGGACCCTGCTCTGAGATCCACTTCGACCGCATCGGCGGGCGCGAGGCCGCGCACCTCGTCAACATGGACGACCCGGATGTCCTCGAGATCTGGAACAACGTTTTCATCCAGTACAACCGTGAGACCAACGGCGACCTCCGCCCCCTGCCGGCGAAGCACATCGACACTGGTATGGGTTTCGAGCGCCTTGTGTCGGTCCTCCACAACGTCCGTTCCAACTACGACACGGATGTGTTCACCCCGATCTTCAAGAAGATCCAGGAGCTCACCGGTGCGCGCGAGTACCAGGGCAAGCTCGGCGCCGAGGACGAGGGCGAGATCGACACCGCGTACCGTGTCATTGCGGACCACATCCGTACCCTCACCATCGCCATCTCGGATGGCGGTGTCCCCGACAAGGATGGTCGTGGTTACGTTCTCCGTCGTATCCTCCGCCGCGGAGTGCGTTACGCGAGCAACAAGTTCAACGTCGAGATCGGCCAGTTCTTCTCTTCGCTTGTCGACACCACCGTCGACACCCTCAAGGAGATCTTCCCCGAGGTGACCAAGAAGGTGCCCGAGCTCAAGGAGATCCTCGATGAGGAGGAGCAGTCGTTCGCAAGAACTCTCAAGCGCGGCGAGGTGCTGTTCAACAAGTACGCTGAGGCGGCGCTTGCGGACGGCACCAAGACGCTGCAGGGTGTTGACACTTGGCGTCTGTACGACACTTACGGCTTCCCCGTCGACCTTACTCAGATCATGGCTGAGGAGCGTGGCCTCAAGATCGACGAGAAGGCGTTCGAGGAGGCTCGTCTCAAGTCGCTCGAGGCGTCCAAGGCTGGCTCCAAGAAGGCGGCCGCGGGCGGTGTCAAGCTTGACGTCCACGACCTCGGTGCGCTGGAGGCCAACGACGCCGTGCCCAAGACCAACGACGACGCAAAGTACGAGCGCGGCGACGTTCAGGCCAAGATCAAGGCGATCTACCAGAACGGCAAGTTTGTCAAGTCTACGAAGGAGCTGTCTGAGGGCGAGGCCTTTGGTATCCTTCTCGACAAGACCAACTTTTACGCAGAGTCGGGTGGTCAGGAGTACGACACGGGTGTGATTGCTATCGACGGCGAGGCCGAGTTCAAGGTCGAGGATGTGCAGGTGTACAACGGCTACGTGCTGCACGTCGGCACGCTGTCCGAGGGCGAGCTCAAGGTCGACGACGACGTGATCGCCAACTACGACGAGCTCCGCCGCTGGCCCTTGCGCAACAACCACACTGGTACTCACATCCTCAACTTTGCGCTCCGCCAGGTCCTCCCTGGCGACGTCGACCAGAAGGGTTCGCTCGTTGCGCCCAACCGTCTCCGCTTCGACTTTTCGCACAACAAGTCCATCTCCCCGGCTGAGCTCGGCAAGGTGGAGGCCATTTGCAACGAGTGGATTAAGAAGGCGTCGCCAGTCTACTCGAAGGAGCTGCCTCTTGAGATCGCCCGCCAGATCCCTGGGTTGCGCGCGGTTTTCGGCGAGCGGTACCCGGACCCCGTCCGCGTCGTTTCGATCGAGTTTGACCTGAACGAGGTCGAGAAGGACCTGTCGAACCCCAAGTGGGCCGAGTCGTCGATCGAGTTCTGCGGCGGCACGCACGTCCGGAAGACGGACGAGATCAAGGACTTTGTCATCATCGAGGAGGGCTCGATCGCCAAGGGTATCCGCCGTATCGTCGCGGTGACGGGCCACGAGGCCGCGGAGGTGCAGCGCAAGGGCGCCGAGTTTGAGAAGAAGCTCGAGCGCATCGCGCAGCTCGAGGGCAAGGAGCGCGAGGCCGCGCTCAAGCCCTACATCCCCGAGCTGGACCAGGGCGGCGTCGCGCTGCTCACCAAGCACCGCTTGTCCGAGCGCCACGCCAAGCTGTCGCAGGAGCTCGCGGCGGCGCAGAAGGCGCAGATGGCGACGGACCAGAAGGTCCTGACCGACGCGGTCGCCAAGTACTTCGCCGAGAACCCGAACGAGAACGTCTTCGTCGGCGCGTTCGACCTCGGCTCCAACCCCAAGGTCCTGCAGGCGGGCACCGCCGCGGCGACCAAGGCCGGCAAGGCGGCGTACATCATCAGCACGGACAAGGCTGCCGGCAAGGTCGCGCACACCAACGCGCTCCCCAAGGCATCCGTGTCCAAGGCGTTCGACTGCAAGCTCTGGCTCGCCGAGGTGTCCAAGGTTCTTGGGGGTAAGGGCGGCGGCAAGCCCGAGAGCGCGACGGGTGTGGGTTCCAACCTCGACAAGGTTGACGAGGCGGTCGCGGCGGCCACGAAGATGTACAAGGACAAGGTCGAGGCATAGGGTAGTAGTAGTAGACCGTATCTGCATTAGTGAGGGTGTCAAAGGGGGTGGACTGGGGCTGGTCATACTTGTCTATCTTTGCCATGACACGTGAGCCAAGCAGTGAGATGACCATCCCGCAGCCGGAAACCCGCATGATACTGCGTCCTGGTCACGTGATCTCCGTTCTCGCTGAACACCGAGATCGTCATCGGTCCTCTCCTCAACACTACTACTCGATACTCGCGATGCGCAAAGGCGCCGGCATCTCCGGCCTCTCGCGGCACACCGCCACGGCGTCGTCGTACGCCTCCCTCTCCTCGTCGTTGTCCGCGACGCAACTCGCCGCGCTCGAGACGCAGCTCGCGTCCTTCCGCGACTCCTTGGTATCTTTCACCGCCGCACACCGCGCCGACATCCGCGCGGACCCCGCGTTCCGGCACCAGTTCCAGAAGATGTGTGCCGCGCTCGGCATCGATCCCCTCGCCGGCACGGGGCGGCCGGCGTGGTGGGCGTCCCTCGGCCTCGGGGAGTGGGCGGCCGAGCTCGCCCTGCAAGTCGTGGACGTGTGTGTGTCGACGCGCGAGGCGAACGGCGGCGTCATTGAGATGGGGGAGCTGATCGCGCGGGTGGAGGCGATGCGGCGGGGTGCGCCGCTTACGACTGCGCCAACGAGTATGGCGTCCGCGCCAGCGCCGGCGCGAGCAGGAGCAGGAGCAGGAGCAGGGTCGGCGCCGTCGGCGCTGTTGCGCCCGTTCAAGCGCGCAAGCGGCGATATCACGCCGGACGATATCCGGCGCGCCCTCGACCTCCTTGCACCCCTCCGGGCCGGGTACAGCGTGCATGTTGCGGGCGGGGTGACGTTCGTGCGCAGCGTGCCGCGAGAGCTCGATACAGACCAGAGCATGCTCCTCGTGCTTGCCGCAGATTCTGTGCCGCGCGGCCGGCTGGACGCGTTCGACGTCGCCAAGGCTGCAGGGTGGAGCGGGAGCCGCGCCAAGACGGCCCTAGATGACGCAGTCATGCGTGAGGGGATGGGGTGGGTGGACGAGGATGGAAGCGTGTGGTTGCTCGCCGCAGTAGAGTTTGCAGATTAGTAGTCTAGAGATGTTGTACACATATACATATCCATACTGTGGTGTTCATGAGGGCATCACACCTGACCGCGCCACCCCTGCCCGTGCTACACCGCCATATCATGCTTGCATACTGCTCATAAGTCTAGCCAGGTATTCGCGTCTACACGGCCGAGTCGATCCTAGCGATCAGAATCATCCCATCTCCTCACATCCCGTACGACAACGCACTCGCCTAGTACTGGCCATATCCTCCCTGCCCGTATTGCCCGTACTGCCCCATCATCTGGGGGTTGTATCCCGTCGCCTGCGGGTACATGCCCTGCCCGGGCATCATGCCGCCGCCCATCATGCCGGGCATTCCAGTGCCCTGCATCTGCATCGGCATGCCCGTGTTCTGCGGGAACATGCCCGGTGCGCCGTTGTAGCCCGTCGTGAGGGGTCGGAGCGCGTCATATTTGTCTGCAGTCAGCGACTTGTCGGAACTCATCTCCTCTTTGCGAATCAGCGGGGGCTTCTAGAAGCACCCCACCCCCCGCGCCTACTCACTCGCACTCTGTGGGTTCGCCTCCTCGCTCTTGCCAAAGTCGGTCCGCTTCATCGCGCTGAAGATGTTGGACGGCGCAAACTTGTCGCCGCCGCCAACACCTGTCGGCTGCGGAATCTGCGGTGGAGGGAGGTTGGCGATGGCGTTAAAGCTCGTGTTCTGCTGCGGCTGCTGATATGACGGCAGGCCCGTGTACGCGGGCTGGATGGGCTGCTGGTACCCACCAGGCGAAAGCATGCCGCCGCCCATGCCGCCGCCCATGCCGCCGCCCATGCCGCCGCCCATCCCCATGCCGCCCGACATGTTGGACATGCCCGTTGCCTGCATGCCTATGGGCTGCTGGAAGCCCGTAGGATGCGTCGGCACGAACATGCCCGTGACGGCGGGCTGAAGGGGGTTGAGCAGACCCTCGTTGGCGCGCACGGGCGCGAGAGGGCCGCGAGGCGCGTTCATGTCCGGCATCTGCTGCATCTGCTGTTGAGACATCTGCTGCTGCGGCTGCTGGAGCTGCGACATCGGTGCCGACGTGTTTTGCGCGCCGAGGCCATAGCTCGAAGGTGGAGGGAGAGAAGACATGCCGGGTCGTCCTGGCGGAGCCGAAACGGAGCCCGTGCGCTGCTGCGCCTGCACGCTCTGTGGAGAGGGAAGCTCGGCGAGAACGTCGAAGTTGCCTCCGCGGGGCGGGTCGGTGCTCGCGGGCCGCATGCTGCTGATCTGGGCCAGGAGCGCGTCGGTGCCGTTGGGCTTGGGCGCCGGGCTCACCGTCTTGGGCGGCGCGGCTGGGGCGGGAGACGTGGGTTTGGACGTCTTCGTGGGAGGCTTGATCTCCCATGCGTCGTCGTCAAAGCCCGTAAGCAGCGTCTTGGGCGGCTCCTCCTTCTTCTCCTCCTTCTTCTCGGGCGGCGTCGCAACGGACGGCGACTTCGTGGGTTCCATCGGGGTGAGGGACACCTTGGTCAACTGCTCACTGACCGCGCCGAGTGCCGCCGTGTCGACTGTGTTGGACGTGAGCGTGTTGCGGCGCTCAGGACGGCCACGGCGCGTGTTGTTCGCCAACTTGCCGTCCGGCTTAGTGAAGAGGCCGGGGGGCGGAACAGGTGCCGGACCCTTGCCGCCGCTGTCCTCATGCTCCTGCAGCTTGCGCGCGTACTCCTCATCAGCGCTCAGTTGCGCCTGCTGCTCAGGCGACTTCTTGGCATACCGCCCCTTGATGACCTTGCTGACACGGATGACGTCGCCCTCGCGCAGGCCGAGCGAGCGCAGCGTGCTCGCGTCCAGCTCTGGCAGAATAGTCTCGTCGATCCTATCGCGGTCGAAGTTCGCCGCGTAGCGCGTGCAGTCGTCCATCCCGCACCCGGCGTCGAGGAAGAACGCGAACCAGTCAAAGGTGGACTTGCGTGGGGCGCGGCGCTGCTGCGCCTCGGCGCGCGCGCTCGACTCTTGGCTGATCGTCGCGCTCGGCTTGCGCACCGCCTGCCCCAGAGGAACGTCGTCGTCCTCGACTGCAGACGCCTGCCGCTCCTTGCGCGCGAGATAGCGCTTGATCATGTGGGCGTCGTCGGGAGACATCTTCTCCATTGGGACCTCAATGATCACGCCGTTCAGCTTGTGCAATCGCAGCTTGTTGCCGTTCATACCCAAGAACTCGGCCTCGACCTTGAACTGCCCCGTGCGGTCGCTCCACACGCGCGTGCGTGCTGGGTTCGGCTTCGGCCGCGAGGGGTCGCTCGGCTTGGCTGGTGCAGCCTTAGCCTTCCCGCTTGGAAGGTTGCGAGCGGCGGCCGCAGCGTCGCCACCCCCGCGCGAGGTGACCTTCGGTGGCTCAGCGCCGCGTGCCGCCTCCCGCCTAGACGCAGCCTCGGCGTCACGCCTCCGCTGCACTTCCTCGCGTGCGCGTCGGTCAACCTGCTGCCGCTTGGCGCGCTCCTCAGCCTCGATTTGCTGGGCGAGCTCGTGATCCGCGGCCTCCTGCTCGGCCCGCCGCACGGCCGCCTCCTCGATCGCACGGCGCTCCTCCTCCTTGCGCTGCGCCTCCTCCCTGCGCTGAGCCTCGGCAGCAGCCGCAGCCTGAGCCGCCAGCGCCTCAGCAGCGCGACGCTCCGCGGCAGGGTCGACCGCAGGCGTAACAGGGGCACGGCCGGCCGTCACCTCCACGTACTGGGCTGGAACAACACCCTCCGCGCCCCGCTGATTGCGCACGAGCCACCACTCGTCCTCCTTCTCGACAACGGTGAGCGTTTCACCCTCAGCGACAGTGAGCTCGTCGTCGCCACCGGCCTCGAAGTCGTATAGGACGACGCACTGCTCAGCACCACCAGCGCCGGCAGACGGCGGGCGCACAGGCGATTGTGGGGACGCGGGCGTCTCTTCGGCCCATCGTACCTGTTTCGTCGGCGGTGGGGCCACTGGCGCCTCGTCCTCGGATGGGGGCTGCTGAGGCGCTTCGTCCACGTCGTGCGTGACCTGCAGCGCCTCGCCGGCCGCCTCCTTGCTCTGCTCGAGCTTCGCAATGATCTCCTTGGACACCTTGGCGCTGCCCGTGTGGAGAACCATGGTGGGCTGAACCCCAGCCAGGCTCAGCACGAGCACCTTGTCTGACTGGGGCTCGACTTGTCGGAGTGCGGTGATCGGGTGTTGCTTGACGGGACTCTTGTCGGCCTCGGAAGCAAAGAAGATGGCGCCGTTACCGACGCCCAGGGTGCCGTTCTTCTTCCGGCTGCCCTCCATCTCGGCCACGGACCATGTCTCGACTTTGTCCTTGAGGCGGAGCTGGCGCTGGTGCTCGGCGAGCTCACGTGCGTGCGCTGCTTCCTCCTCTTCGCGGCGCTGGGCCTCGACGGCATCCGCACTCTCCTCGGCGCCAGCGACGGCGACGCTGGCTGAAGCGTCGATCTCCTCGCAGTAGTTGCGCGGCACAAAGCCCAGCTTATCGCCACCACCCTCGACGCGCACAAGCAGCCACTCGTCCTCGACCGCGTAAACATACAGCGTCGCCTCCTCGTCCATCGAGAGCTCCTCGGGCGACGTCGACTCGTAGGCGTACATGGATCTCGTTTGGTTCATGGGGGGCATCTGGGCGTTCAGCATAACCCATCACAGCAGCGACCGCGATCCTCGCCACCATTGTCACACTCACCTCCTCGACGTAGGTGCAGGGGATCAGGCCCACAGGCCCGTCCTGCCCACCATCCTCCTCCTTGAGCTTGGCCTTCCACCAACTGGATGTGAATCATGTTCGGGTCGGATGGCCGAGGGAGGGGGCACGGGTCAGCGCTGTAGCGATGCGGGCGAAGAGAGCCACTCACTCGTCATCGCCCTTTTCGACAATGTAGAGGATTTGGTCCTCGGAGAACGAAAGCTCGTCCTCTGTGTCCTGGGCCGTATAGTCGTAGAGCGCCTTGACGACTGCGACGTAGGCCATCGTGGGCGGAGGGTTAGGGGTAGTTCTCGCGTGCACAGGTAAAGATCAGGCTGATCTGGGGCGGATTCTAGATGTAGGGGGATGTTGCTGCACACGAGTTGAGATGGGAGATGCGAGATGAGAGATGGACGAGTGTGATGTCGGGATGAATGCAGACAGACGACTTGGAAGCCGTAGCCGTGGCTCACCCAGGGAAGGTGCGTGCAACCGAACAGCGAAACGTGACGCCAGCCACCTACAGGCGGGACCAAATAACGTCGATCCATCCGCTCTATGACGCCAAAGGTGACCTCCATCTCGAAGCTGCAACTACCTTCTCAACATGTCAAGACCGCAGGGGCACGCTCGCTTGAATACCGGCCCCAAGCCGCCCACGGCTTCCCCCGCTGTCGCCGCGACGCGCCGCAGCGCGGGCACGCTGCCCGGAATAGCGCGGACCGCCTCGACGCTGCGGCAGAAGACGCCGGGTGGACCAGCGCCCCTCCCGGCCCATCTCCGCAATCTATCGGCGCCACGCATCCCCTCCCCGCTGGGACAGGGCACGCCGGCGCGGCAGGCGAAGCAGTCGCTTCCGGTGCGCACGTCCAAGACGAGCGAGAAGCACGTCCTGCTTCCCGAGGACCCGCAGCTTGCGCCGCTGCCCCGCTCCGCGTCCGATACAAATTTGTCGCGCCCGCGCTCGTCCTCCGTCACTGCCCCGCAGCGCACCGACGAGCGCTCGGAGGCGGAGAAGATGACAAAGCGCGAGCGCAACGATTCCGGCTTCAGCCGCCTCATCGCGTACGACACCGCCGAGGGGTACCGCCTCAAGCTGTTACAGGCATTTTTGAAACGCGAGCACGGGGTTGGCGTCGTCCGCGTCTTCGATGACTGCGTGTATGCGGTGTACAACCTCCCGCTGTTGCCGGGGTATGGTGCGACGAACCGCGTGCGATCGTCGCCCGCCGTCAAGTCGCCGGGCGGAGTGAGCATGTTGGAGCGCATGACGCAGGCCGAGGAACAGGGGTATGATGACGAGTACTTTCCCGTCGAGGCGGACGAGCCGGTGACGGGCGCCGACCCGAGCGAGTACATTCTCTCCCGCTCGCCGCCGTCGCCGGTCGCCACGCACAGCATCAGCTTGGACGGAATTGCGGTGGAGCGCGGCGAGCCCATCAGTCTCCCCGAACCCGTGCGCTCCCCGCCCAAAGACGAGCCTCCCGTGGCGACCACAGCAAACTCGTTCGGGGACGCGTTCGCAGACGAGCACCCGCCCGTTGAGGTGCCACAGATCCGCCCGCCGCCGCGCATGCGCCGCAGATCCACAGGGTACAAGCACCCAGTCGCGGAAGCTGTGTTCTTCAACTATGGCGTGAGCGTTTTTTTCGGCTTTGCGCCCGGCGAGGAGACGAGTATCATGGAGGACATACGGAATGCGGGCGTATGGCAGGTACCCTCTGCGGAAGATGACTGGGAGATCGAAGAGTTCCATTACGAGTACGACCCTGATGCGGAGAGTCCGCGCATCTACAACGACATGTTTACGTTCAAGAGCCGTTCGCACCTGTTCAAGCTGTCGCTCGCGCACGCGATTGCGCAGAGCACAAAGCTGAGCGTGTACGAGGCCAAGCTGCAGAACTCGCTTGAGATGACCTCGCTCTTCCCCAAGGAGCTCGCGACGACAGGCCACCTCAATCTCGACCGCAAGGAGGCGCTGCAGATGACGGGCAGGCTGTTCAAGTTGCGCATGGACGTTAATCTCATCGGCGGCGTGCTGGACACGCCCGACATTTTCTGGTCCGATGCTTCGCTGTATCCCCTGTACGAGGCTATCAACCAGTACCTCGAGATTGAGCCGCGAGTGCAGGTGCTCAATGACCGCCTCGCGGTTGTGGGCGATCTGCTCGACATCATCCACGACTACATTGACCAGCGCGCCAACCACCGCATCACATGGATCATCATTCTCCTTATTGCCGTGGCTATTGTTGTGGGCGTCGGCGAGGTCATAGCCCGCCTCGTGTTCCACTCGATCGCCAAGGAGCGACGCGACGACATGCTCGTCGTCGGCGCCACGCGGTACCTCTTGGGTATAAGCGAAGGTAGACGGGGGTAGAGTGAAGGAGATTGACACGGGATATATAACACGACTGGCTGCCGTGGAGGCAGCCACGTAGCCATAGCCATGACCATGTTGTAATGTGACAACTGAAGAAGAAAGTCTTTTCGCAATGATGTCACGTCGTCAGTTGGTGAACGATGAGCTGCATAAGCCACGGCCACCTCCGCACGACGCGCCCAACATCCTGTGCATGCTCGATCAATGTGCGGTGCGCGCTTACGCTTTTTAATGGTACACTACACGCCAAAGCCATGGAGTGCCCGGCGGCTACAACAAAGAAACAGGTCAGAGATCATCTCCAATGCTCAGCTGCACCTTCTCACCCGGCTTGAAGGGCGGCAGGCCGAGGTATGGGCAGCTTGCACAGCGGAATGCGTCGCCAAGGTAGCAAGAGTTGCACGAGCTCGTCTTCTTGGCCTCTGCGCGGCGATCGACGGGCCATACGCCTTCGACGCCGGCAGTGGCGCTGCGCACATGGGCTGGGATGTCGTCATCGCCCTCGAGGAAGAATGCCTGTGCCTCTTTAACGGCGGCGGCTGCGCGGTCGTCCTCCTCCTTCTCAAGCTCGGCGAGGCCGCACGTGCAGTCCTTGCACGCGCGGCGGCGCTTGACCTTCTTGCCGTCCGCCGCAGGGAAGATGCACTCGGGACGGGCACGGTCCTCGGGTGTGAGGAGGGAAACGCCGCCGTCGGCCATCGGCGCCGACTCGAGAGCCCAAAGGGCAGCCTTGGAGGCCTTATCACTGCGTCGCTTGAGCGCCAGAGGGCGCGAGATGGGGAGGGCAGAGGAGGAAGCCTGCGGCGCGCTGAAGGCCAGCACTGACGCAGAGGAGGATGTGGGGTTGGAGATGAAGCCCCGCTGCGAAAGAGTTGCTTGCAGTGCCGTTGCAACCTCGGGCGGCCCAGGGGGAAGGTGGACGTGGACGGTTGATGACGCAGGGACGGCAGTCAAAAGTGCGGGCGAGAGGGGGAGCGGCACGACGATGTGCAGGCTCAGCGGGGGTGGGGGGAGCGTCGTGGCTGCTGTCAGCGGAGGTGTGGGTGGTTTGACGAACCGTTGTCCAGAATGCGGTCGAGCATCTCGCCAGTGACATTAGCACCGGAGCTCTTGAGCTCGGTGAGGACTCGCTGGTAGTCGTCGGCGCGCTCAAGCGAGCCGATGACGACGACAGCGCCGGATGTCATACTGCTAGCGTTTTGGGCAAGAAAGGGTGTAGGAGCGAGGACTGGAGGGGAGTTGTTGATGAGATGGAGATGAGAGAAGTGTGGAGAAGGCACTCGAGAATTGGTGAGTCGCAGTGGAGGAAGGCTCTGAAGCTCTGACTCATCACGCCACTCATTTGCGCCAAAGCCGCCGGGTGAAGGGGGGCTGAACATTTGCTTCCGCCCCCCACTCTCCCTCTCCCAGCAGACCCCTGCAAAGGCTACCAACCCCATGATGCTTATCCAGCTGTCAGCAACTATGAGGCAGCTCCTACTCGTTCCCCGAACGCCGACGCGCGCTCGGGATTCTTTCGATTCCAGTCTTCGCGCCGCTGACAATCCCGCAGAGCTCCATTGGCCTCTCACTCCAGCCGCTGACAAGACTATGTGCCTCCTGAAGGGAGGATGATGCCGCCCCGACGCGACCCCGATTGTCCTTACCCTGCTTTGCACCGTGCTTGCATCTTCCACCGCCGTCTGCCAAGCTCCGGCGCTTCTTGCTGACCATTCCCTCTCTTCCCATTGCAGCGTTGCTCAGCACCACTCCGCTCGGGTCCACATGCGGATCGGCCGTCAGAGCTGTCGGTCGATATCCAAGGGAATTGGGGTGCTGCATGTCGCTCGGACGTGTCATGGCGTGGAGAGGCTTTGGGCAGTCATTAGATTATTAGATCAGGTGGGAAATTCGATAAGACGACACTTGGCCGTGCCTGCCACGGGTGTCGTGATCCCACGCAGCGTACTCGTGATCATCCACGAGATATGTTGCCCACGACTGGCCCAGCGCGTAATCTGTACAGAGTGCTTGGCATTGTCCACAAGGATGCATAACCCCCTATCGCATTATTGCATTGTATAATCTTAGCTTCGGACTGAGTGAATTCTTGCGGACGGGGTGCTGGGATAAGGCCACTTGAGAGATGAAAGAGATCAAGAAGGCCGGCACCATCCGCGGGATCGCGCGGGAGCGGGGAAAGCGGCGGTGCGGTGACCTTTGACGAGGGAGACGGTGGGAGGAGTGGACCCTGAGAGCCTCGCCATCAGGAGGTGATAGCATGTCAGCACAAGTGAGGAATTGATCGAATTGAGGCAAATAGCTCCCATGGCTGACGCATGGGTTCCATCATGGCGAACAATAGACAACAATAGAACAATCCCCATCTCATCGGCTCATGGCCTCCTCATCACTCCTTATAAGCTGCAAGCATCTCCCGCACTCCCCTCATCCTCTTCCACAAGTCACCGAGCTCTCCATCGCCGCTCTCACCACACTCTCCTCCATCACCCACCCACCGCCCTCGCATCTCCGCAGTCTCCGCAGTCGGATACCCCGACCCCACATACCTCGGCTCTCAGCCTAATCCCCGCCCCACACACCCCCACTCCCCACAATGCCATCCACCGCCCCCATCGCCGTCCCCGCCGCTGTCGAGCGCGGCCGGTCCCCGCGCACCGGCACCACGCCGCCCAGCGCCCACCCGTGCCCCCAGTTCGCCGACCTCGTGCACTCGCTGTACGCGGCCTACCGCGCGGGCTCGGAGCGGCGTGCGCTCGACCGCTCGCCCAGCCCCGGCGCCGTCGCCGCCGCCGCGAACGCGAACGCGAACGCTGCCTCCCGCTCCCGCCGCTAAGTCGCTAGTCTTCAGTCACTGTGCTACGCCAGCCGCAGCCGCAGCCGCAGCCGCAGCGGCGCTCGCACCTCGCCACCTGTATGGCTCCCCCACGCCCGCTTGGTCAGCCGACCACGCCCCCACCCGCCACGTGTAGTGCCTGGCCCATTTGGTCTTTGTTGTATACTAGAGTCTTGTATGCAATGCATTCGTCACTATGCATACCATGACAGAGGGGAGGGGAATGCGAGATGCAGAGAGGGAAGGGGAGTGGGGAGGGGGAAGGTGGGATCAGGCGAGATCGGCAGAGATAAGGCTATCATGCGAGGATGTATTAGACGTGTGCTTATATCCGGCTAAACCGATGGCCCACTGTTGCCAGAATGCCAATCGCACCAGATGTCGGATGTCCTACGACGTTGGATCCATCGTCCCCAGCTGCACTGCAATCGATGGCGATTACTAACTTTACCGGAGCGCCTGTAAACCTTAACCAATACATCACAGACGAAACTGACGAGCACGCACGCGCGGCATTGATATACGGAGGCAAAGCTCCAGGAGATTAGTCTAAAAGCCCAACTGTTCTAGCGTGTGCACATGGCCAAGAGTCCAGTCCTGGCCGGGTTGTATAAGGTCCGGATCGAATCCGGACTGTATGGTCCTGCTGGGGACAGACACCCTACTCGATGCTGGAGGAGGAGTGGTCCGAGTCAGACGAGTATGAGCGCGAGTGGGTCCGTCTGACGTTGCCGTAGCTCGCCTGGCGGTGCTGAGAGAGGCCCAAAGCCGACGGGGAGGGAAGCACCGAGTTCACTCCAGCGGCAGGGAGCTCGGGGAGGAAGTTTGATTCCGACAGCGCGAGCCGGCTGAACGGAAGCGGGAGGAGCACGCCCTCAGGCGTCACGGCCGAGACGGGCGTCGAGGGCACAGTGTGGTAGTGGGTGCCGGCGCTCTCGGGGGTGAGCGACGACGCGGAGTAGCTCGGAGGCGGCGTGAGCGGGACGATAGTGAGCGGGCTAGGGGGCACGCGCAGCGACGAGCGTGAAACAGCGGGCCGGAGGTCGTGGTGGCCGGTGTTTATGTTCTGAGTGGGATGCGGGGGAGATGAGTTTCCCATGCCTAACCCCATGATTATTCCGCGCCGGGCGAGGTCTCCCGCAGGGTCGTTGTTGCCGCTCTCGCGATCCCAGTGGATCATGCCGTTCTCGATGCACCGTGGGTCCTCGGCAGGGCAACAGCGTTTGATGGTCCTGCGAGATTAGCGATGAGCTCCTCCGTGGGGCAGATGCAGCTCACTTCTTGAGCAGGTCGCGGCGCGTGTACTTGTAGTTCTCCGTCCTTTCGACGACCTTGCGACGAACGAAAACGAGGGCACGCGAGTAGGGCTTGGGGATCTCGGTCCAGAGTGGCTCGTTGGTACGGCTGCCACTGGTGCGCGGCTTGACGAGGTAGGAAAACTCATCCAGCTGACGAATGAGACGCTTGCCACGTCCGTAAAAGTCCTGCAGGATGCTGCACTTCTGGAGGGGCGTTACGGAGCTCGGGATGGTGCCGATTTTGGGGGCGGCCGCGTCGTCGAGAGTCATGTCGGGAAGAAGAGCATAGTAGAGGAGAGGGAACTCGAACGGCAGCCTGGGATACCTCTTCAGGAAAGCGGCGCGAGACAGGTTGCCGCTCAGCTTGTTCGAGTCGGCCGGCTGCGCGCGTACCACGGACACAACACGCCGGGTGGAAGTCGCCGTGTTGCGGCGGCGGCGAGGGCTGCCCTTCTTCTTCTTCTTGCGCTGCGCCGAAATCGGGCGGAAGTCATCGTCATCGCCGTCGTCCTGCGTGACGTAGTCGTCTTCATCTTCAACCGAGTTACTCCGGAAGTTGGGGCTCTGTGTGGTCCGCGACGAGGAGAGCTCTGGCTGTTAGTTGAGATAGTGATGACGCCGACGTACCAGGGGTGGAGCTGGGAGCATCCCTCGCGCTTGCAGAACCAGACTGGCTCAGACGAGGGGGAGACGAGTGCAGGTGAGAGGAAACGCTGACGGCTGGTGACGACGATTGATTGGACTGGGGCGAGGGGTACTCTGTCTTAACGCGCACGGGACTCGAGTGGATGCTAGGGGCTGGGGTGCCGGGCTCAGACTCCGTCACGCTTTTCGTCGACCGGAACTTGATGGCATGTCTGCTGTCCTGAATGTGGGAAAGGTTGATGGTACCCGACATAGGTCCAGAAGGCCCAAAATCAGTAGGAGCGACGCCGTGGGAGTAGTGACCTCCCGTTGCGGTTGGAATGCCGCGGTTGAAATAGTCGCTGTCCTGTATCGACGTCGGCGTGTAGTATGGGCTTCCATTGGGCGACGACGCTCCGGACGAGTGCGAGTTGGCGCGCGACATCAGAGCGGCATTATAAGGTGTGTTGAGATGTGACTCGTGCTGAGGGCCGCTGACGAGATCTCCGGGGGTTGGGGGCAGCTCGAACACGGACGTGGTGCCCGTCTGTGGAGTCTGAGGGAGGCCCGGGGTAACTATAGTCTGCGAGGTTACCTGCCAATAGCTCGGGGTCATCGGGGCGTGTTCCAGAGCCATATGCTGAGGGAATCGCATGTTGACAGGAGCTGCTCTGGGACCGAGTGGAGGCATGTTGAGGGCGGGAAGAGAAGGCGGGACACCATGGAACGTAGGATGATAAGGCTGCTCCCTCCGAGTGGGCGCATGATACTGGACGTCGAAAGCCGCGGGGGAGAAAGACTGCGAAGCAACGGCATGACCATGGCCTTGATACGAGGCGGCAGTGGGAGAGTGACCCTGTGAGTGTTGACCCGTGGCTTCCACAGGGCTAGGTGGAACGTGGTTCCAGTAGGCCGGGTCATGAGGGAAGTAACCTTGATTGTGAGACATGTTGAAGGTGGCGTTGAGCAATTCTTGGAACGCCTTGGATGTCGTCAGCAATACAGACGATTAAGGTAAGGACGCTGGGACGTGGACGCCGAGCCGGTGCGAGGAAGTCCAGTTCAAGCGAGTTGAGCATTGGGACAAAGTATGGCGAGTGGCACCCAGGTGGAGAGACAGTAAGAGGACGACCGGACATTGCGAGAGGGGTAACACGGTGAACGAAGAGAGTTGTTTCCAGAGACGAGCAAAGTGGGAAGAGGAAAGTGTTAGCCAATACATGCAAACATGAGATCCCACTGGACTTACCCGAATTTTCGGACTGGAACCCAGTGGTTGGCTCAGGCACCAGGGCTGTTGGATGGCGGTGTAGGCTGAATGTGGCACCTCGCGAAGCGAGATATGAATTGCAGCGACGGCGATGTCAAGCAGGTTGACGATGGCAGCAGAAACGCCAGGTCAGGTGACTGGCGGGGCACGGAGCGTAGGGGAAGGGGAGAGGAATGTGTCGAGAGTTTGAGCACAGATGCTTTCTCTGTGCACTCTCAAGGTGAGCGCTGGGTCGCGCGCGCAGGAGCATTCCGTTATGCACCGACACGATGACTCACAAGGGGTATGTGGTGGTGACAGCGCCAGGTCGGAGAGGTTGGACTCTGAGAACGATGTCGCTTATGTGGGAGAGGGGGAAACCGCTGCTCGTTAGGACTGTGGGTCGCAAACGTCGAGTGCTGAAGAGACGTGCTGAGTCGTAACTCACCGTGGCGTTGAGCAGGAAGCAGGGAGATCGGGAGAGGAGCGGTTGTTGAGAGTCAGGTGCTGTTTGGACTTGGGCTCGACGGAGACGAGTGAGGCTAGGACGCTGACAGCTGACAGGCGACGTTGTCGGAGAGGATGGGAATCTAGGGTGATGAGGAATGTCTTTTAGAATGAAGAGGATAGTGCAGTGTCGAGCTACTGGATGTCTTTCGGGAGGTGAGATGTGTCAAGAGGTGTCGAGCACAAGAGGATGATGATGGTCGACGGGAAGCCGGGATCCAGGAAGAGGAATGAGGGGATGAGGAATGAGCAAGGAACGTCTCGAACTGGGTCGGCTTTAAACGAAAGGCAGGGGCTCCTCGGCTGCGTCGAGCTGGGTCAACTGTTGACCTGTTGACCTGTTGACAGATGAGGATAAAAGATTATGGGAAATGAACGTGGCGACTGGGTTAGGAGAAGAGGGCCCGACAATCCACGCAACAGAGAGGCCTCCCACTGCGACACAGAGGTGGGTGGGACGCCCAAGAACATATCAGAGGAGGCAGCAGAGGAGAGGCAGGACTGAGCTATTGGGACTCGAGGTGGATACCTAGCTACCTAGCCAAACGGTTGTTGAGGCTTGATCTTTGTGTGACGGCCCGAGCTCGTCGTTGCCAGTGACGTTGTGAGGAATGTCGAGGGCTCGAGGGCCAGGTCTGGAGGATCTGAGGCAGCTTGGTTGTCTAGCGTACGAGCGTACGAGCGTCCAGCAACTAGGAGTAGACGAGGAGGGCGCGGTGCGGCCGGGAGGCGCGGGTGGGCAGGGGCCCAAGAGGAACATGAGGACTCGAACAACTGGAACCAGGAGGCGGGGGAGGCGGGTGAGGCGCGGTGGTTGTGGGAGGACCGTGGGTGTGGCTTGGTCTGTCGGGCTGATCGAGGCAGAAGCTTTTTGCCGGCGGTCAGATGCATCAGGTGGCGGCATGGCGGACACGCCACAACCAGAGGCGGCGAGGCGAGGTTGGGGATACGGGTGTGGCGTGTATACGCGTTGTGGCCCGCTGTTGTTGCTGGATCGCGGGCTGGTCGGGGGCCGGATTATGGAGAGTCTAGTGTCCGAACGCTAGGAATGTTGGCGAGGGCGCATTCGACGAGCAGGGCGGTTATGCGACGGGCCAACAGGGAGGGATGCGCGTGTTTAGCAGATGGAGATAATCATGCATGTGGGCAGGAGTTGAGTAGGATAGCTTGGGGCGGCGCGGTGAATGTGGTAGCTGTGGTAGCCAAAGAGACGCTCGCTGTCAACGTGTCAACATGAAGGAGCTCTTGAATGGCCTGGTTCATTGGGATCTATGATGCTCGATGCTATGATTGTTTCGCAATTCGCGCTGGTTGCGCCTCCTGACGCGCTTGAAGCTGACGCCTTGTCACTGCGCGACGCGACCCAAAGAGAAAAAAAAAAAAGCCACTCTGTGTGCTCTGCGCGTGCCGTTTGTGTGTGGGGGGCTGCGGATGACACGCGATCACACGGCCAGGGCAGAGGGCGTGCAAGGGGCGAGGACGATCCGGGCGCAGGCACCTATGCCCGAAAGACCGGAGCGTCTCGTCCATCAGCCATCACCGCAGTCTGCGCAGTAAGAGAAGCAGAGAGTAATAGCCCTTCCGCGCCTTCCGACGTCGTCCCCGTGATCTTCCGCCCCCACCGCCTGCCTCCACTTGCCCGCCGCCCGCCGCCCGCCGCCCGCCGCCGCCCTCACCGCCCTCGGCGCCGATGTTACATGTTACCCCATACCACACACACACAAGCCAGATCTCGCCGGGTGCCTGGGAGAACCCTCAAACGCTTCCTCGCCCCACTCTGATCGGTCATGATCGGATCCCACCTGGCCACCTGGAGGATCACCCTGGCATGGGTGCCACCCAAAAAACGCGTCCTGCTCGCATGCTCGCGATCCCTCGCGCGATCCTTAGTTCGCTCTCTACGTCAATGTGCCAATGTACCACGCCGTGGGGCCGCACCAAAGGAGCGCCACTCACATGCACCGAGCGGAATCCTCATTATACATGGCACGAGGTGAACCTTATTACGCCTACACGCCTGTATGCCTGCATCTCCGCCGGTACGCGCTAGGCGCTGCGCCGTGCGCCTGTACAGTACGCCTGCGCCCGGGCCAGCGTCACTCTGTGCTTGCGTGAGGATGTACAGGGACTGCGCGCTGTTGGCTAAGTGCCATGCTCATGCCCCTCTGGCTGCTGGCTATCAGCACACATTCCATCTCGCGCATCGGATTTGCAGTGGACGTAGAGTGGTGAACGCGGGGACATGGGGGCGGACTGGTGGTCCGACTGACCGCTGCCCGCTACTGCGGTCCCGTGAACGCCTCGCGCCGCATCCGCCTGATTGGGCAGGTGGGGACGAGAATGGCCGATGCTCGAACGGTGCAGAGGGATTAGACGGGATAGACGGGCAGAGCGTCTATAGTACCATCGTGGATATCGAGTAAAGTCTGGTGTCAGGGAGGAGGCTCGGGAAGAGCAGCAGTAGCCGAGATACAGAGATCGGGGTTGGCGGGGTCGCGAGGTCGCGCGGGTGCGCGAATGCCCGGTTTTGGAAGCCCCCAGGCCTCACACATGGCTAATTGCTCTACTCGCCGCTCGCCGCTCGCCGGACTCTGGGAAAGCGCAGTAGTGAGTTTGCGAGCGCGCAAGCCATCCGGTATTTGGGGTCGGGGGGCCGGGGGGATCACGGCGAATGCGGCGAATGCGAAGCGATCTCAAAAGATGAGCGGATGAGCGATCTGCTCGGTGACTGATGTGCATGATCGCATGAGAGAGTCTTATGAATCATGGGTCATGGATCATGGATCATGGAAAATGGACAAGAAACGGATGGGTGGAATCGGTGGATCGGTGGTTGGATGTGGCGGTAACTGAGGAAGACTCAGCTTTGGATCTTTGGAAACTGGAGAATTGGAGTGGGCAGCTTGAGTCTGGCTGAAGTGAATCGATAGACGATTTCGCCGACCCACTCTGAAATGTTCTGCCCCACTTCATCTTGCCGAAATTCATTCAGCTGCCCAGTTTGCCACTCGCGACATTTACTGTCCACGCTCTGCACCATTCATCGACATCGACTCCGATCCTCCGACGCGTGCCCCACGAGTACGTGCATGCGCTCATACATCTGAAGGACATCTCATTGATATCGTGCTTGACTCAGGTCATTAGGCACGCTGCCAGATGCTACTCCTAACACTGGTGCCCCGCAAGTGCGTCATCTCGACCTGTTCCGCGCTGTCGATCGGCACCCGGCGTATTCTTGGCTCTTGAGCTCCTTCCTCCCCCGTCATCGTTCCCTCTCCTCTCATCTTCGTTTCTCCCACTCTCCCTCCGCCCATCTCCCACGATGCCTACCGAGCTCCTCGCGTTCCCGCCGGCGTACACTGTCGTGGGCGCCTATCGTCTCTGGAACGACCCCACGATCCGCGCCCCCGTCGTCGCCAAACTGAAGCACGCGACCATCCGCGGCCTCGCCGTCGGCGCGGCCTACGCCATCTTCGGGTGGGGCGTCATGGACTGGGTTGTGCGCCGCTTCATGGTGCGCGGGCGCGTGGGCGAGCGCGTCAGCGTCGGCGCCGGGAGTGTCGCGCTCAGTGTGGACCTCGTGCTGTGTTAGTCTCTTCGTGACTGCTCCATGATGTTGCGGTTGCACTATGGGGCTGGACAGCCATCACAGCACCTTCCTCCCCGGCTCCTTCGCTCACACCAGACACCCATATCATGTGGCTGCTCCCCCAGCTCTCGCGTATGCTAAAGTTCTTCATCAAGAAGAATCTTCGCATCGCCCGCGGCCGCGCGTACAACCTCACGCTCACATCGCGCGGCAAGCCCGAGGAGTTCTGGAGCAAGAGCTACTACGAAGAGTGGGCGCAGCCGCCGCAGCCGACGCGCGAGCAGGCGCGCGCCTGGGGAGCGAGGAAACATCGCGAACCCTGGGTCAGCTGGATGCTATGGTGGCCGAGCCAGATGTTGATTAGGCAGTGTAAGCACTGAAAAGCTACACCCTTCTGTGCGCTGATTGAAGATATCCTTTTCCCTCTCTCGCCGGCGCTGCCGCTCCTCGCACCGCTGGCTATTGCCGGCATGCGCGCCCTTGGCACAGCAGAGTATCTCCACCAGCCATACTTCCAGGGCAAGCGCATGGGCTCTGACGAGATTTGGCGCTGGATCGAAGAGCGCAAGTGGGCATATCGCTGTACGTTGGCGGGAAGTTGTCGTAGCCCGAGCTAACGGCAGCGTTCGGTTTCTGCGCCTCGCTTCTTGAGGGTATACCCATTCTTGGGCTGTGGTTTAGCGTCTCGAACCGCATCGGTGCGGCCATGTGGTGAGTCAATAAGGTTCGGTTGCCCGTGAGGAAGCTGGCGGCTGGGACCACTGAGGAGACGGGCCAATCTCCCGGTGGCTAATTGATCGACACTGAATATGTCCCCGTTTGATCAGGATTGACCACAGGGCCCACGACCTCGAGAAGCGCCAGCACCTCTTTGCGCACCACATCTTGCAGCCCCTTGCTCCCTCTCAGGTGGGCATATTTGGAAGCGGAAATGGCCTCGAGATCACGCCCGAGGTCGTCGCCGCCGAGAAGCGCATCGAGGCCAAGTGGTCTGCCAGACCAGCATACATTCCCCCTGAGATTCAGGACGACGGCGAGGATACGCCCGCGATCAACGCCGGCCCTCCTCCTCTCCCGCCCCGCGACGCTCCTCCCGCGTACTCGGAGGTGCCTGCTTCGGCTTCTGCTTCAGCTCGCCGACAGCCCCCGCAGCTACCCCCGCGCCTGCCCCCAAGGCCCAAGGCGTAATGTGAGGGGTTCCGAAACATCGAATCATATGGTATAGAGGCGCAACGTCCCAGGTCGCCAGTATATGGATGCGCCGTGTACATTACACGACTGCGCACATCACACTGCTGTTATCTTTACTGATGTGCGCCAGCTCCTAATCGGAGTTGTCTGATTTGACAGATCATTCTGGACAGCCAAAGGCCTCGTTCCGCCGATCCACTATCTGGTCGGACGTCGGCGACTGATTCAATAAGCATTGCCGTTGTGAGCGCATTGATCCCTGGGTGTGAAGTACCGTCTGGACCACAACGTAGCCATTCCTCGCGGGCCCACATGGCTCCAAGATCGAAACTAACGACAATTTCTTAAAACCTCTTGGCGCTGACTTATGGTGGCAACAATTCCATGATATGCGGGACAACAATACTACAATGACATATCAAACCGTGTCCTCGCGGTGCACGTGCTCGTCCTTGCTCATCGAACCCTTCCGCGAGATTTGGCGCTCAATCTCCGCTGCTCCAGGCACAGCGATTGACGGGCGGTGCCCGTCAGCCGCCGCGGGGAGGTCCCAAACATGGTGCTCGGGCTTTTGCTCCTTTTCCTCGTCCGAGCACCGCGTGACCCAGACTACGGGGAACGTGGTGATGAACGTGAACATGATCATGCAAAAGACAACGATGACCGAAGTAAGGTAGGGCGTGTGCACGGCGTCCATGCCGTACGAGACGGCGGCGCCCGCGCTCTGCACGCCCTTGTAGTAGCCGGTCATGCGTGCAAGGCGGAATGAGTCGTTGGTGATGCTGCCCATGATGTAGTACGCGAGGCCCTGGTACGCCGCGTCGACGAGGTAGTATCCGAGGAGGAGGCAGAAGATGCCGGGCGCCTTGCCGGTGTCCCAGTCCATTTGGAGACCCTTGGCGGGCCCACCATGCTCCTTGCGCTCCCACTGGCGCTGCCAGGCGATGCCCGAGCCCCACATCACGGCCTGGCCGAGCACGAGGATGAAGAATGTGATGAGCGTGCGCTTGCGGCGGTTGCCGGGGAGCATGTCGAGGAGGAGGCCGATGAGGATCGCGCCGATGACGGCGCCAACGTTGGTCACGAGCGACGCGAGGGCGCGGGCGCGCGGGACGAACATCGCCGAGATGATGGATGCCTGGTAGGCCTGTTTGTTAGCGCGTGACTCGAGGTGAGGATGCTCACGTAGAAATAGTTCGACACAAAGAACATGGGGAACAAGGCAAGCATGCGCCAGTCCTTGAAGAGCTTGAAGAACTCCTTGGTCTCCCGGGCGACGGAGAGGGCGGCCTGGAGCTCGACGACGGTGCCGTCCCCGCGGACGACGTAGTTGGGCGGCAGGATGAGCCACGACGAGAAGATCGCCGTAAGCATGATGATGATGAAGGCGAGGTAGACGCCGGTCGACACGGCGCCGCCGGCCGACTGCTTGGCCTCGAGCGCGAGGGTGATCCCCGAGCCGACGACACCGCCCATAGAGAAGATGGTCCAGAAGAGCGAGAAGCTACGCCCCTTGTCCTTCTCCATCGGGTACGAGAGCATGATGGCGCCCTGCGCCGACCACAACAAGGCCGCTGTGAAGCCGAGGATGCCGCCGGCGGCGATGAGGAACGCCTTGGACCCGTGCACCTGGAACGCCCACAGCGAGCCGAGGTAGAGCGAGTAGCCCATGGTGCCGATGGAGAGGGTGAGGCGGGGGCCGAGGACATTGTTGATTGAGCCCGCGAAGAAGCCTATTGTCAGTGACTTAAGGGGAGTTAGCGGCGTACCGGAGATAGCGAAGACGCCGTACAGCACACCATTGGAGATGTTGCTCGTCGTCACGTCCTGGGTGCCGCCCGCGCCGAGGTTGGAGATGGCGCTAAACATGCCCACGGAGCAGAAGCACACAAAGCCCACGAGCGCGACCTGCGTCCATGGCGAGTTGTAACGAAACTTGCCGACTTGGAACTGGGAGAGGCGCTGGCCGACGTTGGAGAGGCGCGTCATGGTCGTCGTGCCGAGGTGGGGGCAACAGCGGCCGGTGTTGGTGTTTAAGTATCGCGTGAGGAGTGAGTTGTTAGTGCGTTCATGAGCCCAACATCGTCGCCGAGGTCGCCGTGCCAAGCGCAAGCGCAAGCGCCGACGCGCCGGCGCAAAGCATCATTCCTTTAGGTCCGCCGAGCTGAACAAGAGATCGTTCCTGTCAAGGTCAGGTGCAGGAGGAATGAACAGGGTTAAGAGCTTTTTAGCTGTACCGTCGCGTGCCGCCCGGCCCGGGAGGACCAACACACACATGCCCATCTTTGTGTGACGCAATGTTTCGGCGAAAGCGGCGACGGCGCGTAGTGAAGTGCATTCCGCAGGAGTGTCGGTTCTCGTTTCGATATCTCCCCTTGACTCCACGCCCAGCTCGCCCCGCTCACCCGCCCGCGCTCGCACATCTCCGCGTCAAGGTGGAGGGTTGCAAGAGCGTAACACTCTCCGCTCCACTGGCCAAGTCTCACTATTGCGACGCTCAGGATTGGCCATCGATATCAACCGGCGTGTTGAGCGACGGACAAGGCCGTGTTCCGCATCTGCACACGCTATCCACTCCATGTCCCAGCACTACACGAGGGGCCACATGGGACTAGAGCGCGCTCAGCTATAATAGCCCACGCCGGCCAATCGGGCCATGTCTATTTCCCATCGCGACGTGAACGAGATGACCACCGACACTCCCCAGCCTGTCTCGCTCATCGTCCTCGGCGGCGGGCAGCGCGGCGTCATCTACGCACATTACTGCACGCAGAACGGGGCGAGAATCGCCGCCGTCGCTGACCCGCGCGAAGGCCGCCGCAAGCTATTCGCGCGCCGATATCAGTGCGCTCCCATTCCGCCCGATCTGACCCCAGCGTGCCGCAGGACAAGCTGTTCGCCGACTGGCGCGAGGTAGCCGAGCGCCCCAAGTTTGCCGATGCGGTCGTTGTCGCGGTGCTGGACCAGCTGCATGCTGAGGTTGTGCATGTCTTTGCGGCGCTGGGCTACCACATCCTCGTGGAGAAGCCGATGGCCACCGCGATTGCCGATTGCGTCTCGATGGTCCGCGATATCACCCCCACCACGATCTTTGGCGTTGGGCATGTGTTGCGCTACTCGCCGTACAATGTGGCCGTCAAGAAGGTCATTGATTCAGGCATTCTGGGCGAAATTGTAAACATCCAGCACCAAGAGCCTGTGGGCAACGTGCACTTTTCGCACTCATTCGTCCGTGGTAACTGGAGAAACGAAGACACGACCACTTTTGCGCTTATGGCCAAGTGCTGTCATGACCTTGACATCCTGAGCTTTTACCTTTCGGGTGCCAAGCCTGTGCGTGTCTCCTCTTTTGGCAGCCTCTTCAACTTCAAGCCGTCCAAGAAGCCTAGGGAGGCAGGGGATGCGACCCGCTGCCTCGAGTGCCCCGCAGAGCCTGAGTGCGTGTGGAGCGCAAAGCGGATCTATGTCGACGCCCTCGAGAAGGGGGAAAGGGCGTGGGCGGACGTCTTTGTGGACGAAGTGACGCCCGAGAATGTGATGGCGGCGCTCAAGGACGGGCCGTATGGGCAGTGCGTCTTTGAGGCGGGCAACGACGTGGTCGACCACCAAGTCGTCAACATCGAATACGAAGGAGGCGTGACGGCCAACATGACGATGAGCGCATTCACCGAGGCTGAGTGCGACCGCCAGACCTACATTCAAGGCACATTGGGCGAGCTCGTGGGCAACATGCGCTCGTTTACAGTGTACGACTTCCGGACGCGCCAGCGGACAACCCATACGCCCGAGGAGACGGACGAGGGCGGGCACGGCGGCGGCGACGCTGGTCTCTCCAAGGCTTTCGTGGATGCTGTCGTGCAGCGCAAGCAGGAATGCTTGGGAATCACCCCCGACGACGTACTCAACTCGCATCTCATCGTCTTCGCGGCTGAGAAGGCGCGGCACACAAACACAGTCGTCGATTTCGACACGTTCAAGGCCCAGGCGCTAGAGGGCACCGCGACGTACAAGTAGTTTTGACTTGGATGACGAGGAAATGTACAGCAGTCCATGAATCTGCCACATGCGCGGCGACAGCGCTCAAGGCATGTCTCGAGCGGATCTTGGCTTGAATTGGAATGTCTCAATTGTGAGCAAGCGCTTGCTCGGGTCTCACTCGGTGCCACGGGGTCGAGGTGGGGGACGCCAGGGATGAGATGTGGTGAACGCTGGGGCTGTTGGGGGCAAGTGCGGAGAGGCTCACGTGAGCCCTGGCAGAAGCATTGTCTGTAAATGGAAACGGCGTTTTTCCCGAGACCGCTCTAGATAACCCATCCCCCGGCGCCGGCCATCGTCCTCGCTCAATCGCATCTCATCTCATCCACATCCTCGTGTGCACGCGTTCTCAGCGCATCGCTCCGATCCGTCCGCGACGATCTTCGCCCGACGCGCCGTTAAGACGAGGACTTCATCTCACGAGAGCGACACACCCAGCCTCGAACCCGGCGCCCCGTGGGACCGGCTTATCAAGGACAGCCTGACAGCGCCCACCGCGTTTCACGAGTCATACGTTGACGCCGCAGCGCTGTGCTCCCGGGCAAATAGAAGCTTATCATGACGGAACCGAACAAACTGCATAGCTCGTCGGGACATATGGCGCCGCACGGCAGCATGCCCGACAGCCGCACGTACTTTGACTCGGGGGCGCAGCCCTCCCGTAAGCGCACGGCCGACAACGAGCGCCCGACCCCGAAGAAGATGAAGGAGGAGCTGCCGAGCGTGCTCATCCGTGAGAAGAAGCAGAAGGCGTGTGCAAACTGCCGCCGCGCCAAACTGAAGTGCATGATCGAGGAGGGCGACAAAGAATGCGTCCGCTGCATCACGCGCAAGGAGCGCTGCGTCTTCTTCCCGCGCGGCCATGACGAAGACTATCAGCAAACCATCGCAAACGACCTGAACGCGATTGCCGTGCAGACCCAGCACCTGACCCGTGCCGTGCACCATCTTCTGCACCATCTCATGGCGCAGAATGGCGTGCCGCCACTCGACCCGCCGCTGCCCACGTACGAGGCGCCGGAGCGCGACCTCGCCGTACTCCAGGGCTGGACTGCTGAGCGCAACCGCTCGTTGGGAAAGAAGCGGAAGGGCTCTAGCGACAGCTCTTTCGCGCAGTACGGCGCGCCGGGCTCCACGTTCATGCGGCCGGCAGACATGCACGTCGGGCTGTCGATTACTCCAAACCCGCCCAATGGCCAGCACAGCGACCCCGTCCGAAATGGCCTTCCCGGCGCCAACTCCCTCCAAACGCCGCAGAACGGCGCCATGGCCGTTCTTGGTGGCCTCGTCTCATTTGACACCTCGAGCACATCGAACGAGGCGTCCATCTCGCCCGTCGACACGGCGAGCTTTGTAACTCAACCGCAGTCGCAGGGCAGTGTGCCCAGCCAGACGATGGGCACGCCGTCGCTGGCGGGCGGCGCTTTCGGTCTGCTCAGCGCGTCCCGCCCCAGCGTGTCGCCGGACGATGTGGTCACGCCCACTCTTCCCGCGGACTACGACCAGTTCGGCTCGTCTGATCCCCGTCCCAACATCGTCAAGCGTGGTGTAATCAGCAACGACGACGCGACGATTCTTGTCAACTTGTATGTTTCTTAATTTGCGCGAGCTAACTCCAGTTTCCACTCCAAGCTCGTGCGCTGGCTATTCGGGTACCGCCTCGAATTCGGCAAGTTCCCGTACATCCCCAACGGGCCATGCGTGATGACGCCGTTCATCCTGAGCGTGCTGTGCTTCATCAGCTCGGAGCGCATCCCGGCCATGCACGAGTTGCAGCACACGCTGCGTTCGCAGGTCAACCAGCTGCTGCTGAACTCGCCCGCGGACAGCTTCATCAGCACGTTCGACGTGCAGCTCAATGGGAGTGGGGGCACGCGTGACGAGGGGGACGGGGAGGACGAGCTGGATCCCGAGCTGGGCATTGGGCCGGAGGAGATCGTGGGCGCGTGCGTGCTCGCGATGTTCACGGTGGACCGGGACAGCGCGAGCGCGATCGCAGCCAACGCGTTCCGGTGGGCGCGCGGCTGGATCCGGTGGACGAGCTTGACGATCCCGCTGCCCCCGACGCTGGGCGAGGTGTGCGGCCTGCTCCCCATCAAACGCGACGCGACGCAGGAGGACATGGCGCGCATCTGGCTCCTGTGCTACATCGTCGACGGGACCGAAGCGCTGCAGCGCGACAACCCGCCCGAGCTGCCGCGCGACCCCATCCCCTACTGCCAGATCCTGTTGCCCGACCCCATGCCCGCCGGGAAGGAGAGCCCGCCGAACGACGTGCTCCTCGCGTTCCACGCGCGCCTCATCACCCTCCTCCGCGACTGGTACCACCGGCGCGGGGGCGCCGAGACGACGCCCGGCGGCATGGCGCGCCTCGCGGACAACACGAACGCGAACCTCGCGTGGTGGCGCACCGCACTCGACTCGTACGGCCTCGACGAGGTGTGGATGCGCCACATCAACCTGTTTTGGGAGTTTGCGCGCATGCTCGTCAACCGCACGAGTGCGAAGAGCATTGCCGACAAGCGCGCCGCGATCGCGTCGTGGACGATCGGCACGCAGGCCGCCATCGGCTTCCTGGAGAAATGCTCCAAGTGGCCCCAGCGCGACGAGCTGCCCCTCATCCCCCCGTGCTACCTTAATGTGAGTGGATGGTGGAAAAGGACGGAGGCTGACAGCAGATGACGTCGCTTGCGGGTACGGTGCTCGTGGACGCGATCAAGGAGCAGAAGCACCACCGCGACGACATGTGCGCCGTGGGCCCTGCTGAGGCCATCCGTCTCTTCAAGATGGTCGCTGACATGCTCGACCAGGGCGGTGTGCCGGAGACCCATCTATCGCGCCAACACGCGCGGCAGCTGCGCGACTTGGCTGCACAGCTCAGCGCGATGTAGCGCGAGGTGTGGGTAGGGGCCTGCTGTCTTGTCTTGAATCGTTGTTGCGTTGTACTCGCCTCAGCCTGTCACCAGTCTCCGATGTTCCACAACCTTGTACACCACAGCACTATTTATAGTGCGTAATGCAGTGTTGTTGCTTTGCGTCTTAAACGGTTCCTTTTCCGCCGTGACAGTGTTAATTAGCACGTTCGGCTTTCACCCGACTCAATTAGGGCTTTCTACCTCACCGCCTCTCCACCCTGCACCTCGTCTCTTCACGCCTTGCATCTAGTACGGTGTGAGCCGCACGGCGCCTACTTGCTACATGCGACTCGTCTGGCGTCACGCATTGAGGTACTTGGCATGGAAGTCGACGTGCTCTGGCGAAAACGTCGAGATGAAGTAGTACGAGTGGTCGTACCCCTCCTGGCGGCGGAGGTCGAAGTCATCGCTGCGTCCCTTCTTCTTCCGCTCCTCATACGCCTGCTCGAGCGCCTCGGGCGTCAGCTGGCCGGCGGTGAGGAACTGGTCGGCGGTGCCGACGTCGACGAGGATGTTGAGCTTCTCGGCGTCTGACTGCGCGAGGAGGTGCGACGCGTCGTGCGGCAGCCACTCGGCGGGCGGGGACGAGCGCGTGCGCGTGAGCAGGTACGCGCCGAAGGCGCCCTGGCCCCACGGCACGCGCGAGGGGTTGCAGATGGGCGCGAAGGCCGAGCAGGACCGGAAGCGTGCCGGGTCCTTCAGGTAGATGGTGAGTGCGCCGTGCCCGCCCATGCTGTGGCCCGTGATGGAGAAGCGCGAGAAGTCGAGGCCGAGCGACGCGGCGCCGAGCACCTCGGGAAGCTCCTTGGCGATCAAGTCGTACATGTTGTAGTGCTTCCACTTGGGGTTGGTGGCGTTGATGTAGAATCCAGCGCCTGGGGTTAGCGGGGTGGGGTGAGGGTTGGGCGAGCGTGGAGCGAGCATCGAGCACAGCGGCGCCACTGCCACTCCTCTCATGTCTCCTCCATCCCTCCATTCCTCTCTCTCCCTCTCCTCCTTTCCCCCTCTCTGCCTTTCGCCCGCCACCACGTCCACTCACCAGTCCCCAACTGCCAGTCGTCGTCCTCGCCCTCAACCCCGGCTCCGCGCGGCGACGTGTCGGGGAACACGAGCGCAATGCGGTGCTTGCCCGCAGAGTTGAACATGCCGCCCTTCTGCGCCCCCGTGTCCTCGGTACACGTCAAGCCCGCAAGGTAAAACAGCACGGGCACGGGCGACGCCTCCGCCCCGTCCGGGACGTAGACGTTGACGCTCGTCTCGAGGCCCAGCGCGGACGACGGGAACTTGTACTTTGTCAGGACGCCGTTGGCGACGCGGTTTGCCGAGACCTTTTCGAGGGACATGGTGGGTTGAGAGAGAAGATAGAGGAGAGTGGGAAGAGGGAAGAGAAGAGGGGAAGGGGGGAGGAGGGAAAGATATGAGATGACGGTGGGCAGCAATGCCGAGGCGGAGTGACGTAGAGTGAGGGTTCGGGATTGTCCGTTAATCCTCGGCGAACGCGTTGGAACGTGTCTTCGCCGGTCGCTGATATCTTATCGCAGCGCCGTTGGCGTCGAGGCGAGCGGTCATAGCACACATCAAGAGCGGGCAACGCAACGAAGATACGTGTGTCTGCCAGCGCCGAGCTCGACTCGATGTTAAGCTTCCTGCGTGCCGTTCTCGTCGCAGAGATCACCCATCGTCCCCTCTCCAACCCCTCCGACTCCGTACCCCGCCCGTCTTCCGCCCCTCAGTGCCAAGCACAACTCTCCGCCTCGGATCGTGTGTGGATAGTACAATGCATACAACAGGCCAATGAAGAGGCCAATATAGTTGATGGGCTCTGCTAATTCTACATCTTGCCAGCCTTGCGCTGCGCGCGGCCGCGCTTAGGGCGGGCGGCGGAGCGCAGGACGCGGTCCGTGCTCTGCTCGCGCTCACGCGGCGAGGCGTAGTCTTTGTCGTCTTTGTCGTCCTTGTCGTCCTTGTCGTCGTACTCGGATGCGTTGGAGAGGGGCGAGGTGGGCGCCGTTGACGGCTCCGAGCGGGGCGTCTGCGGCATGTCGTTTGAGGCCGTCGAAGCGGTGCGCGACGTCGACCCCTCGGGGGTTGTGGAGGGAGACGGCGAGTGCTCGCGATACTTGAGCATGGCGTGGGCGCCAGTGCCACCCGTGTTCGGGTTCGGCTGCGGACCCGCACGCACGTCCTCGCTGGTCTCGTTGGTCTCGGACTCTGCGTCGAGCTGGTCGTACAGAATGTCGATCGCCTTGCTGACGTCGCCTTCTGTGCGGACGAGGATCTGGGCGACATCGGCGTCGCTGATCTTGGTCTTCTCCCAGTCCGGAAGCGAGGCGATGACCTGTGCCACTCGTCCGTCGGCTATGAAACGCGCCGCAGCGGCGTCCGAGACGCTCGGAGTTGCTCGTGCATGTCCGTTGGTCGAGCCTTCAGCCCGCTCGGCCTGTGCGGCCTCGCTCTGGTCACGCTCGTGGGGGATGGCGAGCGAATCCGGCACCTCGGCCGGCCCTGAGCTGGAGCCGGGGCCCTGTCGGCGTACACTCTGGTAATGCTCGGCGCTGGAGAATAGGGCAACCCAAAGCATGGTGTGGCCCGCGCGGGGTCGCGGGATGGGCTTTGATGCAGGGGCGCTGGAACGGGTCTGGCGCCGGGGCTTTGGCGCCAGAGTTTGGGGCGGGGTCTCAGACACCGCTACCTCGTCTATCGTCGGCTCCTCATCGCACAGTTCAATCTCGCCCTTGTAGTCGACAGTGTAAGACGTCTCGGCGAGGACGACACGGATGCTGCGTTTAAACACCTTGGTGGCAGCGACGAGCTCAATGTGTGAACCATAAACGCCAAATCCGCGCATACGGTCAACGTAGGCTTGGTAGGTCTCGCCTTCAATGAGGAACCCTGCAACAAAATCTCGCAGTTCTCCCTCATTACGCGCGAGTTCGTCGCAAATCAGCCGGCGAACCTCGGCGTGGCGAGTCTGCTCGCCCCAAACTTGGTCCGCGAGTGCGCGAAACAAGCAGTTGCCGTCGGCCAACACGTCGCGCAGTTGGAGCTGAAGACGCTTGATCTCGTCGTGTAGCGCCTTGGACTCGGCCCCGATAGACTCGAGGGTGGCCGGAGCGGCGCTAGTTCTTCGCGAGCGGGTAGCGCGACGCTCGGCACGTGTCACACGAGCGACAGCGCCGCCATGGAAAGACGAGTCACCTGCGGATGCACCACCACGTCCACGACCACGGCGTGGTTTGCCGCCTCCTTCTAATGGCCGTCTTGGCAGTTCGGGAGCTCGACGCATTCGCTTCGCGGGATGATCTGCGCGGTCTGACGGGGCGGGTCCTGATGGCGTGGGTGACAATCGAGGGGTGGTGATGGTCGCTGTGATGGGCTCTTTGGAAGAGTCTTGCTGGCGAAAGATAAGTCGCAAGCGTATAGAAGGGATAGAATGTTGGGGGAGAGGGGAGGCGGGGGCGGGTGTTGGCGAGAGCGGGCGCTTCAGAGGGGATGAGTGGACGTTGTGGTTGAGTGAGGGTGGTCGAAGGCCTGTGCTGGCGAGGCCTTGGCCGGGGAGGGCGGGATGTGGGTCATAACCCAGCGGGCGCATGGTGGGGAGTGGGGGGAGGAGGGGAGATGGAGGAGAGAGAGATGAGAGAGATGGAGAGCTTGTTGGTGTGATGCTTTATGAAAGATGTGTGATGGGACGTGTGGTGGTGAGGAGTAATTGTCCAGGAGAGTGTGCAAAAGGGAATTGTTGTGCGTTAGGCCAGGGTCATGGAGCAAGGGGCGACGAGAGGTCGAGTGACGTGGGAGTATCACCGATGCGAGGTATTGTGTCTATGCTATGAGGGGTGCCGAGAATGGCGAGCACGACGGCGATGATGGTGAGGAGGAGATGGACGGTGACCTGCCAGCAGAGAGCGGAGACGCGATGTGGAGGGGGGGAGGAAGGCAGAGGAGGGGAAAAGAGAGCGAGGGACGGAATTGGATTATCAAAGTGCGGGGATCCCACCCATCAGCCTATGGACAATTCAGGGTCAGTCATACAGAGGGGCCGATGATTAGGAAATTCTGCTCTCCATTAGCCAGTGATTAGGATTCAACCTCGGTGGCAAATTGACAACTGACAGTGACGTCGTTCGTCCATCTCTCGGCCAATCTCATCAACTCTCTCACTCTCTCTCTCTGCTCATTATTGCTCAATCATCAGCCACCTGACTCGGCAAGCAGCTCATGGCGAGCTTTGATTTGCAGTCGTGTCCTCTGCTTGACCTCGTGCATGCCTGCAGCTGCCTCCATGCCGAATCGAGGCAGCTGCCTAGCATGCCTGCCTCGAAATCAGTCACGCGCCGCCAGAGTATTTGTTTAATCAACGATGACGTTGGGCTCAATCATGGCTTTCCCAGCTTTTGACGGAATGCATCTCATGACGTCTGTTTGCGGCTAATAACAAGTGTTGTTGGCCTTGTTGGCATGTTGGCGACGCAGGCTCTCACATGGAGACCAGGTCATTGATTGCCCGACCGCGACAGCATTCGCCGGCTCCATTCTCGGCGTTCGCGACTCACGGCAGAGCCTGCACTGGTACAGGTGCCTATTCCAGTGATCCAGCGTGCTTGGGATCATTTGTACGCGTGCTGCGCGAGTGCAGAGTTGACGACGATCGACACCGTCTCCACCATGGCTGGAATCACGTGTCCCAGGTACCCCACACACCCCACACTCGATCGGCACTGATGTATGTAGCAGTACATCTGTACTCACACTCTCCTTCTGTTGTCAGTCACTTGAAGCACCACCATGCCCGGCCCACCGCACACTCCCTCGCTGGCCGAGAAGGCCTCCGACATCCATGGTCCGCTCATGGCCCACCCACCCCGCTCCCGCGCTTACCGCTGCCACCAGCTCCTCACCCTCGCCGCCTTCTGTACCGCCCTCGTGATGCTCTGCGCACCCCTCTCCTTCCCCATACTGTTCTCCCTCTCCTCTTCCTCCTCCCCCTCCTCCCTCCCCTCCCTCCTCTCCAGAAACGGCACCGATCCGTACCACGGCAAGTCCCTCGCGCCGTCAAACTATACCGTCGTCACTGGCCTCTTCCGCCAATCCGAGCCCGACTTCGATCCCGAAGGCTACGACATGCTGCGCGACAGCTTTGGGCTGCTCTACAAAGGCGCGGACCGCTGGCTTCGGTTCACAGAGTACGCCTCCCTCGCCCATCCTTTGACACCAGACACATAACCCGCCTCAACAAACACGCAGACGCACACACGACCTACAAGGTCCTGTACGTCGCGCGGCACGGCGAGGGCACACACAACGTCGCTGAGGCGCACTACGGCACGCCGGCGTGGAACTGCTTCTGGTCCTTGCTCCCCGGCGACGGGGAGCTCATGTGGGGGCCCGACCCGCCCCTCACCCCTTTGGGGCGGGAGCAGGCGCGGCGCGCCCGCGACGGATGGAAGGCGCAGATGGCGGACGGCGTGCCCCTCCCCCAAGTGCTGTATTCGAGCCCGTTGAGCCGCGCCGCAGAGACGCTGCGGATTACGTGGGCCGATATCCTGCTGCACAAGGGCTTCATGCCCGTCGTGATGGAGCAGTGGCGCGAGAACATTGGATTGCACACGTGCGACCAGAGGCGGAGCAAGCGCGAGATCGCCGAGGCCTTCCGTGCGTTGCCCCCGTCCCCCACGTCCTCATCCCCACTAATCGGAGACTGACGCCAGCCGAATTCACGTTCGAGCCCAGCTTCACGGAGCACGATCCATATTGGGACGCGACGTATATCGAGACGGAGCCGCAGCGCGCCGTGCGCATGCGCATGGCGCTCAACGAGATGTTTGCGCGCGACGCGCGCACGTTCATCAGCATCACGGCGCACTCGGGGGTCATCCACGCGTTCTTTAATGCCATCGGGTTCCCCTCTTTCCAGGTGCAGACCGGCGGGTTCGTGCCCGTCGTGATCAAGGCTGTCTCGCACCCCACTGCCACCATGAGTGCTATCACACGTGGTCAGAGCGGCATCGCACCGACATGTACTGCCGACCCGGCGCCGGCCTCGCTCATGACGGGCAAAGCGAGCGTGCCCGTGCAGCCCACATGGTACCCGCCATGTGGAGATGGATGCACGCCCTCGGCCGTGATTGGGACATGGCTTTTACCCACCCCCACCTAACGTTGTACAATATCCAGCCGCTTCCTCTCTCCACACCGATGCATATGGGCTACAAGCCAGCGGCAAGGATACAAAGCAGACTGCGCGTTGCGCCGCCCGTAGCCCAGCTGCCGTCGATATGTGTGTATATGAACAATGCTGCCATCCTAGATCTGTACACTATCTAATCTCTACGCGGTTACCACCGCATGCCGCCGCCCCCACCACGTGCGCCGGGCGGGCGGTACACATTGCGGTTGACGGGCGTCGCAGGGCGCGAACTGTATGTGGACCGCGATCCCTCACGCTCATCGGCGTAAGCGTCCAGGATACTCACGATGTCCTTCGTGAGCATACCCAGCTCGCGGATTTCTTCAGCGCTCAGTGGCTCAATTTTGCGTGTCTGTCGGCGCGCGAGCTCGTTCTGAAGGCGCGCGTGTTCAGATATGGACGGCACGTCCTCCTCGTCCTCGCTCTCATTCTCCTTGCCGTCATCGAGCTCAGCGGTGCGCTCGCGGATACGACTCGAGCCGCTGCGCACGTCCACTGCGTTTCGGTTCGCTTGAACGCGCGTGTCTCGCTCACGCGTGAGCGCCTTACTCAGGCCCTCAAAGACGCGCAGCATGCACGTGTCGAGGTATGTCTTCAGGCGCTGCACATCGTCAAGGGCGTGAAGATTGCCCGTCACGGGCAGCCAGCCGTCGCACTCGAGGCCGCGGCCAGTTGCGTACACCTCATACGCGCCGAACAGCATATACGTCATGGGGTCAAGACGAGTAACGGAGCGCAAGCTGGTGATGCCCGCGTTGGGGTTGCCAGGCTGCACAGTGCGACTCTTCTCCCCGAAGGCGTACAAGCGCTTCTCAGCCGGGTGGAACGACGCGCTAGGCTCTTCTGGTCCGCCCTGCTCACGGCGACGGGAGTTGACACTCGACGGGTGAATAAATACTGTCTGAAGGGTGAGCACTGCTGGGGTCATTGAGCCCACCTTGTCCTGAGATGTGCGGCATGTCTTCTCCGACGTGCGGATCGCAAAGTTGGGTGCCGAAGCGACGGCAATAAGCGCCGCAAGCAGCGGAAGACTGTGGTCGTTCTCACGAAGCACCATAGGCACCTCGGCCCGCCCACGGAATCCGCGCGGTACATAGCGGTCACCAGCAGAGACGGCAATGACGCCGGCCTGGTCGAGCGATTGCAGAAGGTGGCCCTTGACCTGCTTGATTTGCAGGAGGGTCAGCTTGGACAGGAAGTTGTCCTGGCAGAAACGATTCGCAGTCGTGTACTCGCCGCGGTCGTCCATCGCCGACCACTGATTGTACGCAGACACGATGGCAAGCGGGTCCGAGCGGAAAGCCAGCGGCGACCACGAGTTCTTGATCTCATCAGCCTCGCGCTTCAGCGCAAGCGGCGCCAAGAATGGATCGCGGTTCGTGAGAACGGCGGCGAGGGTGAGAGCCGAGTCGAGGCAGCGGAAGAACGACCCATAGAGACACAGCTTGCCTATGGCTGCGTCGGTAGGTAGTTGCAGAAGCACACGGCCAAGCGACGTGAGGTTCTTGTTCGAGTCGAGTGCGCCAAGCATGCGCAGCGTTTCAAGAGCAGCCACAATGCGCGAGGGCTCAGGCGGCTCAATGGCGGCCCCGAGCACCTCCTCCACCTCGCCGAGATTGAGCGCCTTGACGTGCATGACCACATCACTCAGGTCGGAGCGCTTCATCTCCACCATCTGGTTCGGCTCGAGCGACTCGAAGCGGCGCTTGGAGAGAATACCGTAGTATTCACCACTGCGGTGACGACCCGCACGGCCGGCACGCTGGCCGAGATTAGACGCACCCACCCACGCTGACACAAGAGAGCTCATGTGCCGCTCGGGATCGTACCGCTTCTCCTTGACGCGACCTGTGTCGACGACGTACACGACATCGGGGATGGTAACGGACGTCTCGGCGATGTTGGTGGCTAGGATGATACGGCGGACGCCAGGCGCTGGCGGACGGAATACTTCCTTTTGCTCAGCAGCAGGGATGGACGAGTGAAGGTAGTGAACGCTGTACTGATTGGCGTCGTTAAAGTTCATGCCCAGGAGAGGGTACTGCCCGGGATCGAGAAGGATGTCAGCAACCTTCTTGATCTCGTCCCAGCCAGGAAGGAACACGAGCACATGGCCGTCGTGTGTCTTCTTAAGCGCAAAGGCGATTGTGAGGGCGACAAGAGGATAAGGAACGTCGAGCTCGCCCAGCATGATGCCAGACGTCTGCTGGAACACTGATGGGTCGCGACTCATCTCGCGATTGATGTACTCGGCCGTCTTAGCGTCCTGGAACACCCAACCGCCCATGTTGCGAGGCAGTCCCTGGCGCATCTCGTCAAGAAAGTCGTCCAGGTAGTGACGCGTAACGGGGAAAGTGCGACCCGGCACCTCTGCCACAGGAGCTGGGCGACCGTACTCGTCCTTGAAGTAGTTCTGGAATAGTGTCGGATCAATTGTTGCGGACATGAGCACGACCTTGATCGGCTTCCTGCGCGATCGACGGTCCGCAATTAGACGCTTGAGAACGACGAGCAGCAGGTCGGTGTCAATGTCACGCTCGTGCACCTCGTCAACAATGACATGCGTGACTTGGTCCATCGCAGCGACAGATTCGGGCTGCGCTTGAGCACCAAGCGACGACTGCATACGCTTGAGGAAGACTCCCGTCGTGCAGAATGTGATGCTGCCATTGGGCTGTGGTGGCTTGTTGTCAAATCGCACTTGATAGCCGACTTCCTGGCCGAGGTTCTGTCCTCGCTCATCCGCTACGCGCTCCGCGACGGACATAGCCGCGAGGCGACGGGGCTGGGTGCAGATAATGTTGCACCGGGAACCTTCCCCGCGGTTTATGTAGTCGTCGAAGAGCATCTGCGGCACCTGCGTCGTCTTGCCGGAACCTGTGGCCGCCATAACGATGGTCACGTCGTTGACCTCAATCTTCGCCAAAACGTCGCTGGAGCGAGTGTAGACGGGCAAAGCCTGACGCGTTGCGCGCATCTTCTCCAACGCAGGGTCTGTCTCGTACTGCATCAGCCTGTCCTGCAGTTTGTCCGACTTCGCCTTGAGCTCCGACGCCGTCGCCTGCCAGTGTCGCCTCGGGCCAAACGACTGCGCGATGTGGGGCACGGGCGCTGACGTGTTGGGTTGAGGGGCGTTGTAGTAAAGAAGCGAATGCCGGATATCGCTGCAAAGCGTCTGCACGTCGTCATTTAGCATGTCCGACATACTGAAGACGAGATGCGGGGCTTGACCGAGCACCGCTGAGGGGTCTTTCTTGGTAGCCTCAATGAAGTCGTTCCAGAGATCCCGGTCTAGCGATTCCAGGTAGGTCACGACGTCAAGGTAACAGCGGATCTGAGCACCCTTCTTGTTCGTTGCAGTGCCCTGCCCGATACGGCGACCTCCGATAGTCATAACCGCCTCCCAGTTCGTGGGACCCATCGCCGCCTTGGCCTTGCGCCCGCGGAAGCCAGCTGGGGCGGTGACCTTGGTGGTCGACGACGAGAACTCAATGTCAGGCTTTCCAAAGTGAAACTGTTTGCAGTACCACTCGATGAACTGGCGCGCCCGGTCGTAGGTCAGGAGAGAGCCGTCACTCAGCGGGGCCGTCTCAGCGGTGCCGGTGACTGGTGTAGAGGACCCGCCGGCACTAGCTGCGGCGACTGGCGCGTTCTTTGCCGCGGCTCTGCCCTTCTCCAGATACCCGACGCGAGTGAGCTGGAGCACAGCACTCAGCGCGGCGAGCTTCTCGGCCTCCTTGCGCGATGTTGCGTCTCCCACGCCGACGATGTTGTCCTGCTCGTCCACCAACACGGAGACGCTGAGTGTCAGCTGATTACGGGGGCGCATGGTTAGGCGCACCGGTACATCTTCTTCCCATCAATCATGCCTTCCTCGACCTGGAAGCCCTTGCCTCCATCGCCAAGGTTAGTGGCGCCACCGGTTCCTCCGCCAAGGTAGTTGGCGAGCGGCGCCTTGGGATTTTCCTCCCACTGCTGTTTGATTGTCACGCCAGCGCCATGTTCGCTCATAATCTGCTGGCGGTCATGGATTGGCCCAGGCAGAATCGTTGCTGGGGGAGGCGGGGCCTTGTTGCGGCCATTGGCCCTGCCTCTCCCATGTCCGCGATTTCCTTGTGGCATGGGCTGTGTAGTACTTGCTGGCAGGCCGAGGCGGGAGTTGGATCGAGACGAACGGGACTCGTTGGGGCGCTGCTTTTTGGACGAGGACGAGGGGCCAGGTGAGTGCTGGCGCTTGAAAGATCTGCCGTCAGACGCTCGCCACATATCAAGTTGCCCGACGGTACTCACCCTTGTTCACGGTCCGTGTGCTGAACGGGGTGAGCGTAATCACGCGCGGTACTCGTGCTGTGGTAGCCTCGCGAGTTGGACGTGATCGAGTTGCCCGAAAGGGGAGACGGACGAGGGGGAAGGGTGTGGTCGCGTGAGATGCGGTCGCGGAGGCTGGGAGCGTGGAGCTGGTACTGTTGGGAGCTGCTAGGGTCGGAAGAACGGTCGTTTGATCCAAACGAAGGTGCAGAGAACTTGGAGCCGGAGTGAGAAGAGTAAGTGTCACCGCTACCTTGCATGGGGTCCGATAGAGCGTGAACCGTGTCGAGACGCGAGGGGCGATCGGCGAGCTTGACGACCGGGCCAGTCGAGAACAAATGGGCCCACTGACGGTGGACAAGAAAAGCAGACTTGAAATGCGCGAGGCCTTGGACGTGGGAAAGCGCGCGAAGAGATGCGTGTGGCTGGGCGCCGACTAGCCAGCGTAAGGAGCTGGCCAGGAGTGCCGACGACAGCGTGTGGGCTCTGACTCGCGGTCGTGCGTAGGCAGACAGCGAGGCGGCCCGAGGTGTAGTCGGGAACGTATCGGGGGAAAGAGGAGGAGATGGGTGCAACTGGGGAGCGACGAGGAGGGAGGGCGATGAGGAGAAGAGTAGAAGGAGAAGAGAGAAAGGGAGGAGATGGAGTGAAGCTCAGCCTGGAACGCGCACTACTGACATTTTAGAACAACGGTGGATCGGTCTATAACGGTATCAAATTCACGTGGGAGATCCGCGCGTCCCCCGGCGGTAATGTCGTCATGGCATGCCAGGCATCCTCGGTGAGTGACAGCGGAAACCATTATACATGTACGCAGCGAGCTGCGAGGAGTGCTGTTCTCACATCGCCTACGTCTGCATCCAACCCCAGTGACCTATTATTCTCATATTCTCACACTCTACCTCTTTCTGTCTCGCCTTGATAGCATTATGCCGAACACAACCCTCGCAGCCATCGGCCTCTTCGGCTCGGCCACGGCCTCTTCCTATGTTCTCTTCTCTAACCTAGGCATGTCGCAGTACGGTCTCGTCCCTTTCATTCGAGGCAAGGTGGCAGACGTCCGCCTCTCCGCAGCGGACAAGCTGCGTACGTGGGTGGGATACTACAACGGGGGCAAGGTAGGTCGTCTCTCTGCGGCGATTGATGTAGTTCTGGTCGATTACTGGCGCGGTGGTCAACGCGCTCTGCGGCACCCTCGTGGCCCTCACCCATCCGGCGATTGAGATCCAGCGTCTCGGTTTGGGCTCCGCCGTTCTCGGACTGGCTATCGTGCCGTATACCCTCTTGGGCATCAAGCCGACGAACGACAAGATCTTCGCGCTCGAGGCCAAGGCTCGGCGCGGCGAGAATGTTGATGACAAGAAGGTCGATGGGTTGGTCGAGGAGTGGGTGTCGCTACACAACGTTCGATACGTCGCCTACGTCTCCTCGTGGCTCCTGTCGGCCGCAGCGCTCGCCATGAACGGCAATGTCCTTATCGAGGTGCTGGATGTCGTGTATCGCGCGCCGCCGGTGTACTACAGCTCTGGCCCTGTGTAAAATTGCGTAGACGTAGCAGTTAGCTTGTAAGATGTGACGCGCGTCCAATGTCGTGGCATTAGCTCTTCAGTGCACGGCCAGGATACCATCATGACCCGATGCATTACCATATACAATGTCCACGCTGTGACCTCAGCCGAGGCCCCCTGTAGAGCCGCCTTTATGTCCTTTACGCCTCCTTGTCGTCCGTGATGGCGACCTTCTCAACGGCCTGGCGCGCCCCCTCGAGCTTCATCTCGGCCTCCAGCTCTTCCAGCACCTTCTTGGTACCCTCAACGATGATCTCGTGTTCAACCGAGTGTATCCTCGCCTCGACGTCCGCAAGCTCGTCGCCCTCCTTGATTTCGACCTCGCGCACGATCAGCGGCTCCCCGCGGTCGACCTCCTTGATGACGCGGTGCACCATCACGCCAGTGCACTTGACCTCGCCATTCTTCCATGCCTCGAACGCGCGAGGGATGGCGTTGGCGCCGTCGAAAGCGCCCGGCAGTGCGGGGTGGAGGTTGATGCAGGGGATAGGGAAGTGCTGGGTGGGCGGGGGGAGCGGAAGCTCCTTCTCGGGGATGACGTCGGCCGCCGCGACGTGCTTCGGCGACGTCTCGGTGCCAGTGAGCGGGGGAAGAGCGGGAGCAGCAGGCGGCGCCTTCCGGCCCTCGAGAATGTCGAGGAACGAGTCGGAGAGAATGTGCATCCACCCAGCCAGGACGACCACGTCGGGGCGGCTTTCAAGGACGCGGCGGGCGACCTCAGCATCATAGTCCTCGCGCGTGGCGCCTGGGTTGCGGTTCAAGAACGTTTTGAGCGCACACACACTCGTGGGAACAGCGGGACGGGCGTTTGCCGCGCGCGTAAGGCCGTACGCGTTCGAGCGCGAGGACAGCACATATGTCACCTGCGCATTGGGGAGGCGGTCGGTGAGGGACGCGTCGAGGATGGCCTGGAGGTTGGAGCCTGGGTCAGCGGCAGACAAGAAAACACATACCAGAACCCGAGATAAGGACGGTGATGCGCTTGGTGCGCGTCGACGGGTCGATCGTCTCCTGCAGCGTCGGCATTGTGGATGATGTGTCGGTGCGGACGGTGCGGAGACGGCCGTTCTCAACTTTCCTCGCCGAGAAGTAGAATGACGTGTAATCTTCTCGTTCCTCTGCCTGGCGGAGGAGGATTACTCGAACTGCCCCTTGCCCTGGTCTGCGGTTCTAAGCTCCGCCCACTGCATCTTCTCGAACTTGTCCAACTCTTCATTGCTCTCTTCGCTTCAGCTTTCCCAACCGCTCCCTTCTGCTGTCCGATCCGTGTCCCGACGCTCGCCCCTCAAAGTCGCGCGAATCCGTGCACGCCCACACCTGCCCCTCCCACCCCCACCTCGCGCCACTCCACGGCCCCATCATGGGCCGCTCGAAGCCTCGCACAAACAAGCGGCCGCCACCCAAGCCGAACCGCCGCGCCGCACCCGCTTCCCCAACTCCTGCATTCGATCCTGCGACAGGCTTCTTCCCCCCACCATCAACGATGGACCCTACCGACCCCAGCTTTACGCGCGCGTTTCAGAGCTGGTCGGCGAACGCGCTCAACCAGCTCGACCAGCTACGCCAGCTACCCGTCCTGACGTCTTCGCAGCTGAGCGCTATTGCTGGCGCCGCGGCCGGCGTGTCCGACGCCGGTTTTCAAGGCGAAGGGCCCAGTATCGACCTCCCCCAGAGCTTGGCCGCGCTGTTTGAGGCAAAACTCACACTCGACCGTGAAAAAGCCAAGTTGATGCGCATGCAGAAGGAGCTGCGTGGCTTCCGGGACGGCATTGACAGCTTGGCCGGTCCAGCGCCGGCACAGGCGCCGCCTCCTCTTCCGACGGTTAAGGGCAAGGAGGTCGCGGTCGAGGAGGAGCAGGCCGAGTGCACATGTGGAAGGAATGGGTACGTCTGTGGCTTATTTGGATCTGACGCCAGTCACGCACACGAGTATCCCGGCTCGGCGCACTCGGAATCAGAGGACTACTACTACTACGACACGGAGGACGAGTGCTGCGAATGCTGCTCGCACGATCACAGCTACGTCGAGTGCGACCACGAACCTGGCGAGTGCGATTGCGAAGAGTACGAAGAGCACCACCACCATCATCACCACCACCACCATCACCATGAAGAGTACTATGAGCCTGAGCGGGGCTTTGAGGCGCTCGTTCTCGGCCCCGACGGGCGCCCCGCCAACCTGACTCCTGAGCAGGCGATGGCGCTGTTCGAGCGGCAGCCGTACCTCCACTCTCCGGAGGCGCGGGCGATTCTCGCGAGGGGCCACGCACAGGCAGCCGAGGTGGCGGCCGCAAAACAGCAGCTGGTCGAGGGCGGCGAGGGAGTGCGGCAAGGCGGGGAGCACGCGCGGGAGCGAGGAGAGAGCGAGGCGAATGGGGAGAGCAGAGGAGGAGGACACAATCGCGAAGGTGCAGCGCCGCGGCGCCGCCTCGCCGACGATCCGGAGAGGATGGACGAGGCCGTCCGCGAGCTCTTTAACTGGATCAAGGCCGTCGTGTGGACGATCGAGCAGGCAGCGATCGTGGCGGGCCGGCGGGCCCCTTTCCACTCGCAGCGCGGTGATCTCCCGGAGCAATAGCTCTGCTCATGTCACGCTCTTCCGTAAGAAGCACAACCAACACATTGTATCACCACCATCTACGTGCCGTGCACACGAACATGCATCTCATTTAACAAGCGAAGCGGGCAGAGGTGCGCGGGTGTGGTGGGCCGTGTTGCTACCCTTTCATTAAACGAGAAATCAGAGCAGTGGAAAGTCAGGTGGAGGCGGGTGGAGATGCGGAGATCTCCGCTCGCACTGACGAAATGAGCGCAGACCGCGCATCTTGACACCACCCAATCCTCAGCAACCATGGTAGTGCGTCCTCTCTCGGCGCGACTATGCTGACGCCAGAAACTTCTCGTCCAGATCGGGATGGAGCGCGAGGGCGTGACGGACGTCGTGCCGGAGGACGGCTACGAGTTCTTCTTCAACGTGCGTCTCGCCTGACGCCGCTGACACCAGGTGACATGCACGTCGTGCCGCGAAGAGCACCCGAAAGCGGTCTCGTTCAACCAGACGGACGAGCACGAGCTGAGCGGGAGCCGGGGGAGTGCGCACTTCGTGTGGCGCTGCGGGAACTGCAAGGTGTGTTTCGCGCGAGGTGCGGTGCGAGGTGCAGGGCTGACCAAAGCGCGAGCAGAGCTGCTCGTTCGCGCCGGTCGCGGGCAAGAGCGTCGCGCCGCTGCCGTACGCGGCGGAGAACGGGCAGCTGGCGCCGTTCGTCGCGCTCGACTGCCGCGGGCTCGAGGTCACCAAGTTCCATTTCCGCGGGGCGTGGCGCGCCAAGGGCGAGACGGGGGCCACGTTCGAGGTCGACCTCGACGAGGGCGAGGATCGGTGGGACGACTACGACGAGGACGCGGGCGTGCCGGTCTCGCTGAGCGAGTTCCGCAGCGAGGTCAAGCGGGCGTAGCTATATGGGTGCGGAGGAGATGGATGCGACATGGGATACTGCATGTTCTATAGAGTGCTTAAATGTGGCCGTGGCCCCACTGCGTGGCCTCGGCGGCGAGCTCGACGGCGGCAAGGCCCCAGTCCTCGCCGTGGTCTGATGTGAGCGTTTCCTCGGGTGATTCTCTGCTGGTTCTCTCATCAACGACAGGTGCAGCCTTCGCCTTCCAGTCTGTGCGCCGCCCAGCTGCCAGAGCCCAGGTGTTCCCTCGTCTACCACTCTCCTCCCAGATAGCACACTCCTCCCCACCCGCCCGCTCCCTTTCGCGTCCACTCACTGTGCCCCTTGGTCCCCTTGCGTCCAATACCCGCACGCTCGAGCGCCTGGTCGTCCGTAAGCGCGGTGAGGACACCAAACACGACCGGCGTGCCCGTGTCGAGCTGGACGCGCATGAGGCCGTGCGTCGTCGCGTCGCAAATGTACTCAAAGTGCATGGTCGAGCCCTTGATAAGTACGCCGATCGCGATGACGGCGTCGAACTCGCGCGTCGCCACGGCGGCCTTCTTGTCGCCCGTGGGGGTCGCGGCGCGCTCGTCGTCCACCAGCGACATGAGGTTGGTCGTGGAGATGAGCGAGGGCTCGGCCTTGGTCGCCTGCGCCTTGCCGCCCTCGATGAGTCTGGCGTGAGCGTGATGGTCGCCCGGCGGCCCGACGGGCAAGCCTCAAGCAAGCGCGGGCTGCGCGGGCTGCGCCCGCACTCGACACCCACTTCTTGCACGCAAACGGAAGCTCGTAGCTTCCCGGCACACTCTTGATGACAATGTTCTCCTCCTTGACGCCAAGAGACTTGAGCTTGTCCACGGCGCCGTGGACGAGGGCCTTGATGACCTCGTCGTTCCAGCGGGCGTGCACGATGGCAATGCGGAACGCGCTCCCGTCGTGCGTCTTGGGCGGGGCGCCGAGGCCCTTGATGGTCTTGTCCTCTGCCATGGTGGGTGAAGTCGTGCGGTGCTGAATGGGATGGGAGGGGATGGAAACTTGGGATTTGCGACAGGGAACTAACTGCGAGCTGCGAACACGATCATGGAAACGTCACTACATTGCCGGAGACACCGGGGTGAGTCACGTGTATCACGTGGCTATGTGGAGGAGCGTATAAAGACACAACCACGTGTCCGGATCTTGCAACTCCGCCGAGTGCGAGCTCGGACGGAGAAGCTGGTCGCGGCGAGGAACATGGCAAAAAGAACAGATGGAAGCTGCGCGCCCTCGACAACCCGCATGGGAGCATGGGACACGCACCGACACAGCCACGCCTGTGACGCATGTGACGCACTAGACCAGATTAGGCGTCAGGCAACGCGACAGGACAGGACAGGACAGGACAGGACGCGACGCGACGCGGCTGACATTGACGTCCGTGTCTACTCGCCCGCGCGGGCCAGTCTAGAGGAAGAGCTCGCGACGCCGTGCGCCGTTCGAGTCGACTGTCTCCGCATCTCCGCCCTCTGCATCAATCTCACTCTTCATTCTCATCCGCCGTCCATCTCGCCCGTCTTCCGGCGTTTCGGAGATTCGGCTCCGCTCCTCCCAGGTGGCTATATCGCCCCAGTATTCCCGTGGGGCCGCGTGATTGGTCGTGGCCCACCCATTCCGGTTGAGTGAGCCGGGAGAGTCGTCGATCGCGCCAGCTTGAAAAAGCCAGCTGTTGCCGGGCCACTTTTCCTCTCTCCACTACTCCCCACTCCACCATGTCTCTCGCTCGCTCCTCTGCTCTCCGCGCCGCGCTCCGCACCGCCCCCCGCGCCGCGCGTTCCTACTCGCTCGCCGCCCGCGCCGTCGCCCCCAAGGCTGCCGGCGCCATGGCGTCGCGCATTGGCGTGAGTCACCAATGGTCCCGCGGTCGTCTCGAGATTCAAGATTGGGCCTAGCCATCAAGCTGGGCGCCATTATCTTATCTCGCCGCAGCCGGGGGACCTCGCCCCGCTTATGTGAGAACATGGCTGACATCCCAGGCCACCCGCGGTGTCAAGACCCTTGACTTTGCCGGCACCAAGGAGACCGTTTACGAGCGCGCCGACTGGCCCCTCGACAAGCTCCAGGACTACTTCAAGAACGACACGCTCGCCATGATCGGCTACGGCTCGCAGGGCCACGGCCAGTCGCTCAACGCGCGCGACAACGGCCTCAACGTCATCGTCGGTGTCCGCAAGGGCGGCGAGTCGTGGAAGCAGGCGATGGAGGACGGCTGGGTCCCCGGAGAGACCCTCTTCGACATCCCCGAGGCGATCAACAAGGGCACCATCATCATGAACCTGCTCTCTGACGCCGCCCAGTCGTCGACCTGGCCCGAGATCGCCCCCCTCATCACCAAGGGCAAGACGCTCTACTTTGCCCACGGCTTCTCCGTCGTCTACAAGGACGACACCAAGGTCGTGCCCCCCAAGGACGTCGACGTCATCCTCGTCGCGCCCAAGGGCTCTGGCCGCACCGTCCGCACCCTCTTCCTCGAGGGCCGCGGCATCAACTCGTCCATCGCCGTCTTCCAGGACGTGACTGGCCACGCCAAGGAGAAGGCGATCGCCCTCGGCATCGCCGTCGGCTCCGGATACCTCTACGAGACCACCTTTGAGAAGGAGGTCTACTCGGACCTGTACGGAGAGCGTGGTGTCCTCATGGGCGGCATCCAGGGCATGTTCCTCGCCCAGTACGAGGTCCTCCGCAAGAACGGCCACACCCCGTCCGAGGCCTTCAACGAGACCGTCGAGGAGGCCACCCAGTCCCTCTTCCCCCTCATCGGCAAGTACGGCATGGACTACATGTACAACGCGTGCTCGACGACGGCGCGCCGCGGCGCCCTCGACTGGGCCCCCAAGTTCAAGGAGGCCAACCTGCCCGTCTTTGAGGCTCTCTACAAGTCGGTCCGTGACGGCTCCGAGACCCGCCGCTCGCTCGAGTTCAACTCGCGCAAGACGTACCGCGACGACCTCCAGAAGGAGCTCGACGAGATCGACAACCAGGAGATCTGGCGCGCCGGCAAGACCGTCCGTGCCCTCCGCCCCGACGCCCAGAAGGAGGACATCTAAGTGCTCAAGTGCTCTCGTGCCATAGTCTTGGAATCGAGTCGAGCATCTTTCACAGCGTCTCTAGTCTCCTCCCCTCCCACCCCTACATAAAAAACGGACAGCGCGACAGTTGTCATCTTGTATAACAATAGGCATGCAGTGGAGCAGCATTGGTCTGCAGTATCTAACTATAGGAATCCCCGGGCAAGTGGAGCAGAGGTTGCTACAGCACGAAGATATTAGCGGAAGAAAAATAGTGTGGCGCGCGACACACGCCGATCGCCGAGCGATGCGCGGGCGCCATAGTGCCCGTAGAGCCGAAACCATCAGCCATCGGCGGTGCATGCTTGGGATGAGGCTGCGACTGCGGCGACAACTTGTGCTGCTGCCAGTTTCCAGTTCTCGTCCTCCCCTCTCTTCATGCCACTCCTGCAGGGCATGCGGTGCAAGCTCGACCCATCGGCAACGCCACCGCCATGCCGCCGTCAGCTCCACGGGGCCATCACCAAGTCTCGCGTCTCGGCTGCCTTGGCCCACCCTCTTTCCTCTCTCCTCTCTTCGCACCCTCAAGCTCTCAATCTGTAGACAGATGCCAGATCCCATGCCAGGCCCTGCAGAGCGTGTGTCCAAACACTACCAATTTTACGATTACGAGGAGATCCACGGGCCACCGGCCGGCGAGGCGTAGAGGGCGCGCAGCAAGCGCTATTAAACTGCTAATATACATCAAGGGTCCATCAATGCACAGTGGAGGGCGTGGGTTCGGGATGAGGGGACGTGTGGCCAGGTCGTGTGGCAGGTCGTGTTGTGGATCAAGACATGTACTACCGCTGGGGCCCACCCGCACCCCACTGCGGGTTGTACGTCGGCGGCAGGTCCTCGGGCTCGTCCGGCGTGGCGGGAAGGCTGAGCGACCCAGCATCTTCGTGCCGCCGGAAACCGGCAACCGGCGTGTTGAGCGACGGCTGCCCGTCGTCGAAGACGTTGCGGTTGTCGGGGTTGGCGAGCGCGAGCTGCATCTTCATCGGCAGGCGCGACGAAGACTGCCCCGTGCCGCCGGATTGCATGCGGCTGTGCCCGTTCGTCGGCGGGTATGTGGTAAAGTCGGACCCAGACCCGCGGTCGGAGGGAAGCACGGCCGCTCCAGGCGGCAGAGGAGCCCAGTTCATGCCTGTCCCACCCGAGACCATCGAGATGCGCGGGGACGAGTCGCTGTCCGTCGTGCCACCCATGAAGGGCGAGATCGTCGTACCGAGATCGTCGTCGGCGTATGCGCCGCGCGATGCACGGCGGTGGTTGTCGCGCATCGACGTGCCCGAGGCGAGCAACCCGTCATGTCCTGGGTGCTGCTCATACAGGTCAATACCGCCCGATGTGCGGCGGGCATCCTTCCTGTTCTTGCGGTTGGCGAGGAAGGAATTGAGCTGTCGCCTGCAGCAAAACCACACAATGAGGGCCTGCAGGATGACGACGGCGGCGATGACACCGACGACAATGCCGGCGATGGCGCCGGACGTCAGCGCCGTTGAGCCGTCCGGCACGACGGTTTGGATGGCTGTGACTGTCACCATGCCGCCCTGAGTGCGCGATGCCGTTTGCGACGAGCCCGTCTGGCTTGGGTTCCAAGGCGGTACGGGGGTGGTGCTGGCCGTGGATCCGTCCAAGCATTTCGTGTCGCCTTCAGTCACGCGCATCACATAACTTGTGCCGCCCGTCACGCCGCGCGCGTCCCAGGAAACATAGACAATCTCGGAGCCAAGGGCGACGTTAACCGGGTAGGCTACGGGAGTCAGCGTGCCTGCTGCGCAGAGGTGGGTGATAGGATGAACTCGCGAGGCGAGCAAGTAACATACAGATCTGTCGACCAGAGCTCGAGCCACCAGAGATGACCATGCCGCTGGGAATGACGCCGATAATGCTCACGGGAGCGACAAAGTCGCCCTCCCATGAGAACGTGACGGGTCTGCACTGAGGCAGACGAGTCTCCTCGATTGGGTCAAGGGGGTTGACGGCGAAGCTGGTAGTATGTCAGCGATTGCTCCGCGTGTGGAGGCGCGCTGTGCAGTATAGCGGACGAGCAGCAGGCCTGCGGAAACTCACGTCCATCTAACGTTTCCGTCGGTGCGGGGGCAGTTGGGGGCGCCCGAAGGACGTGACCCAACGGTATACAGCTTGGAGGCACCACCGGTCTGGCGTCAGTCTATTGTTTACTACCTGGATCCCGGGGGACGCACCGCAAAGCCGTCGGCGTCCGACATGACGAAGACAACCTGGGAGGAAGCATTGACTTGAGGGGTCAGCTGTGCACTTTTGAGAGGTACGCACAAGGCAACTGCTCCCAGAGATAAGCGCCGCCATTTGAAGTCAAGGCGCTCTGCGGGACGGTTACGTTCATGGGCATGTCGAAGACGCCGATGGCAGTGATCTGGTATGGTGGCCTACCAGCTGTAAAGTTGAACTGGACATTGCCGCACTCGTTGACGGAGGAGTCGTCGACGATGAAATTGAAGGCAGACGCGGTGCGTGCTAGGAGCGCGCACCCTCCTAGCAGAGCTGCGAGGAGCATGGCGGAGGGGTGGGGCCGGGGAGGGAGGGGGGAGGGGAGGAGAGGGGAGAGGAGGGGAGGAGGAGCGGGGGCCGGTGGGGGGGAAGAGCGTAGAGGGTGTGCACAAAAGAGATGTGGGGGGGTGATGAAGAGATGATGAGGAGGAGTGTAAAGACGACGAGGACGACGACGAGGACGACGAGGATGGAGCTGTGCGCGCGCTCTCACTGCTTGGCGCGAATCCATTCACCCAGGGGGGAGGGGAAGGAAGGTGGGTGTGCGGTGAGAAACGGGTTTCGCAGCTCGTTTGGATTGCAACCAATATCAGGGCCATCTTCATCACTCTTCCCTGGATTCTTGGATGGCCCTTTGCTCTCCCCTCAGACATATTGCACCTTTTTCTCTCTTTTGCATGCTCCAGCTCGTATCTCCTCATCCTCTCCATGCTACAGTATTTGTCTCTCCAGCTCTCCTTATCCAACTATGACTAGAGACTAGAGCATTGAGAATTATATTGTCTTTTATCTACATCTATCGTGCCATCCCCCAACACCCACCCTCTTGGCATGACTGCGCTCCGGCAATGGCAATACTCCACATCAAATAATAAGCTAGCCTCATCGTTCATGCGTTCATGCCTCATGCCTCGAGTGATCAAGCGGTTTTCGGTCCTCGATCGCCTCCTGCCTCAGCGCATGCTGGCTCGCCAGCTGCAGTGACGTAGACACCAGGCACCCTCAACTTACACCTCTTTCGCTCCTCCTCCTAGTCCAGCTATTCCTACTTCCATAGGAGCCAAACAATGCCCCCACCCCACTCCACCCCTGCACAAGCTGCCGGAACCCCCGGGGTGTCGACGCTCGTCGCCCCTCTACTCCCTGCTCCCTCACTCGCCTTCGAATGGGCGATGTGGCAATCCCAATCGTCAGCAATTCAATCTCAGGTGGCGCTGATTTAGCGCGCCGGGGTGGATGTGTTTTGCGAGTTGTGAGCATGAGCGAGAGGACAGGTGTCAATAGAGCGCGCAACCGAACACCGTTTCGAGCGCTCAAGCTATCAAGCTTCGAGTGCCCGCCGTGGATCGGCACATCGACATTCAGAACATGAGGGCGTGGCGGACGTGGCGGGAGGGCGTAGGCATGTGCTTGTGCATGTGCATGTGCAAGGGGACGGGCGGGGGGCGGGATTGGTGGGCTGGTCTGAGAAACTGATGGGCCGCACTAAGCCGCCCACGGATCCGGAGAGAGACAGAGCACAAACGCGAGCCAAGTTGAGCGAAACGGAAAGACGGAGACGACGAGAGTGAGACAGACGACGAGCACAGTGGATGGAGCGCGTGCGGCGGCGCGTCTCAGTTTGCAGTCTGTCTCACTTCGATTCCAGGGACTGCCGTCAAGGGCATGCAGGGTACGCCGGCCTGTCCGATCAACCCATTCCGACCCTGGCATCCTGAAATCCTCTTACAGGCACCAGCCCGGAGCCGACACGGACACCGAGCGATCTCCACGTTGCTCCACCTTCACCTGGCACTTCATTTGGTGCTGTGGCACTGCCATGGCGAGGGCGAGGCCTGCTGGCCATGCTGGCCTCCCGATAAAGACATCAGCGACCCAGCAATCAGAATACTTCCATCATGCCATCACGTCTCCCCCGCAGGAGCCCTCTACTCCTCCGCTCCAGCCGCCACGACCCGCCCCCGCTCCCGTGTGGCCCACACGACTCCCGGCCTCAGCGGTGCGCTCATCGCCCGCCTCCGCGTCCGCGGCATGAGCAGGAGGCTCGCGGTCTCCCATATCCGCTCCTCGGACCCGCTGTCCGTGCTGTTGGTCATTACCTCGTCGTCGTCTGCGATTGCGAGCGCCGACATGCTCAGCAGCGGAAGGGGCGGGAGGGGCCACGGAGGCAGCGTGGAGGGCTCGGGGTCGTCCATTGCGCGCAAGTCGTCGCATGATGGGAGGGGAATCGTAGGTCGTCGAGGAGATCCGGCGGTGATGTCGAACTGGTCTGCCTCGCCTCTGGGTGGAAAGGTGAACGAGGATTTGTCAGAGGAAGGAGAAGCGATTGTAAGCGAAGCCGTCGAGGACGTCGGCTGCGGCGAGGACGCCGCTTCGGTCTCCATTGCGGCGTGTGTCGAGGGCTCCGCGCCATCCGTGCCGGAGACGGTGCGACTGTGACACCGCCGCTTCGGAGCGTCTGCGGGGTCGGGCTGCGGGTCATGGGGCCGTTTGTCAGGCATGTGGGAGTGTGTGGAGAGGTGAAGCGAAGTAGAATTGGAGTCGGTGAACCTTCGCCGCCATCACTATTTGTGCTTGATGCTTGGTGCACGCTGTACCGTGCACCATGCCTTTGTCCTACGCGCCACAGGGCGCGTGCACGTTGCCTCTGCCCTGGTGAGTGTGTGTCGCATGCGTTGCCGCCATTGTTCTGGCTCGCCGAGGTGTGAGCGGTGGAGGAGCATGAGAGCGGGGAAGGTGTGCGATGCGCGATCGACGTGTGCGATGGCGGCGTCGACCTGGCTGCGGAGTCGTCCGAACTCTGGGAGATCCGTGCGGCGCCGCGCCAGCCGTACCATGTAACCGCTAAGCTAGAGTATCAACGCGCTCAAGCCATCAGATCGAAACGGCACGCGTCCGAGATGCACGGACGCACACAGATCAAGGCGCGCGTCCATGGCTGGTTAGCGTTAGGAGTGCATTCGTTAGCGGTTTGGCGACCGAGAGGTCGGACGACGGGTTAGGGAGGGCATTCAGTCAGTGTGGGAGAGTGGTGTCAACTGCCGGATACGAGGAAATGGGGAGGGACGATGGTCACTCTTAGGATGGGTCAGATTGATTTGGTCGGCCAACAACGAGAAACGCCTGACGGCGCAACGGTGTGAGAGCATGACGGAGGAGTAATTGAGGAAGGAAGAGAGGATGCAACCGGGGTTCCATGGATGTTGGCAGTGTGCTGTCGCAGACACCTCATCTCCACATGCTCATCAGCTACTAGCGTTGCATCCCATCAGACACCTGTCTTCACCTTCCTATTCATCCCCATATCTCATCTCCGCGCGATGCATGCATTGCTCGCTACCCCGCCCCGTTCATTGAATCATAGTTGACATCTCCCGCCTCTGTGGTTGGGTGCGCCGCGCCACGGCCGCAATCCCCGAATTCCCCGCCCTCCACCCCACCCCTTCCGCCCTTCAGCACCACCACTCTCGACTGCCTCACCACCGCCATGTTCGTCGCCCGCGCCCTCCGCCCCGCTGCCCGCGCTGCGCACCTCGCCCGCGCTGTGCGCGCATCGAGCAGCGTCGCCCTCAACCCCGCCGACCTCTCCCCGCGCGCCGCTGCGCCCGGGCAGGCGCCGAACCGCGCCAAGCCCTGGTCAGAGGACCAGCAGCCCAAGGCAGACGCATATGACAACCCGCGCTTCGAGCAGGTCAACCTCCCCCTCCAGCCCGATGGGCTTAGCGCTATGGCGCTTGTGAATGAGCAGCCGATCGTCAAGTTGGAGGCGCGCAGGGCGGTGTGCGATGGTGGTGAGTTGAGTGGGGAGGGAGATGGGAGGAAGGTGGAGGGACGGCGGAAGGGAGGCGGAGAGGCCGGGGAGCGGGAGATGGGGAGGGCTTGGGGAAGGAAAGGTGTGATGGACAAGGCGTTGGGCAGCGTGGGATGCCAGTCCGGCGCTGGAGTGGGCGAAGAGATGACATATCTCGGCGGTGTGCGGGATCGCCCGCATGCAGACTCAGAACAGCATTGTCATGCCGTCTATGCCCTCCCGTCGTCACTGGTGTCGCCAGCTAGCCCGTCGGATTCGTCTCATGTTTGTCCCAAGAGCATAAATGCAAGCGGGGACGCTCCGTTTCTCCAAGCACATACCCCTTGTCCCGCTCCAGACCCACAATGGCCCCTCCGCCTCAACTGCCTCCTCCCCGCCCAGCGTCCCATCCTCCAGCTGCCGCTAGACACCACTAACCCCAGGCGGCGGCCCCCTCGGCCACCCAAAGATCTACATCAACCTGGACAAGCCAGGAGCTCACGCCTGCGGCTACTGGTGAGCACCAATCGCGGTCGAGCTGACATCCAGCGGTGCCCGGTTTGAGCAGGAGCACCACCACTAGGGTATGCATAGTATTAGCGGTTCGCTGGGTGTGGAGGCCGGATGTTGAGGGGGGGCCGAGTGCTCTCATTGTGACGAGGCGAGGGGAGATGCTTTCAACGGGAGGTGAGGGTTTGCCTGTGTCGGTGCGTAGGCGAGCGGGTACGGAGAACGCCTTACGCATTGGCATTCTTGACTGCTCAACTGCCGGTTGCACAGGATCAAGCTGGACGTGACGCGCGAAAGTGAATGGCTACGAGTTGAGCAGGACAGATGACGATATTGGAGATTGCGGTCTTTGCGTGGATTCGCCGAACATCGTGGTAGATCGGCGACCTGCGGGCCCAGAGGCCTGAGGGCGATCCGTCAGAGGGGGGTGCAGTGTTCTGGGCCATCTACCATCGTTGACTCCCGGATATGCGGAGAGTGTCCCAGGTGCGCAGCTGCGAGACCGCGTTGGCAATGGCGGCGAGGTGAGTTCGCTGTGATGAGCGATATCGCGATCGAGCTGGCCCATGGCCTGTTAGCTTGGAATCATCTGAAGAAGCTGCTTGTGCCGTGCATCAACTTTCTATGTCGTGCGTGGGATAGCGAGCAGTAGTGTCATGGAGCTAGCAGGAGAATCGTGCTGACATTAGTATTGAGTTAGAGCACTGTGGCAGTGTCATTAAGACCCCCCTCTGACCACGCCCCGGTCCTGCCAGCGATGGCGGTAAGATGCATCAATGTTCCTTAGCCCTCGGCATGGACCGTGCCAATATGACGCAAACGCACGCACAAGGACGACAGATGGGATTAGCTCTGCTCTGTAGCCCACGTTTCTCCGACTCCGAGATCAAGTGAAACGCCGCACGTGCGAGTGTGTCGCGCCGAGGCGACTCGCCGCCGCCAGTTTCGCGCACTTGCAGGACCGCACAGCCAGCTGTGACGGCGGCTTGATCGTCTCTTGACGCAGTGCATGGGGATGTCTTGATGAGAATTGAGCCGACTCTTAGATGATATGGTTGCATCGACGTTCGAGATGTAGTCCGAAGGCACGGTGTGAGACATACTCTTGGCAGCAAACCCCGTCCCTCACCCACGTTTGTATTAGGCCGGCCGAACATCGGAGACGGTCGGCCTTGATCACCTCGTGACCGCCGAGGTGACTTGCCAGAGGCCAGAGGCCAGACACATCGGTCAAGTGAGGTGGGGTGGAGCAAGAGCGGGCCCAGCTCGTATCGCTCCCGAAGGCACGACTTGGGTTTCATCTCTTCCGCGCGCACATGCGCACATCACAGCTCATGTTCGCCGATGTCCCGAGGTCCAACTGTCTGCAAGACGCTCATGCCAACTCCGTACTTGTGCACACATGCACATGCAGAGGGGTTGTTCTGGACGCCACTCGACGCCATCAGCGCCTTGGCTGCAGGCTGGGCATGCGTGGATGCGTGGATGCGGGCGCCGATTGGATGATTGGGTGATAGTATTTAGGTGATTTGGATATCGCGACCATGTCCCGGGTGAGGGCAGTGTTAGGCACAAGGCACCGTATCTTGCCCCGTCCCCCCAATTCCTTGCCGGAGTAACTGGAACGCCCATTCCACCTCGCTGCCTCTTGTCAACATCAATCTTGCTCTTGTCCTCATCGCCGCTACTCTCCACTCTCTACTCCACTGGCCCCAACGAGCCCCACACTCTGCACGCACGTTCGCATACACGCCCCACACTTCCGCACCCACTTCATTTATCTGCGACATCTCCATTCTCTCCCCGCCCAAGCCGCCGCCACTCAACACCGCCCCAGCCGAGATAACCATCGCCCTCCTCCCTCCCTTCCATGCCTCATTCACCAACGCCCCATACCGCCCTCGCCGCCTCGCTCGTCGCTTTCGCTGCGCCCGCCGACCTTCCGGCCCTGCGAGCCGTCTCCCGCACCTTCCGGGAGGCGGCTGATAAGCGAATTTTCGCCCACGTGCTCCTTCTCGAGCTCGACGGCGATATCGAGGTCCGCGACGCCCAGGGCCGCCGCCTCCCCGGCGTCCACTGGGAACTGAAGGTCACCCCCGAGGAACGCGATGTGTGGATTAGCAGGCTCAAGCACGCCCGCGTGGTGGACTACTACGACGACGTGGACCTCTCAAAGGACCCCGTCCTCGCCGCCGCCCTCTCGAATGCGTGCACGGCGCGGCGTCTGCGCGGAGGCCGCGGGCTGGCACCGCACACACTGCTCGACACGCTGCAGCTTGGGTACGATGATGCGCAGGGAGACGGGTACGACTCGGACGACGATACGCCGGCGGGCAGCATCGAGCACGTTCCGCCCACCGTCCGCGATCTTACCGTCTGCGTGCGCTTCGATGCGCAGCACCACCGCCTATCGGAGGCGGGTTATACTCTCTCCCTACCTCCTCTCGACTCCCTTACTGTTGTGTTTGCAGAGGAGCTGTTTTCGCGCATCCCGAGCCGCTGCTGGAGCCGTGGTTCATGCTGGTCACCCCGCCGCACAAGCCTGCAGAATTCGCCCCACCCCCTGCCACGATGGGGCTTCCTCCGCCCTCTTGTGCGCCAGCTCGCCGCCGTGCGCTCGCCAATAACACTTGTTGGCCTGGAGAGCATCCCCCGCGCTCTCGTAGGCCTCCCTGTCAACATGGGCGTTGAAGACGTGCGACGTGACTTTGCCGACTCGGTTCTCGTGCACGTGCCCCCCGCCGCCCAGGAACCCGCCCTCTCCTTCCTCACGATGGACGAGTACCGCGCATGCGTGGGAGACGAGGCGTTTGCCCTCGCCACCTCGCGGCCTGGGCCGCCTCCGAGCCTGCCCTCGACCTCGGACCTCAGTGACGATGAGGAATGGGAGGAGCAGCGCATGAGCAAAACTCAGCGGAACGAGTGGGAGAAGCTCGTGCGCACCGCTGCACGCTCTCTCATCCGCAGCTGCCTCTTGTACTAGACAGGCAATTCAGAAAACAGGCCGAGGAAAATCCGCCTCGCCACCAATGTTCACTCGCACCGCTATTGGCACCTCTCACATCGCACGGTCATATCGCCGCCTCGTTCTCCTGTAGCATTGCTTTTCGATGTACCATACTGTGCTCCCCTCCCCACAAGTATGGTGGCGACTCGGCGACTGACTAACCGGTGACTGGCACTAACATGACCGCTGGTCGCGGGATGACGCTCATGTCTCATGACCCGTGACTATGACTCACCTGCAGCCCCAGGAGAAGGAATGCAGCAAGTGGAAGTTCGGATATCGGTTTCTGACATGTCTCCCGCCAATTCACCAAACACCTCCGGCATCCGGTGCGTTTCAGGCGCGGTCAACATACGCCGTTTCGCGTCTCCAGCGTCTCCAGTCTAGCCTGTCTGCATGTTCCGGACGTCCGGGCGTCCGGGGGGCGTCCGGAGGCACCTCGGCCGGCATCCCGGATGCGAGATAAGCTACTCGGCGACGGCATCTGCCGCGTCCCGCCATCAATTACCTCCCTGCCCCCACTCGCCGTGGATCGCGCGGGCGACTGTCTTGCGTATGTCGGGTATACTTTGCATACATACCGGCGCGTCGCGTCGAGACCTACGACAGATGACAAGTTGTCTTGGGCCACTGCGCACCAGGCCCCGGGGACCGGCGGCCCGGCGGCCCTTGCCGCCACACTAAGTTAACGTACACGAGCTAGCAGGGCCTAACTCACGCGTCGCGTTCGGCGTTCCTCTTACTTCAATGCCTCTAGTCCCTCACCCGCGCCCCAATACTCGTCGGTGCGCGTGCATGGAACACATGCTCATGTGATCGTGAGACAGCCAAGCATCGAAGTTTCCATCGTCCCAGTAATTCAAACGGCGCGAGGACGCGGCAGTGAGACAGCGCGCTGAGCTAAGCCCGCGTGATCGATGTGGTCGAGATCCGGTCAAGTGAACCATGAGTCAACATTCGCGTGGGGCCTCATGGACATGTCCACCCTCATGGACATCTCCCGCCCTCCTGTAACACCTGGAATTCACATCTTGCCTGTTTACTGGAAACCAGAGCATGCTGCGTGCCTGTGCCGCTGACACCCTGACCCCACTGACTCGCTTGCTCGCTTGGCGCGATGGGTCGGCGCGCCTGCTCTCTGCTCCAGCATCACATGATGGCGGGACACTCCACGCTAGCAAGCTAATGACCTAGCTGAATGCATCGCCGAAGAGCAAGAGGGTCTGCGGTGCCCGCCGCGTCCTCCTCGCCCTCACCCTCGGTCATCGCGGGTCGACAGACATCCCCGCCAGCCACTGCGGCCGACAAGTAACACCAGTCCACGCAGCGCAGTACTGAGCGGCCCCTCGCGTCGCAACATATAAACTCACCTCGTCCCGTCCAGAACAGACAAGTCTCTCACTCACGCTCCTTTCACTACATCGTCATAATGCTGCTCCGGTGGCACATCCTGTTCGCGTTCGCGGCCGTCGCGCTGGCCGCTCCGGTCGAGAGACAGAACAACCTCGACCTCCTCGGCCTCATCTCCATTGTCGCCAACCCCATCCTCGCTATCGTTAATAGTGGCTTCCGGGTTGTCTCCACCCTCGTCCCGATCGACGCCACCATCCGCCCCGCTACCGCAGGCGGCAAGGCCATCAAGGTCACGGGTGGCCGTGGCATTGGGTACGACACATTCATTGGTATTCCTTTTGCCGAGCCTCGTAAGTGTCGTCTGTCCACCCGTCGTCTTACTCCTCCCGCTCACACCCAGTCGTTGGCGCCAAGCGCTTCGACCGCCCCACCCCCAAGGTCTACACCGGCGACATCCAGGCGCGCAAGTTCGCTCCGGGATGCATGCAGAGCTCGACTCCCCTCGATGGTGCCGGCGGCCGCTCCGAGGACTGCCTCTACCTTGATGTCATGACCCCCAGCAACGTCGTCGGCACCGAGGCCAAGCTTCCCGTCATGGTGTGGATTTACGGCGGCGGCTTCTCGGCTGGCGCTAGCTCGCTCTACACGTCCCTTGGCGGCCCGACTTTCATCAAGCGCGCCACGCGCATCGGCAAGCCCGTCATCGTCGTCAACATCAACTACCGTATGGGCGTGTGGGGTTTCCCCACTGGCCCCGAACTCGCGGGCTCGGCTAACAACGGTATCCGTGACCAGATGCTCGCTCTGCAGTGGGTGCGCGAGAACATTGCCGCTTTCGGCGGCGACCCGGAGAAGGTTACTGTGTTCGGCGAGAGCGCGGGCGCGATCAGCGCCGCCATCCTCATGCTCCAGGAGAACGACCCCACGTTCCGCGCCGCCATCATGCAGAGTGGCTCGCCTAACGTCATGCCACTGGCGCGCCCGGCCGAGTGGGCTGAGCCGTGGCAGGACTTCCTCCAGGCCGTTGGCTGCTCCGACCTCGCTTGTGTCAAGGGCCTCGATGCTGAGAAGGTCCTTGAGGGCTCGGTCTCGGTCAACAACAACCCCAAGTACAAGGGTGGCCAGATCGGCTTCCTCTGGCGGCCGCTCATCGACGGCGACATCATCAAAGACTCGCCGGCCAAGCTGCTCGCCGAGGGCCGCTTTGCGCGCAAGCCCTTTATCAACGGCCAGAACAAGGACGAGGCGGCGCTCTTCGTCAACTGGGGCGTCAAGGACGAGCCGGGTCTCCGCTCGATGCTGAAGACTCTCTACCCGCGCCCGGTCGACGAGGCGACGATTGTCGCCATGCTCCAGAAGTACCCCAACGTGCCCGAGCTCGGCGCCCCCTTCAACACGGGCTCGCGTACATTCCTCCTCAACCCAGTGTTCAAGCAGGCCGCCGCTATCGGCACCGACCTCCTCTTCACCTCGCGCCGCCGCGACATGCTCCGCAAGGCGAACGCCGCCGGTCTCACCAAGACCTGGGGCTACCACTTCGAGGGCGACATCCCCATCGCCCCCGACTTCCTCGGCGCCGGCCACGCCTTCGACCTCGTGTATATGTGGGGTATCGTCAAGCCCTTGATCCTGTTTTGGAGCTTCAACGACGCCAAGATGAGCGAGTACATGATGGACTACTGGACAACGTTCGCGCACAACCTCGACCCCAACGGGCCCGGCCTGCCGCAGTGGGGCGCTCACACCTACCCCGCCAACAAGAACATCATGCAGTTCCGCGCTGGAGATGTGCGTGTCATCCAGGACGACTTCCGCGAGGACCGCGTTGCGGTCTTCAACGACCCCGTGCACCGCACGAGCCTCCAGATCTAAGATTTTAGTAGTTTGACCAGTTAAATGGACATTCTGAAGAATATTGAGTTATTGCATAGGGATTGCTGGAACAGTGGAGCGGATCCAATCGGGAATATTGAGATTGCTTATCAGCGCCCTGTGCCATTTATGACGCGGGTTGTGCCTGGCATTTCTGGAGAGATTGGAGCTCCCAGCTCCGACGCACCAACATTCTGCCATCACCGATCACCGAGCGATCCGAGACATGGCGCGATGAACAATTCTGATGGCGCGTGCGTGGACTTTTGCTCTTGTTTTTGTATCTACTCACTCGCTCTCGTTGAAACCGTTGCAAACCAAGCACACCCGGGAACACTGGCACACCTCGACTGCGCGCTCTTCCACTCTCCTCCAACCCCGCCATGCTCGACTACGCCTACTTTCCTCACATCGTGGAGGACGCGCTCCGGCGCACAGACCACACGACGCTGCTCGCGCTCCGTCTCGTAAACCGGCGCATCAAGAACCTCGCCGAGGCCGAGCTCTTCTCCCATGTCCTATTCACCCGCGCGCCCGGCGGCAAAGCGTACGTCCTCCGCGCGGCGGACGGCAAGCTGCCCGTCCCCGCGTGGCCGACGACCGACCTCCCCTGCCCACCCGATGGCGATGCTGCGCGCCTCCTCCGCCTGCTGGCGCACACCCGCGTCCTGGACATCCACACGTCCCCGCCGCCGGGCGGGCCGCTGCTCGCGGCCCTCGCGCGCGTCCCCACCCGCCGGAGCCAGCACCACCACTCCCCCGCAGCACGCGGCACCTTCGTGCACGAGTACGCGGTGTACATGGCAAGCCACTGGCGCGAGCGTCGCTTCTGCTTCGACCCGCCGGCGGGCACGGAGCGGTACGTCGTGCACGTGCGGCACCACACGAACCGCACCCTGCACGAGCTGTACGGGCCTGCGCCGAGCGCCGAGCGTATCTTGTCCCGAGGTCCGAGCGCCAGGGGGACGCCGCCGCCCGCGTATATTCTCGTGTTCTCGGGGTGTCCGGAGCCGTGTGCGCCGTCCGTGCCCACCCACGGCGCCGCGGCGGGCCAGCGCCGCATCGTGCATACCCTGCTGTACGAGTTTGCGGAGCAGTTCGAGGCGCTCCGCCGCGCGCAGCGGGCGCAGGTCACCGTCGTGGGCGCCGAGGACTTTGTTGCGAGTCTCTGCGGCGCGACGAGCACCGAGGAGGCGGGGCGGTTGTTCGAGAGCAAGCTCGCGCTCGCGAGGCGAGATATGGCGGGTGAAGAAGAGGATCCGTGCGCTCCGCCAGTGCGGTACTTCTCACATGGGCAGTACGAGGCCTTGGTCGGCGGGCGCGTATACGAGGCTCAGACGAGGCCGATGACGCAGAGAGTCAACTACTTCACCTTGTAGCGGCTAGGTTGCATACGTTCCGTACAACTAGAATTAGATATTTGTACGTTTCTACACTAACACACGACTGTCTACAACTCTCTTGGTTCTGTACAACTGTAGCTTGTTGTGTATATTCTACGCAAACAATCGGACGGGCGGCGCCCGGGCGCCGGCTTCAGCTTGTGCCTCACCGCTCGCACTCTCCTACAACATCGCCTTGGGTTCGTCATTCTCGAGCTCGCTAACGAAGCGGAAGCGACGCATGGCGGCGTCGACGCCGTCCGCGTCGCCAATGAAGTCCCCCGCCACCCGCCGCACAGCGCGATACACGGCGCCTACAAGCTCACCGGGCGCCATCTCGTCGCGGGGCCAGCTGACCCACGCGGGGTCGCAGGAGCGCGCGTCGAGCGCGATTGTAAAGTGCGCGCGCTCGATACAGTGGGCAGCCATCGCCACCGCGTCCGCGAGCATGCCGAGCTCGCGCGGCTCGGGCGCGGGGTCGCGCGAGCGGCGCAGCTCGCCGGCAGCGAGCGGGCGGAACTCGAGGCACACATCCCGCACCGTCGGCGGCGCACGGAGGCCGATGCGCGCGCCACAGAGGCCGGGCTCTTCGGGGTCGAAGCGCACGCTGACGCGCCATGCCGACGCGGCGCCTGCGAGCGGCGGCGCCAACACGGCCTCGGCGACCGGCGGCTGCCGCCACCGCATGCCGCCCACGCCGATGTCGGCGGGGCACTGCAGCGCCACCTCGCTCTCGAGGGTGTGGTACGCGAACGGGAGGGGGAGCTCGCTGGCGCGCCCGCGGCGGCAGCGCACCGTGCGCACGCCCGTCAGGAAGTGGCTGAGCGAGTGCAGGCCCGCGCGGCCGTCGAGCTCGAGGACGCGCGCGTGGCGCAGCAGCGCGAGGAAGCGCGCGCGTTCCGACGCTTCGTACGCGCTCCACTTGAGGCCGGGGACGCGCTGGCCGCCCGCGCCCACCGCGCGGATGCACGGCACCACCTCCCCGTCCGACGTCGTCAGCGCAACCAGGCCTTCGGCGAACAGCGCGAGGTGCGCGCACAGCGCCGCATCCACCCGGTCCCGGTGTTCGCGGGATGTCGCGCGCACCGCGAAGCGCGTGGGCCGGTCCGCGTGCGTGATGATCGTGTCCATGATCGTCGGGAACATGGTGGCGTCGATCGACGAGCGGCGCGGCGCGTCGGGCGCAGGCGCAGGCGCGGGGGCGGGCGCGGGGGCTGCGGTGGCCTCGGCGGTGAGTACGGACATGCTGGTGGCTTGAAGGAGGTTTGTGCGGAGGAGCGTTCGGGCTCGAGGATATATGCGATGATTGAGCGACTCTCGGTTGTCCTGCGCGACAGATGCCTTGCAGCGAGAACGCGAAGACAAGCCGCGAGAAGATACAGATATCAGAAGAACAGAAGAGCAGCAGCCAACAGGTACGCAGCTTTTTCAATTGCATTCCAATTTGATGAGCTCCACGCACTCCACTCGAGCGGAGCGGAGAGGAGAGGAGAAGAGGGTGAGCACGAGCACATGATAGGCGATTAGGCGCTGTGACGCAACTCGTTGGCGATTAGAACTGCGTCACTCTGCCGCAGGCCGATGCGCCACCCGCTTGAGATCGCTCGCGTGCTGTGCGCGTGGCACAAGCATGGCCATCACGTGGCGGTCTCATACCGCTCCCTCGGCCTCTGTCTCTGATCTCCCATGTTCTTGCTCTGTGTTCTTCCATTTGCTGTCTCAAATAAGCATAAGCACTGCTTACGACACAATGAACGCGGCGCGGAACAGATGCGTGTGTTGTCTTATTACTCAATCCGCTGGAAATCCACCTCCCACCTCGTCAATCAAACAACCTACACCGAGATATCCGGTGTCAGCCTCATCCGGTCCGTTCATCGCGCGATCGGCACACTCCGAGATCCGACACGCGCCGCGCGCCGCGCGCCGCAATGGGGTCACCCAACGCCGATCAGAGCGCGATAAACAGATCGGCGCGTCCGCGATCATCGTGGATTCGCGGATCCGCGTAGATCCGGCTCCCGCGGCCGGCGGGACCGTGCCCTCTATTCCAGCGGCCGAGCTGTTAACCAGCGGCTCTCCCCGCCTCCAGATCAGATCAGATAGACGCTCGGGCCGCGGAAAACCTTTTTACCCCACAAACTGGCGTTATCGGCGGCATGGAGAAAGTCGGCGGCATGCGGCGTGCTCTGCACTGTCTCCCCGTGCTCGGTCGGGAGGCGGGCGCGTGGCGGAGTAGTCGAGCTGTTTGAACGACTTGCCGTTCTCCGAACATCCCAGCCCCCCATCCCCCACCCCCCACTCCCTCGCCCTCCCCCACTCCCGCCAATTTTCTGGGTCGTCCCTTCGCTCCCTACATGACATACAGGCCTCTCGACAAATGGACACCCTTTTCTGCGCCATTGGCGCAGACGACGGTGTGCCAGTCACATTCCGCTTTGGTCGCTTGCAGCGCCGTCGGGCCCGGATCCAATCTGATCGTATCTTGTGAGCGTTTTGCGAAGAACGAGATTCTTTCCGTCGCTGCTATTTGGATCTCGAGAGAGTTGTTTTCGCCATTGTTGACACCACGTCCGTGTCGAACGTATGTATGACGTGTACCGGCTCGCGAGCGGCGTCTGTGTCGGCTCGTTCGTGCACGCCCCCAGCTGGTATGCCAGTCACAGCGCGGAAACGAGCAGCGTAGGGGGGCGAGCGCGAGGGCCGGTGTCCGCCCTGTGGCGCATGTCACGGGGTCCGGCGGCGATGCCGTAGTGCCGTGGTTGCTTCTGCTCCACCCTCGTACCAAAAGCCAGGACCGTTCCGTCGCAGGCCACAGGCAGGCAGCAGGACCGGTCTGACAGGCACATGCAGCAGCGGGGTTCTGACATTCTGACTTGTGGTAGCTTTCGCTTGGGAACGGAGCCGCAGGAAAACCGACCCTGTGGCGCGTTGCCACCCGGCGCGCTGGCGCTCGGCCAGATCTATTTAGCCGCCTCTCTCGAGTCTCAGCTCGCTAAGAATGCTCCCTAGCACAGCACAGGTGCCGGGGCAGAGCCGAGGACGCAAGCAAGCGACAGTACACGTCCCTCGGTGAGGGACTGGGGAATGCATGGCGCGGCGGGCAGCGACCGTCGCCGAAGTAGGGTCGGACGAGCAGCCAGAGCAAGCATGAGCTGCGAGCTGGCAAGCTGGCAAGCTGGCAAGCACTAACAGGCTGCACTGCAGGCTGCAGGCGAGGTGGTATTGCAGCCAAAGAACAAGCCCTGCGTCTCTGCCGCCCCACCCGAGCCCTACGTACTCCGCACCAGAGGCCAGGAGGGCTCTGGAATGGGGACCACGGTTTGCTGCTTTCCTGGACATGCTCTTGTATTCCACCGGCGTCCGCCAATCGCCCAAACAAAACTAGGGATGCTATGGAGCAGTTGTGCATGCATGCTCCATGCCGCCCCTGCCGCGCCCGCCAACCTCTCAGATAACCTGCCACTGCTGAGGCTGGGAGGTCTCGAGGTCTGGAGGCCTGGAGGCCTGGAGGCCTGGAGGGCCTTGGGGTGTTGGCGTTTGCTGTGCATCATCTGACAGCGTGCGGATGGCTCGGCAAGTGGGTTAGAGTGCAATAGCGCATCAGATACGGGGTTGGATGGGGCGGAGCAAGTGAAAGAAAAAAAAAAACAAGACGATTGTTGCCGAAGGGAGGGGAAGCGATGTGTGCGGGGATGCGGAGGGATGGAGAGTGGGGTTGAGAGGGGCGAAGAGAACAATGACAAGGCGGAGGGGGGAGAGTTGACCCCGGTATCGGCCACCGCGCGAGTGGCCGAGCGGATTGACCACGGAGGGACCACGCTGGTAGTCTGCTTGCATTCGGAGCCACCAGGGCAATGTACAGGATGTGCCTCGCCGTCTCAGACTGAGCTGCTCGCTGCGTATCCATCCGGTAACTCTTGTCTGCTGCCTGCTGCCTGCTGCCTGCTGCCTGTTGCCTGTTGCCTGCTTTGCCTCGAGGCCCACCTTGAGTTGGCCACCGCGTACACCCACGCCCTTGGTCGCCGCACCCAGTCCACCCGACAACACTCGACAACTTGGCTTCACTCATCCAACTCGATCCTCTCCATCCTCCCCACTCCCTCCTCCTCGACCTCGACCTCCACCTCACCCC